AAATTTTTTGAAAAAAATTTTTTTTCTGAATTTTTAGGATTTTGCGATTGATGTTAACAATGAAATGAAAAAAAGAAATTCGTAAAAAAATTTTTTTAATTTACCTAAAAAATTAAAAAAATTTTTAGTTATAGCCACTTGGTTGAAGATTATGAAGAACAAACACGAAAGGTTTCTGAAGGTTCCAAAGAATCTGACAACTCGAAAGCTACTCATTCAAGTAATAAAATAAGCCCTCAATTTTCCAAATCTTTTAATTAAGTATTGTTATTTGATTAGCTTTCTAAAGCTTCTATTAATTTAAAAAGACTGTTTTTAAATTTTAAAAAATATTTTTTCAATAAATCCTTTATTTATAAAGCTGACGGAACTAAAAATATATTGAAATATGATAGGCTTATTAAATATAAAGTACACTTATATCCTCTAATTTTAAACCGATTTTTATTGAGCAATTTTATTTTGTCAATATTTCCGTGTGTGTTCTTCCAAATATTATTTTTACAAGTTGTGGTTATTAAAAAATACTTTAACGATAAAAAAGATTTTAACGTGTTAAGGTAACTCTGCCATGTTGAATTTCGCATCCGATGGGACGGTTCATCGGACTTAACCAATAGTGGGGATATTAAGACAAGACCAGAACGGCATGGCATTGAAGGTGGGATGACACGCATTGGTTCTGATCCTAGCGTTGGGGATTATTTCTTCAATTGATCCCTTCACTCTACAAGTAGTGCGAAGGGAACAATTCACTATTAAATGCTTAAACGACAAGATATCAAGCCTTTTGTACTGAGAAGCTTATTTAATTTAATAGCCAGACAAATCCATCTTCCCCAAATCACGTGATTCCTCCCTCCTATTATTAACATAAATTGATTATTTCGATTATTAAAAATATTAAAACTTTACTAATATAAATATATATTTTCGTCTATCTAAAAAAATCAAACGTCCAATACATATTAATATATGTTGCTTATACATTTTGTCCATCCGTCAATCTCCCGTTGAAGGTTGAAGAAAAAGACTAGTTTAGTTCTAAGCAGCTGACGAGGCCAAAGACTTATTTGTCTTTTGATTGCAAAAGCTTCACTCATTTTCTATTTATTCTTCCCCTTTCTCCGTCTTCTCCCCTTTTTCTTATTTCCAGCCACAAAATAATTTTTAAAATTGTATAGTAATTATTGTATTATTTTTATCCAAAATAAGAATTTTGTCCATATTTTTGAAAATAAAATTGTTGAATTTCTATCTTTTGAAAAAACTATTTTTGTATTTATTTATCATCAGTTTCAGCTTAGATCACTACATAGGTATGTTCTAAGTCATCTCTTATTTTTGTTCAAATCCGCCCATAATTCCAAATTATACATTCCAAAATATCTCTTCCGGCTTTCGTATTTCGCCTAATTTTGTTTTTCCCCTGCCGTCTTTTGCCGAAATTTCGCTTTTCAGGATTTCGCATTTTTGGTATTTCCCTTTCGTTCTTCACTATCTATAATATTGGACCAGACACTAATGTTAAGGTCAGCTCGGGCTGCTGGTCATTCATTAAGCCTTCTCTTCCTCTCATCCATTATTGACAGCTAGTAGGGCTTTAATCCTCATTGTGTGGTAAAAATCAAATATAATATTATTTTTTCTTTCTGGTTTATTTATTGTTATTTTTACATTATTTATTTAAAACTAATTTTTGTGCAATTTTACGAGCAATTTTACGCATTATTGAGCAATTTAAAAATACAAAACACATTTTATTTTCTTAAAATTCAATCGAATTTCAAACGAAATATAGTTGGTTTCTTTTGAAAATATTTAAAAAATAATAAAAAAATTTTCGAAAAACAATGGGAAACTTTATTTACAATGATAATTGCCTCATAACCAGGCATTGAATAATTATTTATTGCCAGACGAATTTTTGGAAGCTCAAAAATATTTTTCTTTGTTTTTCCTGGCCCATACACTTCCTCAATTTAACTATTTTTATCTGTTCTTTATTTTTATTTTGGAATTTTTACGGAAAAATAAATAACAAAAAATATTTTCTAGCCCCTTTAGGCTAAATTTACCATAATTAAATTTATTTTAAAAATATTTTATGATAAATATCAACATTATTGCCAAAAAATTATTTTAGTGTACCAAAAATTATTATTTCCAAAAATATTATTTTTTATTGCCAATAACACGAAAACAACGTTTTTTTAAATTATTTTGTTCCTATTCCTTCTTATCTTTCTTCTAATGGGCCAAACCATTAAAAAAATTTTTTTTGAATGGGGCCATTCCCTCTTTCATTATTTTTTTAGTTAATTTTCCTAAAATTTTTATTTTTTTTCGAACATATGCGTCCTTTTCTCACATATCAAATTTTTGTTTATTATCGCGAACAAAACCATTTACGGGTTGCCATATTCTTTTTTTTTTCTCAAAAAATAAAAATACTCAACACATCAATTTTTATTCCCAAAAGATTTTTTGTTTTATTGACAGACAACAAAGAAAAAAGAACAAAACACACATTTCTTTGAAAAATTAAATTTGATTAGGGGCTTGATTCTGTCACCAACTATCGCGTGGATCCTCTCCGAAGAGTTTATTGGATGTGAACTTGAAAAGAACCATTATGGACCTAGTTTGCCCCCCCCCCTCCACTTTGCCCCAAACAGAAGCACAAACCATCATCTTAAGCTTATGATTGCCTATTTTTTGGAGATCATTGGGTTTCGGAATCAAATCCAACCTAATCCTTTGCTAATTTTCGGGGTGGGCTTGTCTGCTTTACCTTGTTTTACATATCCCTTTCCAATTTCTTGTCAATTTTTTCTATAACATTTCAAACAAATTTTTTTATTAAAATCCTTCCCTAATATTTTCAAAACATCATTTTACTTTTAAAATATTTTGTCAAAAAACATTTGTTTATTTTTGTTATAGGAAGTTTATATTATTTAAAAAATAAATATTTTTGTTTAAGCATTATTTATGAGCTTAATGCTTTTGAGAAATAAATAAATAAATAAATAAATAAATAAATAATAAAATTTTTGAGTAAAAAAATAAATTACACGAACATGCTAACGAAATTTTCTTTTTAAATTTAAAATTAATTAATTTATTATTCGAGAATTGTTCGCTATATTTGCTCATTCTCAATTTTCTTACTAAACACCTTCCCCTCAATTTTACTAAAAATAATTCTAACATCAATGTTGGCCCTATAATATTTTTATTCTGTCACATTTTCCCTCACTAATACGTTTTTAATATTTATATTTATTTGCATAATTTTAAATAAATATTGATCGAGACCCGTCGACCGTTCAATTATCTATTCATATTCAATCATATTCAACGTTTGCAAAGGCCATAAAAATTTATTACCAAAATATTATTTTTATTACCAAATCACTACCAAATCACCTCTTGAAAGATGATCTCCGGTTTATCAGTGGACTGAGACGTTTCTTAAAAAGCCCCCTCCGAAGAAGGGGACGGTCCTATGTACATTCTATGTACTAGGGGACGGTCCTATGTTTATTCTACAATATTGGTTTCTACAATACCCCCGGGTTTCTGTTACGGCCGATTTTCGGCATCTGGTTCGATTCCCGTTCCGATTCGGGTAACCGTGCGCCAACAGCCTTACTACTAAGGATTACCGTCTTAAAAGATGATTTCTGGCTTATCATCACCTCTTATCATTGCTAAATTTCAACTCATATTACTCCAATCCCGCCTAATTTAAATTTTAATATTAACTCAAAATTAATGCAAAAACCTTCCTAAAAATACCTTCCTACAAAATATAAAAAATATCTTATTGCTTAGTAAAGAGGTTGTCCTAGACACACTCACTTTAGAATTATTTCCAGCCGACAAATTTATTTTTTATTCCAATTTTTATATCTTTAAATGCTCTCTCTTTTACCTTTCTTCCATTTTTATCTAAAATTTTGACTAGCAAACAATTCTAACTTCCTTTTTGAGGCTTACCTACTTTTCTTAATTTATCAAAAATTAAAAATAAATATGCCAGAATTAAAACTAATAATTAGACTTTGAACCGAATGGAGGAGGAGGGGGTGAGTCCTGGCCCTATAGCCTGGAAACCTGGTATTTTGAACCCGGGGGGGGGGGTTTGAGGGGGAGGGGGGGGTCTGAGCTCTATAACCTGGAGCCCTATAGTATTTTGATGATAGAATCCCGTTTTTAGGTGTTTCTGGATTTTCGGGATTTACCGACAAAAACTAGGCCCAGGACGTCTGAAAGAAAAAAAACCCGGAGGGCATGGCTAATACTAATTAAAATAATATTTTTATAAAATTTTTTATTCCCTCAGTGTTTGTTTTTTAAATAAATTACAATACTAGCATGTTTTCTCTTCAATTTGTAAATATTTGCGCTAAATTTAAGGGCCACTAAAATGTTTATAAATATGAGGCAAATTGAGGAACACAAACAAAAATAAAAAAAAATATTTTAAAAAAGAAAAGCAAAGTAAAAGCACCATTAAATTATTAGTCATCCACCCGTGAGGAAATTCATCATATAAAAAATTTTTTATACACTTTAATATTTAACACAACATATAAATTTAAATGTACATACTTGGTTGTAGTGAGTGGTGTTTTTGCCCATTTTCTCTATTTTTTATTATTTTTTTTTATTTTTATTTATTTATAAAAACTTTGTTTTTGCTAAAATTTATTTTCAATTATTTTCAAAAATTCTTGGAAAATTTTGGCGATTTTTTAAAGGTTTTTCAAGAATTTTCAGGAGTTTTTATGAATTTTTAAGGATTTTCAAAAATTTTCAAAAATTTTCAGAAATTTTAAAAATTTTCATAAATTTTCGAAATTTTCTTGAATTTTCAAGCTTTTCAAGAATTTTCAAAAAATTTCAAAGATTTTCAACTAATTTCAAGAATTTTCAGAAATTTTAAAAATTTTCATCTAATTTCAAAAATTATCAAAAATTTTCTTCCCTAAGGCAAAAAAGGCATAATAATATGTCAGATACGAAAATTAATAACTTCCCTCAATTAAAACAAAATTTGATCATGAACGGCTCAGATCCGTTCAATCATTTAATTAATCAACCCCACTCTACAACAAATTCTCCTTCTTCATCATCTGCCAGTTCTTCCTTTGCTTCAACTAAAAATAGTAAAAATAATAATTTTAATCCTGTCCACAGGCTTCATAAGAGTGAGGACAGTACAACAACCTTAATTAATCGTCTCCCTTTGAATATACCCTCGGCTATGCTTACTGAGGAGGAATTGGATGGAGGGGAACTTTTAAGTGTTGAAGAGGTTTTTAAAGAAACTAGTCAAAAAATTTGAAAAATTTAAAATTAGAGAGAGGAAATAGACCCGGAAGATGGCTGTAAGGTTCAAGTATGGACTTATCATATATTATCAGCCGATGGGATGGAAGAGAGTACAATAATAAGAAGGCGTAAAATGAAGGTTTAGTGTTTAACAAGCTTGTTCTTGAATTAATTTTGTAGGTTAATTGTACTGAATCACTCAAAAGAATAGAATTTTCTAATGGACGAGAAACTAAATATGAGGAACGTGAGGTCTGAAACTTTTGTTTTGTTGCGATCTTTAAAAAATTTTTTTTAATATTTATACATATTAAGCCCCTCTCATTCAGTAGTCTCAGGGATGGTGTTTCGATGAAACTTTGTGCTCGAGTTGGGGTTTTTGCCAAGAAACATGGGGTCCGGAGGGACCGGATGCCACCCTACCTAATTTAAACTAAAATTTCCTTAAAGGTTATCAACAATTTGGACTCATTCACTCAACAACCAAATCATACACCTTTCCGAAATTCTTCAGCAACAAATGAGAGAACAATGGAAGATGTAGGAAAATTCTTTATAAATTAGGAAGTTGAAAATATTTTATTTAAAGGACGAGGATTCTGCACAGATTGGCAGCATGCTTTTTCAGACTCAGGATAGCTTCCTTCGTCTTGTTAGAGAGAAGAAGGATGCCCTTGTTAAACTCTTTCCTGAACTGGTAGAGACAATGCTCCTTTCCCCTAAAAAATTCTTTTTAGTTTACCAATCTGCGAACAACCCCCGCAATTTTTGAGTCAATGCCTTCTACCGTAATGGAAACCAGTAAAAAATATTTTAGAAAAAATTTAAAAATAATTTTTTAGTTGTAAACGAAGATGGAAGTACTACAACACGTACAAAATTTTCCAAGGCTTTTAGGTCCTAAAATTAAAAAATTATTTTTGTAGTACCCATTTACAGCTCTCATTATACACGTCAAGAAATGTTTATCAATGGGGTTCGGAAGGAGTGCCGTTCTCGTTTTCGAGCTTTTATGGAATATGCTGGTCCGGAAGGGGGATTCTGCATACGGTGATTTTAATGTTTATTGATACCTTGAAGAACTTTTTATCAAAAACAGACTAAATGATCACGCAGACGAGGATTTAAGCGAGGAAGAAAGTAACGACCATGAAGAGTCCACTTCTGATGGCAAAAGTTGGATAAGCAGCAGTGGACGTTCTTTAGCCTTATCAGAAATTGGGGAAGGACAATCAGCCTTGGTAATACCTGGAAAACAGGGACAGCTTTGCGTGTTAAAGGATAAAGAAAATAATAAAAGATGGGAGAAAGCATGGCACGCTGTGAATGAGATGGTGCAATCTGAGGAAAGATATGTACAAAAATTGGCATTACTCGAGAAAGTATTGAGGGGCTTGAGTGTGTTTTATAAGGTTAAAATTTTAGTTCCGCTCAACTACTGAACGTGCTCAACTTCTCGATAGAAGACTTCAATGCCACCTTTTTTCTAATATTGCATCCCTAAACCAATTCCATGAGCAACACTTGTTACCTCAATTAATGGATAGACGGAGGGAATGGCAAGGCACTAAAAGGATTAGTGATGTTCTCCGGAAACAGGCTCCATTCCTTAAAATGTACAGCGAATATACTAACAACTACAAAACTGCCGTTCATATATTCGAGGAATGCATGCGCAAGAAGAGAGCCTTTGGGGAAATTGTTCGGCAACTTGAAGTATTTCTCAATAAGTATTACAATTATAATCCCTTGTCCCCTTTAGCAATTACCCGAATGTGAACATCTTTCGCTTGTTTCCCATCTAATCTGTCCGGTACAACGGGTCATGCGTTATCAGCTTTTACTAAAAGAATATCAAAAGAATTTATTGCCAAATGACCCTGATTGGGAAGATACAGAGACTGCTTTAACTTTGGTGCTTGAAGCAGCCTCTCATGCTAATGAAATGGTTTTTGGATTTCAAAATATTTTTTAAAATTTTTAAAATTATTAAAGATGAGAAAGTTGGATCGTTATAGAAATGTTTTAGAAATACAAGAACAATTGGGTAATTCAATTGCCTTGGTTTCGCCTGGACGTGAATTGCTAACTCGATCACGTTTATTTAAGTGTTCTTCTAGCACCGGAAAGGTGGAGGAACGGTTAGTCTGAGGATTTTTTTATTCTGGAAAGCATCTTAAAGTTAGGTCCATCAATTGTTTCAGAAGCAAAATTACCTCTCATAGTCACGATAAATCATTGCTTCGGAAGCAAAAATTTTTTGAAGCAAGTTTCTGCTTCATCTAATAACCTGCTATTGAAACATATTCTAATTAGGGGTTAGAAGCAAATTTTCTGAAACAATAAGTACCTCTCATTCTTAAAATTTTAGATTACTCTTTGTCTTCAATGATCTATTTTTATTGGCCAGTGAACGTTCAACATTTATGATTGGAACTAGAGGTGCTAGCAAATATAAATTACGTGCTGTTTTCTTTGCGAAACAGACACAAATTTGTGAGGGGGATAACTTGGAATTGGAGAATTCGTTTTATCTGAGAGGGTCCAATTCGGCAAAGGCAAGAATTTTGCCAAATCTGAATCATATTTGATCATTTATGTTAAGGGACCTCAACGTTGCGTGGAACTTTTTTGTGAAACCGAAGCAGAGAAAAAGGCGTTGTTTGATACTGTTTGGGTAGCTAAAATATTTTTTTAAATATTTATTAAATTTTAAAAATCAGTCTGTTATCCAAGAAGCACACTCGAAAGAATTAAATAATAATCATTTTGTACAATCTCCCCAACTAACGGATAATCAACAACAGAAAAAATGTGCTAGATGTAATAATGATTTTGGATGGTTCAAAAGTTTTTTTAGATAAATCTTAAAATTATTTTAAGGTATGCCAAGCAAATTGAATGTCAGCGTTGTGGACAACGCTACTGTAAAAAATGTATAGCTCAAAAACCCCAAAAAATGTGCCTTAATTGTCTCAGAACTATTGTTTGAACTTTAATTTTCCATTGAAAATGTTTATTGTTTCAGGAGGGATTGCGCAACTCGAGATCTGAGGGGCCCTTGAATATTAGGGAAGGAACTCCAATTACGAGAAAAAATCTTTTGCAAGTTCCAGCTTCAGGAAACATGTCTGATGTTGTTAAAGTAAATGAAAATAAAATAAAAATTTTTATAAAATTTAATTTTCTATCCAGTCTGGCTATCTAAAATTCCGAGGGCATTCGGACAAGCAACTTAGACGATTCTTTGTTCTACGAAACAATTTTTGTATTTATTCGTATCGTTCTGATCAAGTTAGCTTATCTTATAAATACCTTGAATTTTACTAAAATTTTAAGGACAATTCCGCTTTAGCCATGCTTCCTCTATCAGGCTGTGACGTTAACGTCCACTCCTCAATGCTACAAGCAGAAAAGTTTGGAATTTCTTTGAGGCATATGAACAGACAATATTTATTCATTTGGTTAACATAATCATTTTACTAAAACTACTCCTCCAATTTTAGTGAAAACGAATTTGATCATGCTGAATGGCTTGCAGCTATGCTTCTTTCAGCCAATGCAAAATTACCGGGGGAAGAGTCGAGCGATGAGGAGAATGTTGATTTGAGCAATATAACGACAATAGGTCCGGAACAACAAAAACCGAAGCATTCATTTGCTTCGAGTCTGAAAAATCCATGGAATAGTTTAATCAGAAGGTCATCTTCTATGGGTGAAACACGCATTGAGCATCTAGAAAAGCCAGTTAATGGGAACAAAAACGAATTAAAAAATGGCAAGAATGAAAAATCGGATGAGGTAGAAGATGAGACAAGATGGAGAATATTCAAATTTTAAAAATTTAAAAAATTTTTTAGTGAAATTTTGAAAATATCTAACTAATTCATTCCTTCTTTCAATTTTTAATTAATTAAATAGGCCAGAGATTAATAATTACATATCATTTTTAATATTAAATCTAAATATTTTACAATGTTAAGTCCTCTATTTCGTTTCATATTGTTTCCAAATTTTTTTAAATTGTCTAGTCTCTCAATAAATTTTTAAGAGAATTTCTAGGATATGTCATAATTTAGAGTATCAATCATCTATTTCCTTTCATCAAATTTTCGTTGCAACCACCCCTGTAGGTGTACAAAGAATATAGTTTGGAAATGATAAGCCAAGGCAATTAATAGTGAGGCTAATAGAACCATTCCAATGCTCATGAAAATGATTGCCACGAGGGCTTGCCATAAGCTGGCTGCATCAGGATGATAATCTCCAATGCCTATAGTAGCCATTGAAGTAAGGCTGTAAAAGGGGAATTATTGAGGAAGGAACATGAAACGGAACCCTTGAAACTGACCAAAAATAAAGTACAACAATCGGCGTGTATTGTTTTAGAAGAGCTCCATATATAAACATTCCAATCAGTTGATGAACACAAAGCAGATATAAGGACTTTCTCAATGCTATCTGTTTTTGTGCTGAAGGTCCAATTTTATCCTTGCTCTGTAGATTAATTTAATTCGAAATTAAATAAGCTAACAAAATAGTCTAACCATTGGGCGGACAACACAAGTAAGGAAAAGCCAGTCGAGCGTATAAAAATCAGAAATTAATCTTCCCACATTGGCCAATGCCGAGAAGAATATAGGAACACCAAAGATTGTATATAGGGTGCAAAATGCCTGACTCAACTTATTCCCTGGCCGTATGTCGCCCCACCCGATAGTTGCTACAGCTTGAAAAGTAAAGAGAACTGCGCGATGGAATGGTTGTTCCGCAATTTTTTCATCAATTAATCTGAACAGGAAGGCTCCAAATAAAAGCAATAGTAAGGCACCAACTAAGCTTGTAAATAAAGGCAAATAGTTGATTAGGCAAAGGATGGTGTCCTTAATTTTTAAAAATTTTTAATCCAAAATTTTCTAAATTTCCAACAATTTCTCCCTTTTCTTCCTCAATTGTAGTAGGTTCCAAAGTCCTCTCCAACCCTTCTTCCAACGATTTACTAGGCAAATCATCTGTCAATATTGGAATGGATTTCCTTCTATCTACAAGGCTTTGTTCAACTTTGAAAGCTGCCATTCCTCGTTGTAAAGCTTTAGCTTGTTCTTTTTGTAACGTTCCAACTAATATCATAGATCCAAAGTGTGGTTCATCCGATGCCAAGGATTCCCTTCTTTTTCTCCTTCTAATTCCTGATCTTTGTAAAAGCTGTTCATTTTTAGTGTCCCTGATTCGTTCTAATGCTTTTAATAATTTTGACGTGATTTTTTGGCAAGTGTTTTGTTGGTTTAAAATATCAGTTTCACTATTTCCTGCTTGATTTTCCTCTGGTTTCGCATTAAGTTTTCTTTCATGTAGACGTTGCCTTGCCAATTTAATAGCCTTCTCAAGTTGAATTCTTTGTTGCAGATCGTTGAGTGATCTGAACTTTAAAATGGGGGAATTATTGTGATAAGCTTGGAAGATTAGGTTGAAGTTACTACCTCTGGGATAAAGAAGCTCTAGGCCAAGTTCTGAGATTAACTGTAGATTGAGACTGCTGCTCATTAAGCGAATTTTCAGCCATATGATTCATAAATAATTAAGATATATATTTAAATTAGATATTTCAATTAGAAATGCTCGAATATTTAAGTGAACTTAAATAATATTTTGATAATATTTATTAAATTTTGCACTAGATTCAATGCTTTGTGTTCCAAAAATGATTAAACGTTTAAGGGAAGGATCTACGAATAATAATATTTCTGTTAGTAAATATTTGTATTTATAAAATGAAGAAAATAAATCGGATTAATAGACCATAGAAGAATAAATAAAAGTATAAAATTTGTGACAAAATTTGTTAGTTATTGCGCAAGTTGGAACTCGTGAAAATAAAAAAAACATCACGATGCACGCGCAACACGCTACAATAAAAGGCAAGATTAAAGGTTAATTTTAAAGTTCATTTTGTTTAAAAAACTAATAAAAAATCTTGCGTTTCCTATCTTAATGAAGATTTTTAGCCACTCCTTTCTCAGCAGCCCCAGTATCTCCAACTTTGTTACAACGTTTCCAAAGCAAAAGTTTATCATATAGCTGAACAAAAATGCCTTTGAATTCAATATATAGGAAGGTTTGATAATAGAGTGCCAATGTTAGGAATAATGCTGAAAGAAGGACAATGCCAACGGAAATGTATAGGACGGCAATTATAGTCTTAAAAGGAACAAAATTATTTTAGGAATCAACTCATTAACCTCAGGCCAACTGTCAGTATCGGGGTGGTAATCGCCAAAACCAGAAGTTGCCATTGTTGTAATACTGGAAAATTTTTCAAAGAAATTTCATCAAACTGTCAATTCACCTAAAATATACAGTCGAAATTACTGGCCAATCTTTGATGCCAAAACTGTAAATACCCAACCCTATAGATTGATGGAATATTAGCAATGTTAAAATTGATGATAATGGAAGACGTTGGGTTTTAAAAACATCAAAATCCTCATCCTTATTACGCTCCTGAATTTTTATTTTTTAAAGATCATTTCTTTCCAATCTCTCCATACCTTTCCAAATATTTTTGATATAATAATAAGCCAATATTGACAGCAAAAGTGTGTTACAAGCCTTCCAAGATTGGCATAAACAGAGAATAGCATTGGTATACCTTTGAAAAGTTGATCTTAAATCTTCGGTATCCAGGTCTTTTTCAGATACGGATGTCCAACCTCATATCTAATAATTTTCTAATAATATTCCTACCTATAATGATATAGATAACTGTAAATGCTTGACTCTGTGTATTTCCAGCTTGAGAATCTCCCCATCCAATAGTTGCCAACAATTGAAATACCCAAATGAATGAACGAGCCCAAGATTTCTTTCCAATTTCATGATCAATGATTCGATAGATTAATGAGCCCATAATCATATATGCAATTAACGAGGCGATCATTGCCAAATGAGGGATAAAATGGATATAGAGCTATAATTTAGTTGAAAAATATTTTTAAATTAAAATTACAGGCTCTGGTTCTTCATATAGCACGGCTTCTTCAATCTCTTTCATATCCGGGTAATATTGAGAGCATTCTAAAATAATACTTTTTACCAGTTTTTTTACATAATAATTATTTATTTATTAAAGATAATTTTGTTAAATAAAAGCTACAGTAAACCTTTACATATTTTTGTACTATTTTCTTTGATATAATTAGCAAAAATAAAAAATTTCTTTCATGTGCTTCGGTGGCGCAGTCGGCAGCGCGTCAGTCTCATAATCTGAAGGTCGAGAGTTCGAGCCTCTCCCGGAGCATTATATTTTTATTTTGTATATTTTAGCCATAAATTAATTATTTTTGATTTTTAAATTATTTTTATATTGAAATTAATTTTTTTATTTATAAAAATCACCCTTTTCCTTTCCCTCTTTTTCACATTTATCGATATTTCCCATTTGTTGTTCCTGTTCTTCAGGGATTATCCCCATATTGTCAATGCTCACAATAGTTTGTTGGGTCATACTTTCAAGCATAATGTTACGACGTTTTTGTTTTTGACCAAAACCAGCTGCCCAAGTCTTTTGTTCTTTATCTTCTTTAATTTGCAAAATTTTCTCTCTTTCGGCATTTTCGGCATGCACTGATTTTTCGAGCATTTCACACAGAAATCGAAGCATTTTTACATCCTGAGGGTTGTCAAATTTTGAAAATTTCAAAAGTTCGACCATACCTCATTCAAAATGACATCCTTATTCGCTTCGTCATCTACCTTCTTATCAATTTTATCAATAAATTCTTTCGCCTCAGATAAAAGTGCACCACACTCATCGGTATCAGCAACTTCGTTCAACTCCAATTCGTTAGAGGGCAAAGGCAGTTGTAAATTGCCGATTCGGGAAAATAAAGAATCTTTTCTTTGTTTTGCTATGTTTGCCGAAATACGTTGAATTGCTGTCATTATTTTAAATTAAATTTTAAAATTTAGGAATTTTTATAAAGGTCCAAAATAGTAATGGAAATATAGAGAAAGGCATAAAATTTATTTTAAAAATATTATTTTTATTTTTTCTATTATTATGTGATTTTAAGCAGAATTCTGTGTTTTTCTATGTTTCTTTTGTTATTTTTTTCTAAAATCCTCTCAAACGCTTACGTGTAAAATATCGTTAAAAAATGTTGTTAAAAATTTTGGTATTTTTAGTCTATATTTATAAATAAATTTTCCTGAAAAGGACATATCAATAAAAAAATAGAAAATATTTCTACCTTCAGTAAAATTCCCGGTTCGAAAAAAATTATTAAAATATTATTAAGAGCTCTTTTAAATAAAATATTTTTTATTAAAAATTTTATTAAACATTTTAGGATACAATATTTTTAAAATTTTAAATGAAACATTTAAAATTTAAATTTATCAACTTTGAACACTTAAGATCACAATTGCACGATTGTATTATTAAAATATTTAATAATGTTTTGTGTTAAAATAATCTTAAGTGCCACTTTACAATAAGGAAATATTTAATTGAAATATTTTAAAAGTTGTATGGTTCTATTAAAAGATTTGTGGTATATCTTGAGACAAAAGTCCTCCCAATCTAGTTTTATTTTTTTTGATTAATTTTCTATTAAAATTTATTTTTTTTATTTTATTTAAACACTTAAAAAAGCGTACTTTTTTTAAATTTTGACAATTTTTATTTTTCATGCAAAATTAAAATATTAGAGAAAAAAATTCAATCTTTAATCACGCGCAACGAGGGAACACGAGGAAAGTTCCAAAATTTATGGGGGCAATTTTTATTAGTTAATTAAAAAATCTTGAAGAATAAAATAAAATTTTATTAAAAATAAAGTTAAATTTGAGGAGAAAAAAGGAAAAATAAAATCGAAAAATCATCAATTCTATTTTTATAATTTACTCAACTACCTGTTTTTTTTCTTAATTATTTTATTACTTTAAACAATAATTATTGATACTTTCTTGGTCAAATTACGTTAAAATATTTAATAATAAAATTTAAGTAAAGCAAAAAATTTTTTATCGTTACTAAAAATAATTATGTACACAATAGAAAAAATTGGTTAAAAATAATATAGGAATGATTGTAGTGATATGTACAAAAATTGAGATAATATTAAATTAAATTAAGGATTTATTTACATAGTGATTAATTTAGTGATTAATAAAAATGATTAATTTAGGCTCAGGTTTGTGGCTCAGGAATATTTTAAGTATATAAAACTAATAAGCATGGGAAGATTAAGGGAACAGCCAGACAGTCGGAGGATTCTTTATTTGATTAAATCAAAATAAGATCGAATACGAGTTAATCTCTAGCTTCAATAGTTCCACAAATATCCTTACTAATTTTAGTATGATCTCGTAGGATTGAAAAAAACCCCTGCTTCTTCAAGATCTCCCAATCCTGAGCCTTATTATTTGATTAATTTAAGTTAAATACTTAATCGCCATATTTTGTTAACCCTCATTTTGTTAAAAATAATATTGGTTAACATTGTTTTGTGGTAGGAGAGTTAGAATAAATGCATAGTTGAGCATAATAATGAGATGAAAAAATTAAATAAAAAATTAAATATAAATATATTTACATTTATTTACAAGTTTTTTTTAATTCCCCATAAAATGCATTTAATTTTTCCATGCATTCTTCATTAACCATTGCAGTGAATTTTCTAATAAATAAATATATTTAAATCGTATAAGTTATATGTATGTACAAACCAATATTTTGTCCAGTTTTGCATGAGATAAGATAGAACCCTAGAGGTCTACGCATTCCTGCTTCTTCAAGATTCCTGAAAGAATTTTTTGGTAATACTTAGGTTTACCTCCCTTTTTTCCTTTTTATTTTTTTTTTCTTATGGCAAACTTACAATTCATTAAACAATTCATCGTGATCAAACGCTCCGCGCAGGTCTGCTTTATTTCCGAGTACCAACAAAGGCATTCCATCCAAAACTGGCGAGGCCAATAATTGGTTTAATTCTTGTCTTGTTTCTTGTAATTTGAAACGTTCACTGGCATCCACCATAAAAAGAATTGCATCGGATCCTCGACAATAACGAGTCCAAGCACTTCGAAAGCGTGGCTGGCCACCCAAATCCCACACTTTTATTGACACTCTTCCTTTATTCCAAACTTGCCTAAAGGTTTTTAAAAAGTTTTTTTAAATAAAATAATTAAAGATACATATTAAAGCCAATTGTTGGAAGCTGTCGGTTGAGAAATTGGCCCGTCTGTAAAATTAATATTGTAAAATATTTTTAAAAAATTCGTGGCAGGGCAAAAGTCCAACAATGAGTGAAGTTGTTCCTGTGGCTGGAACATCCTTCCCCATTGAACTAACAAACAATATGTATTACTTGCGGGAAAAAGATCCAAACCCATTTGACCCAAGTTCTAATAGTACCCAGTTTGTTTGCATTATGTTTTGGAAGCCCTTTGCCCCTCACGCAAAAAATTAGGGATATTCATAAGTTTTCGCAACTCTATTTTCAATTTCAGTTCAATAATTTATTGAATAATATTTTTAAAATTATATGTACTTACAGAAATCAGCTGAGTAAATGTTGTTTTACCGCAGTCCTGTAAACCCACAACGGCCAATTCCATTCGCCGTTTACAGAAAAATGAGCGAATCCATCGATAAAATTTAACAAATTTCCAATAGACTTTAGGACAGATCACAAAAAATTTCATTTTTTTGATGCCAGTTTTAAGTTTTAATTTAATTTTAAATCGTGTTTGTGAGTAAAATTTCAAAAATCTAAGATTTGATAGCATATGAATTTGGATTTTTTTCAGGACGAATAAAAAATTTTTTTAATAAATTTTAAAGATGAAGATGGAAATTTTAGAATAAAAGAAAGAAAAATTTATTTTTGGAATATCATTTGATTTTTTTTATAAATCTCGAGGCTGGATTTTTGGATTTTACAACTGTGTAAACATTAATATTGATAAAATGCAAGCGAAGAAGTAACTTACGCAGGAATAAAATAAATCTTGGATGATTTGGAGTTTTGGGAAAATTTTCTAAGGATTTTTGTAAATTCTCTATCTAACGCTTGAAAGCTTACTGAAAATGCTTATAGAAAATTAGCTAGCTAAAATAGCAGCAAAAAATGGCAGAGGCCAAAAATTGGGAAAACATCAACAAGGCAAAACATTAAAAATCATAAATAGAGGATAATAATAAATAAATTCAAGTGGATTTATTTGCTCGTAAAGAGCTTCTCTCATTATTATGGGGATATGAAGCTTCTCTAATTTGTAAGTTGCAATTAAGCATTAAAAATCGCCAAAAAATTTTTTGGCATCAAAAATCTTTTAGCGGAATGCTTTTTTCCTCTTTTCTAGCAAATAAGGAGCAAATAAGGAGGAAAAACGTTATTGCATCATTTTTAATTGAAAATAAAAATAAAACATTTTTTTGACTCTATATTTTTTGTCTCACACAGTTGGTGATGGAATGAATGGTCCTTCCAACAAGGAGGTCATCAACATTTTTTACTGACTAAAAACAGGTGCAGAGGTTAACATATTTTAAGATTCCTCCCTCGAATAGTACATGTGTTTTTCTTATGCTAAATGGACCCAAGGCAACCCAGACAGGAAAAGATTTGTTTAAGGGAACAGCTGTTGTGTTTGAATTAATGACCTTGTATATTTTAGAGTCTTGAATTGGTGTTAGGTTTATTTTTATGAGATGTTGTGCCGTGAATAAATTTAAAAATTAAAGTCATTGTAGCTTCAACAAATCGTTCTGCCTGTATTTTTATCCATAAAAGTAAGATTCACCTATGGATAGCCAAAAAAAAATCTTTTAGATTTACCATGTCTCTAATGTCTATCCAAATTATTAGAGAAAATTTTGTGGAAAGGGAGAGGAAAATTTGTTGGTCATTTTCGGCTTTTTCTTTAAGAGAAAATTTGCTTCTGGTGATGGATTAATTGTCTAGCAAAAAGTCAACTTTTAGTGAGTACAAATGCACTCAAAAATGGGAAATATTTTTTGAATTATTGAAAAAATACAACAAATAGGTGCTTAAATCTTTAAATTAAAAATAAATTTATTTCTGGGAATTAATTGGGTGTCATCTTGGATTGTAGAACGGTTAATGGTTGACGCCTGGCATCTGATGCTTTGATCCGCTTGATTAGATCATATATATTATCTCCTTTATTTAGCTTTTCATATACTGAAAAAGTGTTTTACTTTTTTATCTTTTGTTAAAGTGCCCAGATAAGAATGAGAGATAAGGGGTTACTGTAATTTGCTTTGAAAAGGCTTTGTAATGCCGGTTCGGTGCCGAATATAAAATAAATGTAAAATGTGGTGCTTTTGATTAATGTATCCGAAATTTATTTTTATTTTTTTATCCGATACCAAATTATGTTTTCTGTACTTGTTATTGGACCTCCCTGTAACTATACTCATCCCCCCAATAATTGTGTTTGGCATGAACGAAATAGTATTATCATGCTAGTTCACCCTATCCGCAAACTTATAACCTGAATCTATCCGTTTCCTTTCTTCTTCTAATCGTTGTATAATTTTTTGTGGAGGTACTTGATCACCAGGCTTGATTATCGAAAAGTCTGGTGCTGGAAATATGGACAAAGGAGTTGAAGAATGGGATGAATTTGATGAAGAATTTATTCTATCCGTTGACACTGTTTGCTGTTAAATACGTATTAGATGTTTTTAAAATTATCAGAAACCGTTTCAACTTCCGGGAGAACCCAATCATCATCTGCTGGTCTATGTTCTATTTTTCCATCGCCAGTCACTTTTCCATGAAAACCTCCATCAGGCAACAACATTTGAGATATAATCTGACTCTCTCGAGAACGTTTTCCGTCATTTGGATGGAAGATAATTAGTTGATCAAGAATATGGCCAGTAGGAGTAGCCTCTATTGTCTCGGAATGAATTGAATTCAGTAAACCTGAATTTTAGAATACTTTTTGGCCTTAAGCGTAAAAAACCCTGATCATGGTTGTTTTTAACCAAGTTAAGCTCTTCTCCTTCTCTTTCTTCACCGACTTCTCCTTCAGCTCTTTTCTTATTGCCAACACTTTTTCTTCCATATTTCTCAATCCTGCTTCCTTTTTTAGAATTAATGTCGTCTGACATTTTGTTGATGATTTCCTATTTGAATAAATATTTTGATAGGTATTTTATGGGGTTTGTCCTATAATCCCTTATATTTTCTAATACAAAGTTGTCTTTAACCTTTAGGATAAGGATATTTATTACTCACCCATTTTTCTTCATTTCTCGGAGCATATCTTCGATTTTGTTTGGATTTTGCCTTCTTATCTTTACATTCTTTCCCTTCTTTACATCCATTTAATTCCTCATCCTTCCCAATTAGTATAATATTTTTAACCAAATCCCCACTATTAATTCCTGGATGGGCTTTTGCTTGTAAATCAGCTTCTTCAAAATCAAATTCCATAGCAGCCATACTTTTTCTCTGTTCATCCAAAGAATCGCTGATTATTGAGTGAGACTTATTGACAGTTCCAGTCTTGATCGTTGCCTCATTATTTACATTCACCGGTTGCTCTCTTTGAGCTTTATTATTTTTAACATTTTTTGTTTTGATGTGTCTAGGTGAATCTTCTGATTCTTCAGATTCATCAGACGAAGAAACTGAAGGTGAATGACTTTTTGGTTCAACTTCTGGGGAAGAAAGTTCTTCTACTTCAGCGATTGGAGTCGCTTCCGTTAGCTTTAGAAGAGATTTTTTAAATTAATTAAAATTTTATTGAACTCATATTTAATTTTCGTTAAATTTCATGGCAGAAGGTTGCTTTATAAATAATATTTATTCATAAAATAAATAAGAGGAATGTGCAAATTAATTAAAAATCGAATATAGGTAAATTAAGTAAGAGAGGATCGAGCTTGGAGCATTTAATATCCTTAGGTGTAGGTTTAAAGCTTAATTCGATTTTTAATATTAAAATTAAAAGTGTAAATTCTGGTTGGAGAGAATAATTTAAATCAAGTTTTTGACACACTGTTTTTATAAAATTTAATCATATTCTTCATGTTTCCCCTCTGGAATAGACGACTGTTCACGTAACATTTCCGGATCCAGCATCATTCGAAACAAATCCCCATACAGATTAGCTGCTCTATCGAATATTCGAAGTTCAGGAGCATTCTCCATTAATGTCTGTACCATATCCCCACCTCCTCTCGATACAGCTGAATGGCTGTTATGAACAAGTGGAGAACTAAAGTGCCGGCGACGCCAATTTCTTTCGCCATGAATTTGTTGAGGAACAGGATTGTGAGGTTGTGTAGTTATTGGATTTGTAGATGAGGGAGATGAGATGACAGGAGTGGAGGAGTTAGTAGAAGATGACAGAAAAGCCTGAAACAACAGCTCGAATTCGGTTTAGTTTAAAAAATGATAAAAATTTAGATTTATTTTTTAATTTTTCTTGTAAGTTTAAAGCTTAAACCGAATTTGAGTGTGTTCAGAAGGTGATGAGGAAAACTTGCAACCGCAAGGTCAAAGTCATTTAATTTCTAGATATCTACGACCTTGTTAAATAAGCTACAACCCTGTTAAACCCTGTTATAAATTTTATAACCATGTGATTGCAAGCTTCATTGTGCTATTCAGAAAATTTTACATAAAATCTTTGATTAAGAGTGCAAAAATGTTAGCAAATCGGGAGAACATGTAACGTGTTTTGTGATAAATTTTATTCAACCTTCTGACCATCTTTCGTTTTTTCAGTTTTAAATTTTATTTTCGTGCTATATTTTTCAAATTTTATTTAAAATTAAAACCCCAACCTTTTCAGAACTGCCAGATCCCTCTTTGCTTTCTTCCTTTTCTTCCACCCTTATTTTTTCTTCCTTCTCCTTTTTCACTTCTTTAATATTCTTCCTACCTTCTTCCTTCTTAATTTCATACTTTTTCTCTTCCTCATCCTCTTCCAAAACTTTATTAGTCTTTTCTATTAATTCCCCTTCCCCTCCTTTTTCCCCAATACCCATCATGTGCTGAACTTCAGTTATTATTTTTTCCAAATGTTGAATTCTGTCACGAACTCCATCTGGTTTTTGACGTTTTTCTTTGATCATATTTTCAGCTTCATCTTTTTTCTTTTCAATAGTTTCTTCTTTGATTGATAAGGAACGCTCTAATGTTTCTGCTACGACTGAGAGTGGATCTGGGTGTTTTGTTGGCTTGTTTGTTTTTATTGTTTTATCCTCGCTTATTTTAGTTTCAGCTTCATTATTTTCCTTACTTTTTGCTTCATTGTTTGTTCCTTTATTTGAAATTGAAACTTTGTTAGCTTCATGCTTTGTTTCACCTTTTGCTTCAGATTTCGCATCGTTTACTGATTCATTTTCGTTTGCCTCTGTTGCTTCAATCTTCATTTTATGCTTTGCTTCAATTTTTGCTTCGTCCTTTGCTTCCTTATTTTCTTCCAATTTTGCTTCCTTTTTAGTTTCTTGATTTACTTCATTATTTTTGGAGTTCGTTGCTTCATTTTTAACATCCTGAGCTGGTCCATTGTTCAAACCATCCTTTGCTTCATTGTTCGCCTTCGTTGATTGTTGGTTTAATTCTTCCTTTGCTTCTTTAATTTCTACAGTTTTCTCTTGTATAACCTCCGCATTTTCAGATTTCTTCCCAGATTTGTTATCATCCTTCTTATCTTTATCCTTAAGTTCCAGACTTTGTTCCTCCCTGATCTTTTCTTCGACTTTATTCAGTGCTAATACTTCCTCGTTCTTCTTCTCATCCCTTATCTCATTGCTTATTTTATTCTTAATTAAATTTGCTTCAAGTTTTTCTTCTTTATTGTTTTCCAAATCCAATTTCTTGCTTTCATCCCGAATATTATTTGATTTCGGCAATAAGTTCTTCCTGTCTTCCTTCTCTTCCTTTTCATCATGTTTTTCCTTCCTTGTTTTTGTCTCTTCACTTTTTAACTTTTCTTCTTTGATGTCCTTCTCTATGATTACCTTCTTTTCTTCTTTGATCTCCTCATCTCGATTAACCTCGTTCTTCTTCAACTCATACGATTTTTTCTCGTTTTCTTCCTTCCTTTCTTCATCCTTCTTCACTTCCTTATTTTCTTTATTATTCTCTTCAATTTTTTCAATCTCCTTATCTTCCTTCTTAATTTTATTTTCATCAACAATCGTAATTCTTTCATTTTCTCCCTTCTTATCCTCTTTATCATCATTTTTAATCTTATCTTCATTCTTCTCTTCCTTCTTCTCTTCCTTTTCACTTATCTTTTCTTCGTTGATCTTCCCAGCATTTAGCTTATCTTCTTTGATTTTCTCATCATTTTTCTTATCCACTTTTGGTGTATTCACAATATATTTATTTTCAAGTGTGTATTGTTTAATATTCGATGTTTCATCCTCTCCCAATTTTTTCTCGGTAATTTGGACAGATTTTGCTAAAAAAATTTTAAATTCAAATAAATATTTATAATATTATTCTTACATAAATTCTGAACATTTTTATTCTCCTTCTCATTATCACTCGAATTTTTGTTTGAAATCGTGTTTCGATCTTCTGTTAAATCTGAAGGATCATTAGAAATAATTAAAGGCTTCTTTGGATTTAACGATGATTGAATATTTTCTCTCGAGTTTAAATTTATTATCTAAAAATATTTGAAGTTAATTTTGTATAAATTTAAAAAGTTTATAGGCTTAGAGGGTGTATTCAAGTGTTAGAGGCTTATTTAACTAAAGGATTACTGTATTTACTCATTTCTCGTACCTGGCTTTTTTCACGTACAGAAAGCCCGCTTTGCCCACGATTAGAATCAGAAGAATCAGAAGCCTCTTTTTCACGTAAATTGGCCTCTTCTGTTCCAGCAACTTTCAAAACTTTGCTTTGTTCCTCTTCAAGCTTATTACTTTTAGCTTCTTCATTTCCCTCCTTCAGTTTCTCTTGATTATTATTTTTTTTATTATCAACACTAGAAGAAGCAGAAACATGCGATTCAACTCGTCGTAAGACTACAGCACCTCCTGTCGGCCTAGTGCTTTCTAATTCATTAGGAGGTTGTTCATCTTCACCCCCAATAATTTTTGATGTTGCGTGTTGTGTTACTCCCCCAACTTTTGATACTTTTTTTTCTTCCACAACTTTTTCAACATCTTTTGCTAATTTTTGTTCAGGAGATGATGATAATTTATTTGTTGTTTCTTCGTTTTTATTTGTTATCACCTTCTTTTCTATAATTGTTTTATCCCCTAAAACAGAGTCTCGATCCTCCTTATTGGTTTTTGAGTTTTTCTCGACTCCTTTAGTGTTTTCTAATTCACTCTTCTCAGTGATACTATCCGACTTCTCAATAGTAGTCTTTTCTAAAATCGGTATTATATTATAATTGTTCTCAGATTAATCTCACCTTTATGTTGAGTTTCGCTGTTTCCCTCTCCTTTATTAAATGCCCTTTCCCAATAGCCTTCTTCCTTGGCACCAATTGGTAATGAACAATTCTTTTTATCGTCCTCTCTATCAGAAATTCCGAAAAATGTTAAAATATCTTCCAGCTTTTTCCATAATGGATTGTTTAAAGATTCATGCTTAAATTATTTAATTGTTGGTTAGGATTGCAATACGATTATTATTTCACCTCAATATGTTTTTCATGACTCCGCTGGCACACAAAACGATAGTTGAAACCAGCACCTGATCCCAAATCACAATCAACATCGTCTAAGCGACGTTCGTTTATATTAAGTAATGCACAACGCTCTTTCCCCTTTGCATGATCAAATGGCTCTCCCATTGTCCATTTTCTATATTCATTTATTGCTTTAGTATTTTAATTTGAAATTTACGTAATTTCCAAGTTTAACGGCTTCCCATTTACCCAACGCCATTCACGAGATGTCAAGCCACTATCACTATTGCTGCCAGCCTCCCCTTCTATTGTATCAAGCAACAACCCAATTTGCACTTGTCTTTCACGTAAATGGTTAAATTGGGGTTTATAGTGAGACAAAAGCCATTGCTTAAAATTTGCCGTTTAATTAAAACTTTTTAATTCAATCACCATTTCCTCGATTGACTCAATACTAACAAGATCGGCATTTTGTGCAAGACATTTTTCCCGCGCACTTAGCCACGACTGCTTTCCAATATGAAATTGATATTTTTGATTTTGCGGGCCGGAAATCCAGGGAGCTTGTTCACTCGGAACAGATTCCACAGGCTGTAAATGAAATAAGTCTAAGCTAGGATATAAAATATTTGCCTGATTTCTATCATCATCAGTCTGATAAGCTGGATCCATTTTATTAGCATAGGCTTGGAGAACTTTTATTAATTAATCACATTTTATTTTTTAAATTTAAAATTCAAATTTACCAAGTAATGATGCGACTACGCACCTAATTGATGTTCCCAACATTATTTTAAAAAAATTTCTAAATTTCTTAAAAGTCTTTAAAAATCAAATAGAGGTATTAAATCTTGAGTAAAGTGAAATTACAAAGACAAAACTGAACTTATATTTGGGTTAATTTTAAGTGAACAGAAGTTTTTTGTTTTAGTGAAATGGTTTTATTTCGGATTTGCGCAGTAATAATGACTTGAAGGCTTTTAAAGGAGAGAATCTATAACCTATTAGAGGTGACCGGGTATACTAAAAATGGAAAAAGGAGCGACTGAAAGGCTAAATTGACGAATTTTCTTTAATGTTATCGGCAAAAATAAAAAGCCGGCAAGTGTGTTTAGCGGTAAAAACTGACGGCAGAACCATTTTCTTCATTTTAAATGTGAAGAAAAAATGATCAAGTAACGTAAAAAGCAGCAAAGAAACAACAGATTTATATTCATTAATGACCGAGAGCTTTTTAAATGACAAAAGAATTTAGTGACTTTATAGTTTTTAGATTTTTAATGGGTCAGTTGATTCGGTAGTGAAAAGAAAACCGCGTTAAGGATAAAGAAAAACAAGAGTTTTTAGTGTGGCAGTGGCGCAACTACCTTATAATTCTCGCTCAAAGTTGATGGAGTATTATTTATACCCTTCCAAAAATGGGGCTCCAAAGATGTTTTCGCGCGTACTAGGGCAGAAAATTTGTGTGAATTAGTAAGAAAATTTTGATAAAAAATTTTGTGAATTACATTAAATTTTGTTTTAAAAATGTCGTTTTTTAATCCTCTTTTATGGGATTTACGAAGGGAAGAACGGCTTTACTTTGATAAAAAATGAGAATGAATTCTAGTAGATTTTATGATCATTTTTCTTAATTAATGAGTAATCCTTTGGATGAAAGCTTTAATTAAATAAAAAATTGGGGTAATTACCTGACTAGTTTTACTTTGAATTTCAAAATATTTTTTGATTAAGCATGCATGAGAAAACAAAAAAAATTACCTTTAAGCATTAGTAGGTTAAAACGCAATTTTATTAGTGCTCTTAAGTCAAAAATATAATTAAATTTTAAATTCAAATTTGAAGCTTAATAAAAATTTAGAAAAAGTATTTGACGAGGGTGGGATTCGAACCCACGCCCTTTCGGACTGGTGCCTAAAACCAGCGCCTTAGACCACTCGGCCACCTCGCCATGACAGGAGATTTCCAACATTTGCTATTTATGTTGAGAAGGAAGGGGCTGTTTCTAGCCTCACATAATGCGCTGCTCTCGACTGGAAATAGAACAAGAGGCAAAAATATAATAAATTGTCGCATTTATAGTGGTAAATATACACTAGTATTGATTTTAAAAAGAAGAGGATTTTTTAAAATTGTAAAAAAATTTAAAATAAAATTTTGGACAAGCAAAAAATTATTTAAAATATTTTTTAAAATTATTTCTAAATTTCTTTTAAAAATCTCTAAGCATTCAGTTGACATTTACCTTCTATTTTTGATGAAGAACAATACCTTTATCCTCATCTATTCCATCTTGTTCTTCCAATTGCTCCTGACGACCCCAACGTCGTCGCCATTCCTGTACTCGATCAACAGCTTCGGTAAAACTAAGGGATTTGGCCATAGCCTAAAATGACGGGATTTTTATGAATTCTGAATTTTCAGAATTTTTAAATATTTAAGAACATTTCAGAATAAATTCAGATACCATGCTAATTATTCCACACCATCCATTCTGGTCTAATCTTTTTAAAGGTGCGCGAAAATGACGGCAATAAAGAAACTCGAAGGCCAAGCATATCAAGCTCAACAACTAAAAATTTTTAAAATTTTAAATATTCATCAAAAATTAGTTTACAATTCCAACAGCTAGAAGGAAAAAAGCACTCAAAAAGTTCTCAACTCCAAGGGGAGAACTGCCACTTCCTTGTGTATTAGTCTCTGGAGAACAAGCACCGGTTAACCAAAAATTTTGAAGTCGTTCTAAATCCCCTGGAGAATTTTTAAAAAATTTTTAATTATTGTTTTAAAATATTTTACGACCCCTTTGTTGGTATTGAAGCATAAAATGATTTACACGTGAAACTAAAGGTGAATTTTTTGGGAATCCAATGCCATATCCGGTCATGCTTGCCCACTTGCCAACTGTCATTAATCCGCAATTGGGATCTTTTCCTGCCTGATGATCAAGAACAACAGCATCATAAATAAATGCATCCAGCTCTCTTTGAATTAAATTTGAAAATAAAATTCTAGTTTTTAAAATACCCTCTTCGAACTGACTCAACGCCTGCAGAAATATTATCTCTATAAAATTGGTTTTGTTCGACATATGAATGCATTCTGTGCCAGTTTCTACGCATTGTTTCGTGTGTATTTCCTCCTTCAACAGTTCCAAAGCGGAAAGGAGGATTTTGGAGTTCAGGGAAGTTTAATTTCTCATCATCAACACCAACAAGTTCGTAATATTGTACTCGAGTTATCATAAAAGCTGCCAAGTTTGCGGTCTAGTAATGAACGAAAATTCCGATTAATTAGTAAAAAATGTGATTCAAGATTTAATTAAAGATACGTTACTCACATAAATTCCGCCTAATGAGATACCGAAGGCTGCCCAAATCTAAAGTTATTATGAAAATGTTAAAGAGGAGGATCTACCAATGACATAAATCGGCTGACAGTTGAACGAGGAACGTCTAAAAATTCTCTAAGTTTTTATAGGGATAAACAATAAAAACCAGTGCTAACTGAAGCACTAAATAATGTGGCCCATACAAGCCAATAAGAACGACAAATTGAAAATTTATGTCCTGCATTTAATTAATTATTTATCAAATAGCAATAAATCCAAACCAGGTGGAGGATAATTTTTCATATCAAAACTATCAGGACTGAACCATTCGAATAAAAAAATGGATAGTGCAGCTCCTTGAATGCTAACAACTAGAATTATAGCCCAAGTGCTGTACTCGAAGGGTTCCGAAATTTTTAGAGAAATTTTAAAAGGTATACAGCAATACCAAGAAATGCAGTTGGTGATAGCACTCCACTACGAATCTTAACCAGTATAGATATACCAGTTTCCAAAAATGGAATAGAAAAGTCAACATCGCGGGCTCGTTCACTATTCAGCTTAAGTGAGGTTACACACCTTTATATATTTATTATTCATTTTAGTAAAAAATATTTACATATCAGCTTTGTTTGTTACCAGATCCTGAATTAATCCGTTCCAGCCTTTTTCCTAAATTCTTGGAATTTAATATCTTAACAATATCAATCTCCCTACTGTTTTTATTCCCCATTTTTCATCTCTCACTTTATAAAGTGTATAGCTGAAACCAATATCTGCAGCTAACTTATTCAATAAATCCACACAATAACCAGTACAGCATTTCCATAATGTTGTGTTTCTTTAATTAATTTTATATTTTCTAATCATAAACAGATTAACTCAAATCCCCAATCACAAGGAGTTCCTTGGCTCCCTGGGCATTGTCCAGTTTCCGGATCTAATTCAGTAACCACAACAAAAGGAGGCTCATGCAGTGTAACAACTCTAATATGAAATTTGTCAGGTGTTCCTTGTGGGGGATTTGCCTTTCCCTCTGGCCATTCCATGTCTGCCATTCTGAGTTGACCACCAGTAAATTCCCCTGTAATTGTCATCTATTTCTATTCAAAATTTTTGCTTGGAATTTTTACCAACTCTTTCCCAATGTAACGTCCCCTGTTCTCCATCTACTAATAAAGAATCTTTGGAACGTTTAGTTCGTAAATTGGAGATTAGTAAGTGTGAATCACGCAAGGTTCCTTGATCTGTAAATGCGTAAAAGAAGGAATCTAAACCATCTTTTGCGTGATGAGGATTGCCTTTGAGAAAAGACGAACGCATATTTCTTTAAAATTGGGATGATTTCATTATAGATATTCCGAGAAATAAGTCACTCACTCGTAAATTTGTTTGCCCAGAGGCCAACTAGTTATTCTACTCGAGTTACAGCTTGCAGTAGAGGAAATATTCTGATCAAAACTTTTATTATATAAAAGTTTTGCTAATCCAAGACCAAAAAACTTGGAAAATTTAAATTTTAGAACAAGTAAATAGGGTTTAAACTTTTGGTGCTAATCCAATAATCATTGGAAGTACATCATCCGCTGGCGGAAACATTGCATTGGAAGTCTGAAATACCAACAATTAAGCTTAAAATCTCCATTTACCGTATGAAAATTAACACTAAGCATTCCTGCTTTAAGTGGAGGTTGTGCTGTTTGTGTCCATCCTTTTACTGACTGCGTGCCAATCCAGAGATAATTTGCTGATAACAGACCCAAAGTATCGGCAATATAAAAAGCTCATAATTATCTTTATAAGTGTTAAACTGAACACACCTGAAATATTCGTCTAGTTCTATCAGTAGTACTATATAGAACGATAATTCGAGCTTCAGAATTTTTTAAAGCTGTTAGTCTCTGTTTAATATGTTGATCACCTAATTCTGAATCAATTTCTTCGTGATGTACAACCTCGAATCTACCAAATTTATTTTTGGAATAATTATACGATAAACTTGAATGAACGGTCTTCTTGAGCCTGTATCTCGTTCTGAAGCATTTTTAAGAAATTCTGGCTACCCGCCATTTTAGACATTACTACTCCGAATCTTGCCCATTGGTAGCGTCGGAGTAGTGCAAGGATAGCTCGCACTTGATGTTGTATTGGCGATGCAAGTTGTAGGATAGAATAGTGTGACATTGGCTAATAATATGATGGTTATAGGTGAAAGATTCAATTTTATCTCGAATACTTTTGGAAATGTAAATCCAGCATTATCAGCATTCCAAGCAATTATGGGTATTCCAGTTTGAACTGCCATTTGTAGAAAGTACTGGGCTGCAGCGGTGGATTCCCCAAACTCTTCTGAGGCGGATACGAAAACAATTAGAGCAACTTTTTGAGCCGTAACCACTCCACAAAGACAATCAAGAACATGTGCAGGAAAGAAGCGTCCACGAGGGAGAATACAATCCAAGGGAGCCAATGTGAATTTTGTTGGTAATTTTCGGAGGGTTCTAAAAGTATGTAGGGGTTTTATATGAAACTGGTTATGTTACGTGATTGACTGGCCGCTGTTTATATTTCTGATGGACTCTTTGAAAGCCTTGTCGTAAACTAAATGGTGGCTAATTTAGTGGTTTTATTTATTATATCCAACAGACCTTTGGAACGTGCATAATTCTAAAAAAAATTATAAGATACCTTTAACTTTCAAAATTAAAAATTTTATTTTGCCTGGTAAACAAGTGCGATGTGCACCACCTGTTTCTGTTTACCCTCATGCCGCGCATGTTGATTAAAAGTGTGATTAGTAGAGGCGAATATATGGAAGTGCAAAGTTAAAATAATTAAGGTATAAGCTTCAAGATACCACATATTTTTTATTTTAGGAATTTTTCGAGAGCATTCAGTTTAAAAATAAACAAACACTAACAATAAGGGATAAAATAGGGAAGGTTTAATAAATTCCTTCTCAAGGGAAATTTAAAGGATATTGGATAAACTAAGTTGGAAGTAAACTTAATTTGCCAAAATAAAACTTTTAAACATTTAAAATTAGCCTGGAAAATTGTTCCTATGTATAAATTTGGACCTCTTTAAAAACAATGTTTAATAAAAAGATTTAATATTTTACTCATATTTTCAAGAAATTTGGAGTTATCTACATACAAAAAGTTCGTTGACATAAGCATGTAAATAAATAATATAATGATTGTAAGTAAGACTAGGGAACCGGATTTGTTTTTAAAAAATTTCAGCGAGAATTTAGCTTCACAATTCTGTTCAGAATCATCAAAATGGTCAAGGAACCGAAAAAAAGGGAGCAACCAAAGTATTACCAAGACTCCTAACTAAAGATAATTTTAAGATCGAACTAGAAACTGAAAAAAATTCGAAGTAAAATCTGGTCCCTAGTCTTAAAAAAGATTTAAAAAATTATTTTGGGCAATACATAGAAAATTAAATATTAAGTAGAATAGATAAAAATTTCGAGGTGAATCTTAAATACAAGAAATTTGATAAAAGATAAGAAAATGCAAGTTGGGAAGATTATGGCAGATAAAAATTATAAAAGTTCGAATCCAACAATAACGAAATTTTCGAATAGTGAGAATATATTTGCTTTTAAGCCTCAAGGAATGATTGCTGGAGACCGGTGCTCCCTAAGCCTGAAAAATTTTTTTATTCACCTCCTATAATTTAAAAATTTTAAACCTTTCAGCAGACATACTTCTTACAATTGTTTGTCCATGTAATGCAAGTTTATCTTCATAATTTCTGCTAAGTGCTTCTAATCTGCCAGCCCTTTCCTTATAAAGCGGCTGCAATGGCAATTGAATATCGTTAGCAATGGCAAGAGTACGCAAATCGTAATAGTATTTTGCATAAATTGAGCTAGGCACGTTAATGTTGAATTCAAGACATTCCAGAAATTGTCTTTCCAGTTCATTCCTTTGGAATAAAATAATAAACTTGGATTTCCCTTCAGATCCCTTGATATCCCTTCAAGTCTACCTTAAATCCTTTTAGATCTTCTTATATCCCATCAAATCCCCCGTAATCCCTTCAATTACCCCATAATCCCTTCAAATCCTCTAATATCCCTTCTATTAATTTTTAATCACTGATGTCCCTTCAATTATTTTTTAATAATTGGTTTATTAAATAGGTACGGAATACACTCGTTATAAATTTCCGATTACTAATTAATAAATAAAAAAATTTAAAAAATTTTATACATATCATCAACGTTAGTGTCTCTTAATATTTGGCAATAGTCAACGTTCCAAACAGCTTGATCATCCCAAACTTTTGAAGCCAACATTATTGACCCCAACACTATACGCCTCCAATTTGATGGACACAAATCTAATTCAGCATAATTTAATAATCGTTCAACATAAACTAAGGTTATTATTGCACATTCAGCGGTAAGTTGAGCAGCATGAAAGAGTGTACGAATGAAACGATAAATTTGGCGATGTTCGGCTATGGAAAATTTGTTTTAAAAAACTTTTTAGGCTTAGAAGCTTACGATCACGTGTAAAATTTTCTGGTGGAACAGGTTCACTCTAAAAATTATTTGATTAAATTCTAGGGAAAACTCAACAAAGTCCCGACTCAACTGAGTCCCGGGCACTATACCTTATGAAGGGATGGTCACTTTTTTATGTTCTTGGTACCAATGGATAGAGAATTAATTATGCTACAAGATACGAAAAAATCAAATTTCTCGGCTGGCTGATAAGAAAGTTATGACCGATAAAGTGGTACCAAGCTATCCATTGATACCAAAAACATTAAAGATTATCACACCCTTCTTGTGTTATAGGTCCGGGACTCAGTCGAGCCGGGCCATAGCTGAAGCACCATAAATCCTACTGGAGATAATCATAAAATATTAAATAAACTAACAGTAATAGGGTGAAGTCTTTCTTCAAAAATTTCCATTAAACGTTCCTTTCCACGATTTTTTCTATTTGAGATATGATAAAAAACTGCTAATGAAACACAAATAATTGTATTTTTTAAATGTGGTTGTGAAATTGTAGAATCATCCATATATATTGTTGAACAACTATTTGATTTCTTTAAGGTCATAGGGGCATGGAGGTTGTTTAGATCCAACACATAGAAAGACCGTCGATTGTCTCGTACTAATATTTTCTTTAAATTTTAAAAATACTAGAATTAAAATACGTTTCATTTCGCTGCGACTGCGTTCAACAAATGTTGGACGAACTTTGGGTTGTGTAGATGGATCTTGCTCATCTTCTGCGAATATTATTTTTAAAATATTCTTAAGATATCGGCCTGGATCTGGATCTAGGCCTTGAATTTTTCCTTGATCCATGGTCAAGATAAAGGCATTTTTCAGTGCTCCCTGATTTTTCCTTAGCTAAGGGTCAATAATCTGGCCAAGGTTCTCAACCAAAATTAGGAATCAAGGTCAAGGTTTTTTTTAATTCCGACCTCTAGATATTTTTTTGGGATATTTTATGGGATATTTTCTCAAAATTATAAAATATTCTAATCAAATAAAATTTAATAAAAACCGTCTGGAACTTCTCTTTCGCTGATATGAGGCAAAAAATTAACAGAAGTATCTCTTTCATTAAGTAGGTGATTATCCTTTAAAGTTTTTTTTATTTTCGAATTAATATTTTTTAAATAAAATACATATTTACTCTCTCTAGGAGAGGTTTTTCTCTTTGATAAATTTGGTGCATGACGTGCGCAGCAGTTCTTGTTGCCCATAATTAAAATTTTTTAACTTATATGGGGTTTGTTAAGGATTAATTTTTATCATTTTTTAATATTCCAAGACTTAATGGCAAATTGACATCAGACTTAATTTGCCTCGAATTTTCGTTATTAAACACAATGCCAAAAAATTGATTTATTTTTACTATTTTAAATTTCACTACAGTAGATAACTTTAATTAGGGTCAAAGAACTCACAGGGGATCCCTTCCAGAAATCTCGGCTTTTAAACAACAAACGGGATTACAGAATCAATCCCTAGAGATTTTCCATCTCCAATTAAGGTCAATAAAATAAAAAAAATACCACACAACGTGTTAATATGAAAAAAACATCTACGAGATTATATCAACGAATTATTTTATAAATAGATTTTTTGTGTAAACTCCCCTTCTCGCTAGTTTCCAATCCTTAAATAATTCATAAATAAAATGGAAAGTTTAAAATTAATATTAATTTTATTAGTTATTGTTGTAATTTTGGCATTATACACCATGAACACTGCTATTTGGCCTTATTCTTCAGGGTTTCAAGTAAAAACTGAAACTAACTTTCATAAAAATTTAAAAAAATTTTTTAGATGGGTACAGGAGCATTGGTAACTTTTGAATTTTTTTGAATCTAAATTAGTGTAGCACCTAGTCCCCGACAGTTTTTTGGCAAAACTCTTCCCCAACCCCTGAAACTACACAAACCAAAAAATAACCCCAACACTTGAGATGCGCTTCTCAGCAAACCCCGATTCCCGACCCCGAAGTCGGGTTGCTACCCTACTCTAAATTTAAAAAAAACCTTAAAAGGAACAGATCAATGATAAGCCGCCATGTCAACTTCTTTCAGAAAAATATCAATTTATTGGACGTGCATTTCGCCATGAAATTATGGAATTTTTTCTATTTGTAAATAACACTTATAGCCTCAATGTGACAAAACATAGAAATATTTATAAAATGGTTGGGAAGAATTTTAGAAAATCAAAAAAATTATTTTTAGATACTAAAACGTTTGAAGGACATTACGAGTGGATTTTCTAACCCTGAAGTTTCAGAATTTGCGAGAATGCCTGATTTAGAGCGAAATATATCTATGAGAGGTGAAAATGTTTTGAAAGAATATAGATGTCTTTAATAAATATTTAGAGATTTTTGATATTTTTTCCTGAAAAATGTGGACCTTTCACAGCCCCATTTTAAGAAAATAAAACTGAAATCCCTCTTACAATACTAGAATGTCTAAAGGTATTCAATCCCTTTTTCCCTTCCACAAATAATTAAAAATGGTTAGATTTCCTCTATCAACTTCACTCGGCTTCCTTAAGGGTGGCGATTTAATTTTCGACTTATTGGATCCCATAAGGAAATTTTAAGAAGTTGAGTCTGACGATTTGTAGTCCTAAATTAAATATTCCATTCTTGGATTTTATTCAAAAGAAAAATGAAAATTTAAGTCAAAAATAATTTGTCAACATTAAACAATTTAATTTTTCGATTTTTGTGGGTATATTTTTACGTTTAAAACATCAAACCAAAACTAACAAAAAATAGCCCATCTCTTTCTAACGAACTGCAAGAACAACATCATCTATTTTAAGAATTGCGCGAACACATTCAGCAGCTTGTTTAATTGCAAAAGAAGTAACCAAAAGTGGTTGAAGAACATTTTCTTCCAAAATATTGGTTACAGCCCCCTAAATAAAATTTTATTAAAAACAATTCATTAATTTATAAAAATAACCATTCGAACGTTGACTCCAAAATCCTTGTTTCCAGCAGAATGTTGATTACGTAATTCTGTAACTGTACCAATTGGAGAAAGTCCAGCATTTTCTGCCAATGTATAAGGAATTAATTCAAGCGCCTCAGCAAATGCCTAAAAATAAAAAGATGTCAAAAACTAGAAAATTTTTCAATTTACCGTAGAACTCTAATATAAGCCCTGAGCTTCTATTTTCCAATGAGTCTCCTCAGTTAGGGTTATAATAAATATAGGCTCATAATAGAGGCTCGACTTATTACGGCATTAAGAAATTGACTAAATGAAATTAAAAATAACCTTCCAGCAGTATTGTTCCGCTCCCTGTTTTGTTTGCGACGCACTACGAAGTTTGACCGATACTTGCATTTCTGGTGCTCCTCCGCCTAAAACATAAGTTTTTTATGTAAAATTATACTACAATTTATAAACCTGGCAACAAAGCTCTTTTCTTTACTAAGCAACGTATAACACACAAGGCATCGTGTAAAGATCGCTCAGCTTCTTCCAAAACAAGTTTACTCGACCCTCTTATTAAAATCGAAACAGCATTTCCACTCGATTTAAGACCGGTGACCTTTAAAAGAAATAGAAATACTTGAAGAAATAACCTATTTATTAAGCAACCTTAACTACTTTCCCATCGGCCGTCTCTATCTCCTCGACTAAATCAGCAGTTCCTAAAGTTTCAGGCGTAAAATGATCCACAGAAGCAACAGGACGGCATCCAATAATTTTTGAGTAAAATTCAATATCTTCACGTTCAATATCCTTAATGACCATGATTTTTAATTTTGCAAAAAAATGTAAAGCCAATTCGTTGACAGCATCGCTTGAAATTTTAAAAAATATTTCATGAAAAATTGGCAACCTTCTAGTTACTTGTCCCTGGAGAAAAACAGAAAAAAGTATTTTTCTGTTTTTCACTTTTGGCCGATATATTAATCTAGAACCAGAAATCGACATGGTCAAACTCCGGTCCTGGACTCGGAATAAAATTTGAGCTTATATCGGACTGACTTACTAGAAAGGTTACCCATTGACAATCCCTCAAAAATATCGCAAGAGCAATTCTCGACATTATTTCCGAGAACCAGAAAAATAGAAGATTAGCGAAAATCTTAAAAATAAACTAACCGTAAGATAGACTTTTGAATTAAAAGAACATTGCATCCCGTCTTTTTAATTTGTTTGCACAATTCCAAAATATAATTACGTTCTTCTTTAAGTGCTCTATCCATTTGTGTGTAGTCAGAAATAACAACTTGATTCTCCATCTATAAAATTATTTTTATAAATAAAGCTCTTAAACTCAAACATTTGTTTTGGGAGGCGATATTTGGAATTGAATAAGTCCAATTTTGGCCTTCTCAACACGGCTAGGCCCTCCATGCCCCATTGAATTTTGTTCGATTAAAGCACCATCAATCAGTTGAGATACATCGACAGTCTCACCAAGTTTCTTAACAATCTTAATCATTCTTAAATTGACATTTTGATCATCCATGTTGGTCATTATTTTCTTAACGGCTTGAACGGCCATAGGAGCGAGAATTTGCGAGTGTTGAGAGACGACCTGAGAAAGTAAAAGTTAATCTACAAGTACCGATAAAATAACAAAAACCTTTGAATTAAGACTTGTAGCAGCCAATTTAATCAGTTCTTCATCGTTATTGATATCAACAGGAGTCGACATTTCCTCTAAAACTTTCTCCGAAAAAGCCGCAGCACGGCGAAATGAGTCTGATATTGTTGTCGGGTGAATGCCTAGAAAACACAGAATAAAATTGGAAATATCGCAAAAAAACCTTTAGCAAGCAATTTTTCTGCCGCATCGAGTAAAGAGCCAGCCAGAATTACAACTGTAGTGGTACCATCACCCGCCTCAATATCTTGAGCTTTTGAAAGTTCGACTAACTAAAAGAGAAATTAAACTAATTTAAATAAAGAATCAAAAATGTAACCATTTTAGCAGTTGGATGAACGACAGACATTTGATTCAGAATTGTTGCCCCATCATTTGTAACGGTAACCTCGCCATTTGCTGCTTGAATCATTTTGTCCATTCCTCGTGGGCCTAAACTTGTTCGAACGGAATCAGAAACGGCTTTAGCTGCGACAATATTGCCAGTTCGTACACTTTCGGGTTTGTCTTTCTCTTTAAATCCATTTCCCAAATTGGGATTATTAGAAGCTACTGCAGCTGTCATTTATGCAAAATATTCTAAAAAGTTATTTGATCGAAAGATAAAATAAAACAAAAATATAAAAATATAAAGGCGGTAGATCGGCATAAGGTTCAATATTTTTCCATTCCTCGTGGGGAAACGAATTAAAAAATAAAAAGAAATTTTGGTACTCAAAAATTCATACTCTAACTTGGGGTAGGGGACCTCTCAGAGTAACCGTTTCAGAGTAGAGTAAAAGTACCTTTTTCTAAAAAGTACCTTCGGTAAAAGTACCTTCAGTACCTTTGAGTACTCTGAAAGGGGACACGCCCAAAACAACGCGGGCCAAAACTACGCGACCAAAACTACGCGACCGAAACTACGCAAGCCAAAACTACGCAAGCCCAAAACTACGCACGCCCATAACTACGCAAAACTAACTATTTAGTAATGTCCGGCAAAATCAATTTCTTGATCCGAAAACCGAATTTTGAATTCCATGCTCGTGCCGGACCGGCTCCGTTTGAATTTTTCCGAGTTCCGTAAAATAATTATTTTCCGGAAAATATGTATTTCCCGGAAATATTTTTCGAATTACGGAAATTATTTTCAGGAAAATGGTTCCGGAATGGTACAGATTTTCCTGAATTTTCCGGATTTTCAGGAAACAATTTTCCGGATTTCAAAGAAAGGATCATCAGAGAGTGATCAACTGATAAAGTTTGATCATCAGAAAGTGATTAATTGATCAACAGCAGATTTTCAAATTGAATGTACTAAATAGTTTTGCGTAGTTTTGGGCTTGCGTAGTTTTGGCCTTGCGTTGTTTTGGCCTGCGTAGTTTCGGTCGCGTAGTTTCGGTCGCGTAGTTTTGGCCCGCGTTGTTTTGGGCTGTACCCCTCTGAAAGGTCCCCTACCCCGAAAAATCAATATACCTATTTTGTTTACCATTTTGTCGCAAACCATTTTTTCGTTTTTGCCTTCGTGTCATTTTGTCAGGGCTCATTTTATTGATTTTTCGATTTTTTTAATTTTTTTTTCATTTAAGTTTACTTAGTGTTAGTATTCTTTAAAATTTAAAAATGTACAACACGTTGGTTTGTCAACAGCTCGTGGTTCCGGTACAAATGCTTATGTTCAGTCAAATGTTGCTAATCTTAGCTTTTCACGGGTATTTTTTAGTTATCTTTTTCTTCAAAATTTCTTCGTTTTCTTTTAGAATAAAATCGTTTACAATGCTGAAGAGGATATTGCTCGTGCCGAAGCAGAAGTAAATAAAGCACCAAACTTGGAGTTGTTGGATCATGAATATAAACGGTCAATTGAGATTAGATGTGTGGAATTTGAAGACTTGATGGAAGGAAAGGTTTGAAGTTTTTAATAGAAATGGGAATTCTTTTCAATTTTTAGGGATTCAGTGAAGAAGGACGAAGCAATATGCGGTGGACATTAGGTATTGATGCTTCTTTTGTTGATGGATCTTCAATGGAGAAGTAAGAAATTAAAGAAATTAATTAGTTAATGGACACCAGGGATGTCACGGGAAACCCAGCCTTTCGACCTGAAACCCGACCCGACATTTCTCTCAACCCGTGACATCCCTGATGGACACATTCGGTTTGGAGACAGACATATCGGGATATTTCAATGTCTGAATAACTATTCTAAAGTTTTCGGGATCTAAGGCCACTAACTATAAGTCTTGGATAGTACATTGTCTTATTGAACGAAAGAGTTTCTATGTTTTAGACCCGATGTAAATATGGAAAAAGTTATTTTTGTCACAGCAATCCCTACATGTCCGTCTCAATCTTTCTCCTTACCGGTTGGTCAAGAGTGCTAGTTTTTTAAACTGTTGCCGACTAAAAATTTATAAAAAAACTTTTTTAGACTTAAGAAGCAAGTACAACAATACACAAAGAAGCAAAGGAAATGGAAAAATCTATGATGGAAAAGCTTTTGGAAAAAATCAAGGAAAAGCGTGAACAAAAGAAGGAAATTAAAAAGATGAAGCATGTGATGCGTAAAAAGAAAAAAGATGAGAGCGACGATTCTTCATCTGATTCAGATTCCTCAGGTTTTTTTTGAATATCTTTTCGTGTATTTATTGTCTTTTTTTAGACTCGTCTTCAACAGATTCTTCATCCTCGGATGACTTGGACAGAACTTCACTACAGACGCTTCACCAACAACAACTCTTCGACATCTTCAACATCAACTAAAGTCCCTCTGGGCAACTCAAGTCCCCCTGCCTTCGTGCAGGGGGCAACTCAAGTCCCCCTGCCTTCGTGCAGGGGGCAACTCAAGTCCCCCTGCCTTCGTGCAGGGGGCAACTCAAGTCCCCCTGCCTTCGTGCAGGGGGCAACTCAAGTCCCCCTGCCTTCGTGCAGGGGGCAACTCAAGTCCCCCTGCCTTCGTGCAGGGGGCAACTCAAGTCCCCCTGCCTTCGTGCAGGGGGCAACTCAAGTCCCCCTGCCTTCGTGCAGGGGGCAACTCAAGTCCCCCTGCCTTCGTGCAGGGGGCAACTCAAGTCCCCCTGCCTTCGTGCAGGGGGCAACTCAAGTCCCCCTGCCTTCGTGCAGGGGGCAACTCAAGTCCCCCTGCCTTCGTGCAGGGGGCAACTCAAGTCCCCCTGCCTTCGTGCAGGGGGCAACTCAAGTCCCCCTGCCTTCGTGCAGGGGGCAACTCAAGTCCCCCTGCCTTCGTGCAGGGGGCAACTCAAGTCCCCCTGCCTTCGTGCAGGGGGCAACTCAAGTCCCCCTGCCTTCGTGCAGGGGGCAACTCAAGTCCCCCTGCCTTCGTGCAGGGGGCAACTCAAGTCCCCCTGCCTTCGTGCAGGGGGCAACTCAAGTCCCCCTGCCTTCGTGCAGGGGGCAACTCAAGTCCCCCTGCCTTCGTGCAGGGGGCAACTCAATTCCCCCTGCCTTCGTGCAGGGGGCAACTCAAGTCCCCCTGCCTTCGTGCAGGGGGCAACTCAAGTCCCCCTGCCTTCGTGCAGGGGGCAACTCAAGTCCCCCTGCCTTCGTGCAGGGGGCAACTCAAGTCCCCCTGCCTTCGTGCAGGGGGCAACTCAAGTCCCCCTGCCTTCGTGCAGGGGGCAACTCAAGTCCCCCTGCCTTCGTGCAGGGGGCAACTCAAGTCCCCCTGCCTTCGTGCAGGGGGCAACTCAAGTCCCCCTGCCTTCGTGCAGGGGGCAACTCAAGTCCCCCTGCCTTCGTGCAGGGGGCAACTCAAGTCCCCCTGCCTTCGTGCAGGGGGCAACTCAAGTCCCCCTGCCTTCGTGCAGGGGGCAACTCAAGTCCCCCTGCCTTCGTGCAGGGGGCAACTCAAGTCCCCCTGCCTTCGTGCAGGGGGCAACTCAAGTCCCCCTGCCTTCGTGCAGGGGGCAACTCAAGTCCCCCTGCCTTCGTGCAGGGGGCAACTCAAGTCCCCCTGCCTTCGTGCAGGGGGCAACTCAAGTCCCCCTGCCTTCGTGCAGGGGGCAACTCAAGTCCCCCTGCCTTCGTGCAGGGGGCAACTCAAGTCCCCCTGCCTTCGTGCAGGGGGCAACTCAAGTCCCCCTGCCTTCGTGCAGGGGGCAACTCAAGTCCCCCTGCCTTCGTGCAGGGGGCAATTCAAGTCCCCCTGCCTTCGTGCAGGGGGCAACTCAAGTCCCCCTGCCTTCGTGCAGGGGGCAACTCAGGTCCCCCTGCCTTCGTGCAGGGGGCAACTCAAGTCCCCCTGCCTTCGTGCAGGGGGCAACTCAAGTCCCCCTGCCTTCGTGCAGGGGGCAACTCAAGTCCCCCTGCCTTCGTGCAGGGGGCAACTCAAGTCCCCCTGCCTTCGTGCAGGGGGCAACTCAAGTCCCCCTGCCTTCGTGCAGGGGGCAACTCAAGTCCCCCTGCCTTCGTGCAGGGGGCAACTCAAGTCCCCCTGCCTTCGTGCAGGGGGCAACTCAAGTCCCCCTGCCTTCGTGCAGGGGGCAACTCAAGTCCCCCTGCCTTCGTGCAGGGGGCAACTCAAGTCCCCCTGCCTTCGTGCAGGGGGCAACTCAAGTCCCCCTGCCTTCGTGCAGGGGGCAACTCAAGTCCCCCTGCCTTCGTGCAGGGGGCAACTCAAGTCCCCCTGCCTTCGTGCAGGGGGCAACTCAAGTCCCCCTGCCTTCGTGCAGGGGGCAACTCAAGTCCCCCTGCCTTCGTGCAGGGGGCAACTCAAGTCCCCCTGCCTTCGTGCAGGGGGCAACTCAAGTCCCCCTGCCTTCGTGCAGGGGGCAACTCAAGTCCCCCTGCCTTCGTGCAGGGGGCAACTCAAGTCCCCCTGCCTTCGTGCAGGGGGCAACTCAAGTCCCCCTGCCTTCGTGCAGGGGGCAACTCAAGTCCCCCTGCCTTCGTGCAGGGGGCAACTCAAGTCCCCCTGCCTTCGTGCAGGGGGCAACTCAAGTCCCCCTGCCTTCGTGCAGGGGGCAACTCAAGTCCCCCTGCCTTCGTGCAGGGGGCAACTCAAGTCCCCCTGCCTTCGTGCAGGGGGCAACTCAAGTCCCCCTGCCTTCGTGCAGGGGGCAATTCAAGTCCCCCTGCCTTCGTGCAGGGGGCACAAATTTTGGTGTGTCCATGTGCCGTTTTGTACATTGGACCTGTCTCCTGCTTCGGAGGGGGCTTTTAAACATTAATAATACATATTTACCCAATGTTAATCTCTATCCCTTAAGTCTAGTACAATGATAAATAATAATATATACATCCGGACAGTGAAAACTTTTTTCAGAGAATGGGCATCATAAATTTGTAAGAATTTATGTTTATTTTTTCGTATTTTGTTTTTATTTTTAATATTGGCCTCAACTTTGCTTGTCATGTGCCGGACTTCATCCCTCAACTACAACGATGTGAAATTTTAAACGGTTTGGAATTTTTACATTGTTTTTTTAATTTTTATTTTTTAAAATTATTTAGTTGAGTTCCGTCAGTTCCTGACTGAAGCTCGCAATTTCCGAAGGAACGAAGATGTGAAATCAAGAATGAAATTCGACATTAGCTGATTTATTATACTGCTTTAGAAATTTCCATGTGCATAAAAAAGCAAATTAATTTTTTTATTTTTTTTACAATTTAGGAACACTAAATTTATCGTTTTTGTCATCTAGTCTCTCAAACATGTTTTACCTCAATATAATGTTGGGTGGTCTTTTTTTATTTTGTATCTTGGTGGTCTTTTCAATTCAAAATTAATTTATTATCCTCTATTTTCCGAAATAATATCTATGTGTTCAGTAAATTACTCCTCAAACCCTTCCTATTTTTATCGTCTGAAAATTACCAGACCCAACATTACTTGCTTAATTAATCCTTAACTAATGTCTGATGATCTTTATACGTAAAATTATCAAAATGTTTTTGATTCTCTCTTCATTCGTTGCATTAGTATGGCATCTAATACTTATAGGTATCGCTTGATTATCGCCTGGATTCTCCCGATAGAAAACTAATTATTTAGGACTAGATCACCCTTCAAATCCTAATGATAGTGCTGACTATAGGCATGAAATTGCGGAAGATTTAAACCAAATGCAAACTATGGAGAGAAGTTCTGCGGAAATTACAAATAAAATTTCAACATCAACTTTAACCCCCCATTCAGTAATCCTCAAAAATAATAAAACGTTGCCTAAATTTTTCCCCAAAATAAATGAAAATACAAAGTTTTTGCTAATGCAAATTCCTCATCATTGGAATGGACAATGTGGGGGATTGGCTAATCAGGTTGGCACTATAAATTGAAAACCAATTATTCGACTTAAAGATGTGGAGATTTGCAGTGCTTTATAACATGGCCAAGTCTGTCGGACGCTTCCCAGGCATTTATAATACAAGCACTTGGACCTGCGACAAGTTGAATAGTCCTAATGAGATTGAGAATACCTTCCCGATTTTATATTCCTCTTTTCGATATATGGTAATTTAGGCATATTTTTAATAGATGAGGATTCTGGCTCTATCTTTAATTATTTTAAAAGCAAGCGGATCCTTCAGACTCTGCATATGACAATGTTTTTGAGACAAATTGTTGTAGATACATTAATGTTACAAGGTGCCTTTGGAATACCTGACCTTCATCTATACTTCATTTTTAGCATTTTTGGTAATTACAAACAAAAGTATTTAATTGTCCCTCCAACACCTCAATCTCCAAAATTTTTGGAAAATATTGATGCCGAAATTAGACAATTATTCCGCTTCTCCAAACAAATTAATATTCGAGTAGCTGCTTATATTGATAAATTGTTTGAGTAAGATTTTGATGGTAATATTTTGAATTAATTTCGAAATATTTTAAAAATTAAGGAACGATCCATCTTCGCATAAATTTTGTGTTCATACACGTAGGGGCGATTTTGGACCACCTAAATGGCCGATGCATGCAAGGACAGAACGAAATTTTACTGAAGCTGCAATTAAATTTATACTTGGATATTTAAAAGTAATGCTCTATTTTCAAAATATCTTTTAAGTATTTTGATAATTATTTTTAATATTTTCAAGGAAAAACACTTGAATTTAAATGTATCCATCATTTTACTTGGAGAAGATAAGGATTTTCTTCATGAAATCAGCATATCCAGAGAGGCACCTATCTATTTTTCTCTCAGGAATCTTTTTAATATTTTAAGCAAGTCAACAAAGTATATATCCCTAAAGCGATGAATCGTGGAGAGGATATGTGCTTTGGAGTTTGGGCATGCGATTCTATATTATTGACAGCTTCTTCATCAACTTATGCTTGGTGGATTGCTTATTTATTGGAACAGACTGATGCTAATGTTTTTTACAATTCTGATTTTAACCATTCATATTATGATAAGGAAAACTTTCACAGTGATTGGATCCCTTTGAGATTAGATTCTAATTTGGGCAGAATAATAATGGACTGATTTTGATATTGTTTTATTTAATAAAAGCATAATAAGAAATTTAAATGGGTAGATAAATATATGTAAATTGCATTTATTTAATAAATGGTTTATTCCTTCTTGAATTCACTCTCAAGCAATTTCAATAAAATCATCAGTTGATGATTGTTCACTAATATCCGTAGTTGCATCAGGTTCAAAACAAAGACGTCCACCACTAATGCAGTTTTTAACTGGTGGGCCAATTGGAGTGCTATTTTGGATTAATATTTAAATATATGATCTAATAAACCGATTTTCGTCCCTAGCCTGAGCTAACCCAATACGTTGTTGGCCAACATCGAAAACAGTGTAGTAACGGCCTGAACATGTTTTTAAAGATTGCTACATATAATAATACTTATTTCTAGATCACCTATAAATACATCACCAAGGATCCATAATTCCCCAACTTTTGCTGGCAGATCAATTCCCATAAAGCCAGATAAGCAAATGCTTTTTCCCATTGCTGTGACATTTAAAATGTAATCCGATCCTTTCAAAACGTATGAATTGCCTCCAATTAGTAGAGCTATATCGGGAAGATGAGGTACTCTTTCACAGGAGACCATATACTTAAAAAAACAATAATTTCAAGAGGGTTTGAATGCTGCGGCATGAAAATTTTAAAAAATAAAAACTTCGCCATGCATTAGAGGAATTGCACCAATATAATGCTGAATTTCCTCTATTTGTGCCTTCGGGCCAGCAATTAAAGATGTGCCAGTGTCAGCAATTGCTTGACATCCATTTTGACAGGCAATTTTTTCGCCTTTAGAATTGTGAACACCTTCCATCTATTTTTAAATTTGAGTTAAAGTATGCTTAAAATTGCTCCACCTTAAATTGCCAATAAGCCTTTCTTGTAACAGGAGTGTAATTGAGAGGTTCTACGTAACGGCGTTTATCAGTTCCTCCAATGGTGATTTCCCCACCAACTTTGGAATATGGATCTCTGATAAGATTAAATCTACAGTATTTATTAGAAAATTACCTATTAAGCCAGAAAGAAAAGACCGGTTCTGGAACTTTTTGTTGGGAAATCATTTGCTGGAAAACTGGTTGAACTCCAAGAACAGAAATTTCCGGGAATGCCATACCCAGAATACCATCAAATTTAGCAGCTACAAAAGTTAGACCTGGCTCGCTGAAGAGGGGAATATTCAAAATTTATTGCTGATTTTTATTCACCTGACAGCCTCAGCAAACTCTTGTCCAGCCACACAAATGTTGGCAATACAGACTGTGTCCTACGAAAATATTTAAATAAAGATTTACATATTTATTCCCAACTTTTGAGACAAAACCCTTCATTGAACCAGTTCCATATTGGATTTGCATTTTGCGCCCATCATCCTTATAACTGCTAGATTTGGTGCTGTCATATTTGTGATGAAGTACTTTAATAAAACAAAATATTTGCATATTATTACTCTACATACGGCATGCAATATCGTAGAATGGACACTTTTTAGACGGAACCCAGAGGTTCGAAGAGCCTGTATCAAATATAACGCTGAAGTTTTGTGGAGGAGATCCAATCGAAATTGGTCCATAGTATTGGGCCTGAAATAATAACAATTTCATAACACTATTTAACACCTACATCCATGTAATTTCTAAGCATCTCATCAATCTCCCCACCAATTTGCACAGCATTTTCTTCATCAAATTCAACTTGTCCTCCCTCCTTTTCAGCAAAAAGGGCAAATCTACGCCTCAATGCATCATGGCGATGCTTGGCAAAAAGTTCGAGTGAACCAACTTGTGCTAGCATTGCCCGCATTGTATCCATTCGGGAAAGCGATATTCTAAATATATAATTTTTGGAGTATCTCAATTATTTTTATCTGTACCGATCGACATGGTGATGGTGATGATGATGAGAATGATGACGTACAATAGAACTAACCAAGGCAAAAAGCGAGAAAATAATAATTAAAGATAACTTAGACATTCTGAAAAAATTAGCTAATAACTTATAGGAAATCTGATCAAATTATAGGGAATATGATACAATAATCTGGATCAACGCTGGGATTAATTATATAGAAATAAAGTCTTCGAACATTTTCTTTACGAATTTGCTTGGATGGTTTACATTTTACCCACATAAATTTATTTAGAAGATAAAAACGCTAATAAAGCAAATTTTTGCTCTCATATATTTTCAAATGATTAAACTGATTATTATCTTTATAGTAGAGAATATAAACATTCAATGGTTTATAAATACTTAATTTGATGAAAACCGATAAGGCTTAAATCAATTCTCTCCATATGTAAGGGGTTGGTCCATTTTTATTTGTTTTTTATCAGTTTTATGAAAAATAAATTATAATGGGACTATGCGAAAAGTGTTTTGTTTAAGGGGTTTTTTTGTTTAAAAAATAAAATAATTGATTTAGAAAAGTACAATTTAAATCAGGATTAGATTTTAATTCAAAAATTAGACTTAACCGAGAACAATTTACAAACTTTAAGCAGTTATGATTCACTTGATAATAAATTTGCATAGAAGGTATTCATGGAATTTTCCCTGTTTTTTAATTCATGTGAATCATCACTAAGAACAAAACATGAAAAAATTAATCATTTAATGATTATGTTTTAATATTTGTCGAGTTTGTTTTCAATTTTTTTAATTGTTCGTCTATATTTTGTGGGCCAATTGTTGGTTTTCCACTTCGCCAGTTAATGTCGTCCGGACCTTTAGAATATTTTTGAATTAGCCTTGGAGAGTTATATAAGAGAGAGCTGTGAGAGAGAGGTAAACGATCACTTTCTTCCTCACAAAATTATCACTGGGCAACTTAGAGGAGCAGGTCCTTCAATTATAAAAATACCTGTCATATTAACTGCTTTCTTTTGAGCATTTTCCCAGATTGTTTGATCAATTAATTTTGAAAATTTATCTCCTGCCCCTCCAGTTTCATCATTGAAAGGGACATCAAGACCAAAAGGGCGTAAACGATAAACTAAATATTCCATTGAATATAACCATGCCGGATCCATATAATGAAAAGCTACTGCAAAATCACTGCAACAACCTGGACCCTTAATTAGAAATTCTCTTAGATTTTGAGAAATCAAATTGAAATTTAATTTCCATACTTGATCCATATCGTAGTATATATTTCTCCAAAACCAATATTTTGGATCTTTGTTGCCTGGGGGTAAATGATGTGTAGGTTGGAAGGGGAAGAAGCGATGTCTTCCTTCACGATCGCGTGAATCTCCAGCTCGAATTCCTAGTAGTTCCATACATTTACCCAGTTCAGCATCCTCCGCTCCATTCTCATCTTGTCGGCAAATTTTTTCATTTGGTATCCCTTTTTCAACAAACAGGCGGAGAGATGCCCGGCTCAAAACGTAACCACAACCTCCACTCATATATCCCTTCAATTAGAAAAATAATATTACTATTATCCCTGTCCTGTGTAAAAATAATTTTAAATACCTGCTTAACAATTGGGCCATATTTAGCACCCAAATAAATTTTTTCCTCTGGAGAATAAGCCATAAGTAAAAATCGTAAATTCTCTACAATCACAAAAGTATCATCATCCGCCTTTAAGAACCAATCAAAATCATTCTGTAAGATGATTGATATCAGATATATCAGTTCATAAAGTATACCAGATAATTATTGTAGGCATATTTAAAAGCAGCTTTAGTTTTACCCCAGAGATGATTTCTTCCATCGGATATATTTAAACTAATTGCTGGCAAATCTGGATTTTCATCGGAGGATATAAATATAAATTTATTACAACGATGAGCCCAGGTGGCTTTAATATGTTTTGCTTTTTTCTCATGGCTATCGCCGGCTGTCATTATCCAACAAAATACCCGAACACGACGGGCGATTTCTGCTGCCAACGTTTTTGTGCCTTTATTTAAAATATGGATTATCAAAGCTTCCGTTAAGTACCGTTATTTGATTGAAGCCCTGGATTGAACATTGTTTTAACTGCTTCAGCAGGATTCAGTTTAATACCGTCAGTTTTATTCCCTGCAGGTTCCATAAAGTCATTCCTAGTGACTGTTGTTATATTCTCAGTATTCTTCGTTTGATTCTGATTATCAATTTTGATATCAATCCTTTGTGGGCATTGGCATTTTCCCATAATCTCATTTAAATTTTCGTGTGGAAGTAGAAAGAAAAAAGAAAGTAGGGATCCAAGCAGTAATCCAACAAGAAATACAAAAAGTACTTGACGGTGTGAAATCGGCATTTTTAAAAATATTTTGAAATAAATGGAGTTGGGAAATGATTTAAATAAACAAATCAGGCAGTCAAAATCACGTGACTTTTACATTATTGTGCGCAGTTTTTAATAGCATGCTTTATTGGCAGCTTTATGTAGAGGCATTTAACAGCTTGCGCACAGTCAAATTATGATTTCGATTTTTTAAGGGATTGATTTAAAATTTTTAGCTGCCTTTATTATTGTCTAATTTAGGATGTTAACTGAGTAAACAAATTATAACAGACAAAAACAACGAATAAAGCCTTTCAAAGTTGATTTAAAATTGTTTTTAAAAATTGTAAGGATTGATGTAATGAAGTGAATGAACCAACTAAAGGTTTAGCATCGTCCCTGTAGCACATGTCAGTCTGTAGAGCAACTGAACGTGATGCGCGAAAGAGCCTAGCAATAACTGCCAGAAAGCCACAGGGCCTAACTTTCATCAGTATCGTACTCAATATTGTTAAAAGAAATTTCATAAAAAATCCGCCGCTTTTACTAAATCCAAAGGATCATTATTGAAACTAATACATATATGTATATTATAATATAATCTTTCATTTTTTCTTTACATTGTTATCCATTAATGTATGTAATAATTAGCCAAGTTTGAGCATCATTTAAAAATCATTCTTCAATGTCTCTCTCATTAATAGAGACTGTCCAATAGCTTTGATCTGTAGTCATATAATTTGATATATGAATCATGGTATGGGTCGTAATATCGTCTATACGGGTCGTAGTAGCGATAGGCTCCATACTCGATTGGGTCAAATTGTAATCGCCTAGATTTATAAGATCTTTTATTTATGGACTAAGAAGAAATTTGACAGACCTGACCCAGTAGTATTGGCCAGTTATTGTCCCTTTCGACTGAAAATTCCATCGGTAGGGGTACTGGTCAACTTGTCTAAAAAATTTAAGTTTTAAAAATTTTTGGAAAAAAGTCACCCATGATAGTAATGACGGTGAAATTGTGTGCGTCTGTATCGTGGCGAGAAATAGTAGTATTTGTCGTAAATATGATTACGCTGTGCAAAAGCGGATTTGAATAAATAGAAATCAAAATTTTACCAAGGTAAAGTCTGGTTTCACTCGATAATATGTTGGTTTCACCGAAGAAAAACTGTGGAAGGGGATGTAGGTGGCACCTGCAACGCCGTAGGGTGAAGGATCAACAACTCGGGAGACAGATTGCGAACGGAAAATTTGCTAAATATTTTTTAAATGGTAAAAAAATAAGCTTTTATCAAGAACGAACGTTAGTTATCGGCTGAGTACTCTGACCAATACGATTTACTGAAGCCGAGCGATAACAACCACCAGCAGGATAACGATGTGAGGAAGGAGGTGGCATTTATATTATCCTTCGGATACTTGCTAAATTTAAAAATTTATTAAATTTACGATTAAGCCTTTAGTATGAACTACTATGTATATTTGTTCAAATAAACAAACAATCTCTTAAAATAAATAAACGGCTGGAAATAACTATTGCCTCTCTTTCCACTCTTTGTTTATGACTGAGTTGTACTTAACGTTTGTTGAAAAAATTGATTAAAGCTTAAAAGTTTTAACGAAATAATTATTCATTGATTTTATAATACAGCTCTTATTTTTGATCGAAAAGCTAATTCTAATTATAAGTATTTCTTGAATTAATCTTTTTTATTATTTTCACCTTTTCTCCAATAATTTAAGTTTTATCTAATTTTACAATAAAATATCCTTTATTTTTGATCTTTTGGGGTGTATATTAATCCATTACCATTCTACTATAATCATCTACATTTCAATTTATTGATAGAATTTTATTCATATTTCACCCTTTTTGTATTAATCATACTAATGCGTACCTAGTATATTCTGATAAATTCACACGTAACGTACAAAGTTGTTTAAACAAAAATTTTAATTTATTTAATATCTATAAGGTTTTATTTAATTATATTTATTTATTATAATCCTCATTAATAGATAATTAAAAAGTTTAATAAAAATTTCAATATTAAATTTTAATATAAAATAAAATTCTCGGTTTTATTCCTTCACCCTTCATTGATTTAATTAAATTCGCGTTGTCATAGAAAAATTTAAAACTAAAAAATTTTAAACTATAGACTATAGCGAGAATTAAAATATTCATTGTCTTTAGAAATAGGCTTTAAACAAAAACAATTACTTACTTTCTAAATAACACACTTAATAATCCTCTTTAAATAATTTTTAAGGGGTAATCTTGGCAAATGTATTCCTCCCATTCATTTCAAAATTCCGAATCTAACTACAGTATCTGTAATATTTCAACATCTCATTCACCCGGATTTAGTCAACCCTTCTTTGAAGATGATTATGTTAGCTTGGAGAATTTAGAAAGTCAGATTGATAAGAAAACCCTCTTATATTTTTCCAATACTTCATGCAACATTAATAATGAATCAGTAATTGATAGCAACAAAAGTTTGGAATACAATAATGAAAAGAATTCTGAACTTGTATCAATTTTGCTATTTATTCTAAATTTTTAAAAATAGTCTATTTAACACTATAAGCTAAGAAATTTTCTAAGGAAATTTTGTAAATTTATTTTCAGAGCAGGAAGGGAAGGCCAACTGATTGTGTTGTTTGTGCCAGACCAGCCAAATGTTGCTATTTTGATGTTCCAAGTTGTTTAGGTACGTCAGAGCTTTTGCCTTCAACGTAACATAAATTTTAATATTATATCTGAGTTATACAGGTTGCCGTTCATTCTTTCGCCGATCCGTTCTGAAACAAAACTTGTACATTTGTAAAAACAATGGAAATTGCCAAATTGGAAAAGGTTGGATTGGAAAAAAATTGGAAAAATTTTCAAAATAATTTTGAAAAATTATAGGAGAGCTTTGCCGTTCATGTCGTTTTGACCGTTGTCTTCTAGGTGGAATGGACTTTCGAACTATACAAAAATTTCCAGATGGATTTAGTGTAGATAAAATTTCTGCAATATTAACTGAAAAAAAGCGTCAACTTTCTGAAAAAGCTTCAGTAAAAGTTTTTTCTCGAGTAGAAAGATCTGAAGTTGAAGTATTACAACTCTTGATATACTTTGACAATAATTTTTTACATATTCGTTACTCCGAGACAGATATTCATACATCAATCTATTTTGATAAAAGTATGTCTGATTTAATAAATAATGATGGAGGAGGGTTAACTTATTCCATTTTGGCAAGATCTGATCAGTTTTCGGTGAGATAAGCACCTTATTATTTCAAAATTTTCAAAATTCATTAGAAGCATAGGAGAGTGGCTAAAAATTATGACTTCTACCAACAACGATTGAGAGAAGGTGATTATAGTATCTTATCTCCAAATTGGCTTTACATTGACTCATTTTTAATTATTGAAATGACAAAAACGATGCCAGTATTACAACAACTCTCATTTGAAGACAAAGTCTATACAAGGAATATTAATAAAAGTAAAACAAAAAATTCAGATTCGACTTTATTCTCGAAATGGAATGGCAACAGTTGTTTTTAGTGCTTTATTTTACAGTAAAAACCTTCAAGGAAGCGATATCTTTATATTTCCCAATGGATTTAGTCCTTTACTAGTAGCTTCGGATGAGAAACTTTTTTATTTTCTATTCTACAAGCACCTGATCAAAATGAAAGAAATTAATCTGAGCCGAGAAGAATTTTTAATTCTTAGGACCTTAATTTTCCTTCACACGGGTTTGAGCTTGAAAATACATTCAAGATTATGCACATTTTTAGCTACATCAGAATTGTCAAGGAGCGGATATGAAATAGTACAAACTGAAATTGAAAAGCTTTCTAAGGCTTTAATGTTCTACGAGCGTAGCAAATGGGGTGATACAGGCGGGGCAATGAGATTTACTAATTTAGTAAGCTACTTTATTATGTTGGATTCTTGAAAATTAATTTATCTGATCCCTATCTTAACTGAACTTTCCAGATTTCTTTATTAGACAAAAGCCTGGATCTGGATCCAGACCTTGATTTTTACTCGTTCCAGTGTTAGGATCAAGGCATTTTTCAGACTCTGATTTTTCTCTGACCTTGATTATTCCTTAAGTCAAGGTCAAGAATCTGGTCAAGTCCTCAATCAAGATCAATTCTTCCGATCATTAATCTCTCAATTTCCATATCAAATATTTAATAATTCAAATATCTGTTCTTCTTATAGACAGATATGAATATTAGATGTTTAATTCTTTATTTATTCTATGATTTAACTTTTATAGATGTTGACCTTAAGTGCAGCATTTCAAATGAGCAAGGCTCATCAAAAATTTCTCATGCGTGTTGTGGAGTGTGATACGATACCGCACTTTATGAATAACATAATTTTTGGAAATTGCAATTACTAAAATTTAAGTAAACAAATTGTGATATTTACTAAGATTAACAGCTTATATTTATAAATTTTATTCATTATAAATTCTAGTCTTTATTCAGCTGTTGGAAGCCCTAAAAGCTTCAAATGTTTGTTGGCAGCCTTTGCAAAGTCTTGACCCAAGGCCATCCAAGCATTTTTGTGACGTTCATCTAGACTTATTTTTGTTGCCAAAAAACCTGTCCAGACTGTCCAAAAGGCCTTTAATTTAATTTTTTATTACAAAATTTTAGATTAGGTAGTTAAATTACCATCCAAAGTGACGGTTCCATTTTAAATTGGCGATGCCGGTTAATGGTTTCTTGAATGTACGAGTCGAATACCATCTGGAATGTACTTTAGTCTTAATACTGATTACCTAATTGAACGGCTGTCTATATTAGAGTGGCCCTGAGGGGATTGAAAATAGAGCGCAGGCCGCTCTATTAGAGAATACGGCAATTAAGAAAAATAAGAATTCAAGAATAAATATTATCTGAGTAGAAATATTTGAAAATAACTATTAACCTCATCAGCATAAACTCGCGCAGTCAGATGCATTGCCAAAAGGATACGTTGCCCTTGTTCTGATTTAAAAATTTTTAAGATCCATAGATTTAAAATTTTTATTTTCGTACTTTCAAACCGTTCTGATTTTTGTACATCATCAGCTGTGTATTTTTCAGCACCCTTAAAGTAAACACGAAGATCAGGGTAATTTGTAAAGAAACTGAACTTAAAATATTAGTTTTGTATCAAAAATTCTCACTATTTGTAAAAATCCTTTCCGTTCTGCTTTTCTTCTGGTCCAGTCCCAATTTTAATTTTGGATAGTGATTCGAGGCAGAGAGACTGAATTTCAAGACGTTTGCTATCGGACATTATGAATTCCGATAATGATGATTAAAATTATTAAGGAAAATTCAAAGGAAAATCTTTAAATTTTAAAATAGTATAGTAAAGATGTTCTCTATAATAAATATAGGAGGTGTATTTCCTGTGTTTCGCTAGCCCTAAGGATATTATTCTCAAGTCAATAGTTCGCTAATAGCTGAGTAAGAGGCTAAGAATGAGGCTATGAAGGCCATGCAATGTATTTATGTAGATATATAATGGGTTCCCCCATCTGGCAAATAGTAGCCTATATAAGGTAAATGGCCTATATTTGTATTAATTTAACACTAAAAATAATTTATTAAATATGTATTAGTTTTTATTTATTTTTTTACTCTTAAAAATATTTATAATTGATAACAAACAAAGAAAAATATTTTTTATCAGAAAAACAAATAAACTGAGCAAAATTTAGAACTAAAAAACTTGTTTTTAATAAACACAAGAACTTTGCTCAATTTTACAATGTGGTACTTTAAATTACTTAGAGAGAAATAAATTAAATGACAGCCATTTATTTTAAAATTTTAACTAGGGTTGTTGGCGGACGGTTAACCGAACCGGAACCGGAACCGTTAACCGGTGTTTTTGGCGAATTAACCGGAACCGAAAACCGGGGGTCGAAAACCGGCGATAACCGAAAACCGGTGACCAAAACCGCCCGGTTTCGGTTTTAAAAATACACCCCTAACGATGGAAAATTTTGAGAATTTTTTGGGAATTCGAATGACTAAAATACATTTTGGCAAAATATTTTTTCAAAATATATATAATAATTTTTTTGTTTCTTGAGGAGATCCGTAGTTTAGTGGGTTAGCTGGCGGGCACAATGTTCATAGGATTGGGTTCAATCTTACTTTGTGTGTGAAGTTTATTTCAGTATTTTTTCCAAAAATGAAGTTTAAGCTTTTAATTTTGATCTTAAATATGCAAATTTATTTTTATACATTATCAAAAGTGTAAGAAGTTGTAGGAAAATTTTTACATGGATGAGGAAAAAGATAATGAAAACAGCGAATTTTTACCTATTGTTTTCCGAAATTCTCAAAATTTTCGCCTGCGGCGCTGAAAGAGGAAGAAACCTGGCTTCGTGGCCTTCCAAAATTCTCCAAAATTTTCGCCTGCGGCGCTTAAAAAGAAAGAAATCTGGTGACTTGGCCATGCAAAATTCTCAAAAATTTCACCTCCGGCCGTAAAAAAAATAAGAAATCTGGCTATTGGCCTTCAAATTAACAAAAAATTTTTCATTCGGCGATCGAAATGAAAGAAATCAGGCTTCTTGGCTTTTCTAAATTTTCAGCGCCTGCGGCGCTGAAAATTGAAATTTAAGTTTTTGGAAAATATATTGAGATATTGCATATCGAGGATATCAGGAGATTTAAAGTCATCGAATGAATATCGGACCTATAAATCCCTAGACAACAGCTCTTAATACTCATTCATCCCAACTCCTTGATAACTTCTCATTTCCCTAATCCCCGATGAAGTGTATAGAATATTTATTTAAAAGCGTTAGAATGTTACAACCTCTTAATGGGATATTCTAGATGAAAATTTGTCCAAAAACCGGTCCCGGTTAACCAAAAACCGGGGGTAAATCAAAAACCGGAACCGAAAACCGGGGGTCGAAAACCGGCGATAACCGAAAACCGAGGGTACCGGTTAATAACCGGTCGCCAACAACCCTAATTTTAACTTAAAAAATAATTTCAACTATTTAATGAAAAATAAATTTTTTTGATGTAAATAGCATTAACCGGTAATCTCCAAGGGTTGCCCGATGTTTACCAAAGTATCCAAAGAGAAAGTACAATGTAGACGAAGAGGAACGGACTGGGACAGAAGAAGAGGATCAGGGACTGACCGGACTAGTATGATCCGTCTAGACTGAAGCTGACAATGGCTTACACCTCTACACAATAATAAGTGTACAATTAAATGGCTTCTGATCCACGCTGGACATCTGATCTTACTTTGATTCTTTTTAATTGTCCTTGCATATGAAGCATTTTTCTTTCTTTTTTAATTCCCAAAATATTACTGATTTGTTTAAAAATTTCAGAAAAGGCAAGTCTAAATTGTTCATTCAACAAAGCATAAAGAATCGGATTCCATACTGTTGAACTATAAATAATTACTATTTTTTAACTCAAGTTATAAACTTGCCTGATAGATAAACAATGGGTAGTTGTGCCAAAAAGGTATTCCTGGGCTATCACAAAATTAGGCAACCATTGATAATCACGTAGAAAATTAAATATAACAGAAGGGGCCCAACAGCAAAAGAAAACGGCAACCATTGCTAGAATTATGAGAAAATTTTTAAATTTAATTTTAAAATCCGTTAGTGACAACCGAGAACTGTTAAAACTAAGAGCCTTCCCATCAGGGGCATTTCTCACTTTATCCTCCCAGCTTAAAATACCCCTTAGCATCCTAGTCCCCAAGCACCTACCAATTAACATCCGGTTGGTTCGAATTCTCCGACTCAAAACCATTTTTCGTTGATCCATTGCCACCTTCATGGCTCCATCTCCAGCCATTAACATTCCATTTTGTAGTTTTTGTTCATTTATATAAAGTGAATTTCCTTCATCAGTACCAAACGAACTACTCAAAAATTTGTCGCATCGAGCATTACTGCTACAATAATCACTGAATTTTGCAATTTCCGTAGATGAACAACGTTTAGTACGCATTCCAGAATTTATTTTGATAGAAATCATTACATAACAGCTTGTAATAATCAAAAATGGAAAGACAAATTGTGTGAATAATACAAATGTTCCTTAAAGAAATTATATTTAAATTCCCAATTAATTCCCAATTAACCATATAAACTCCTTTGAATGCTACTATTGCTCCAGTCTTCCGTGCAAAACTGCCCACAAAATGGAGGCCAATCAACCATTGTTTGATTGAATAGAATAGGTATAGAAACTGCTAATGCAATTGCACAGTTTAAGGCTACAATTCGGCATGCACAACATTTTTGTATTGAAGGCTTTAATGGCGTTACTATTAGGAGAAAACGGTCGACAGAAATTGAAGTGAGTGTTAAAGTTGAGAAGCACAAAGAAACCCCTTGGATTACAGGAACCCATTTGCATAGTAACTGCCCGAAAGGCCAAATTTTTGTGAAAGCAACAATTGGCTAAAATAATATTTCTCGGTAATTTGATAGTCTATAAATTTAATTCACCGTTATGGTTCCTGAAACAACTGAAATAACAATATCAGAGACAGATAAGGACACGATGAACAAATTTCGAACAGATTGTAGTGATCTGTATTGGCAGACGCTTAGAATAACGAGAAGGTTGCCTAGTAGAGATGTTAGCACTATAGCTGAGTAAAGAAAGGCAAAAAATCCCATTACTATTGGAAGTGAAGTTAAATCCGAGCTGTTTGTCCACAGAAATTCCTTGAGAATTAAAAGGATTATTAATAGTAAATCAGCTTTCAAGAATATTTTTCTCCATTATCCCACAATATTTTTTACCTTAATGTCTATACATTGGTCATCTTCAGTGTTGAAAAATTGTTGCTCCATATTAAATATTAAATATTAAAATTTTTTGATCTGAATCTGAATGTTAAACCAATTTTTAACAGGTTCTATTCCACTTTTAAACTAAGGATATAATCGACAATAGCTCGCAGGTTCGATTCCTCTCGCCAACTCAAACTTCCGTTTAGCTTTTACTAGTATGTCTGTCAATACCGAGAAAATCTTGCCTCAAATAGACTGGCATTTAAGATAATTCATGAATAAATCAGTGTTAACTATGCGTAGTTGCCGATGACATTAAACACCTGCACGAAAGCAGCAACCATTATATTAATGGTTGCTGCTTTTTTTGACGCCGGAATAGCCAAGAGGGAAGAAGCTTTTTTGCGTTTGGTGGGAAAATGTAAGGACAGATAGAGATGTAGGAAGAGGAGGAATAAAATAAATAAAATTCCCTCGATGCTTCAACAATTCCTTTTCTGGAAGCGATAATCCTCGACCTTTTTTTCAATTGTGATGGGAATAAAAGAATTTTTAATGTATTTTCAATAAAAGAATAATTAAATGTGAATTAATTTATAAAATTATAAAAAGTACGCATATCTATTCATTAGATTCATAGCTAGAAACAACCTCACATAAAAAATATTAATGCATAATGAAAAGTCCAACTTCATTGTTATAGACATCACATCAGAAATGTCACGGGTTGAGGAAAAAGTCGGGCGGGTTTCGTGTCTGGATTTAGGAAATCGGGTCAAAAAACGGATCGGGTCTAAAAAAGTCCAGATTTCGGTTGCAAGTAACCCGTGACGTCCAGCCCCATATATAATAGACGAGAAAATCATTTAAGGGATATCTTGTATTGAATACATTCAATTATTTATGACACATATTCATTGTCGGGAAAAACAACAAAGCTCTTGTTGCGTGAAAATTGTGGCAAGGTGGTTAAACATAGCGCTATAGTGTAAACATTGTCACTTCATCCATCTATTAAATATGTACCTCATGTCAAATGCACAAATGAACAAGCTGGTGAAAAATAGGATGGATATTTTGGATGGAAATGAAAATTGAGTGAATAAGCTTTAAAAAATTGGGGTTGGTTTTACGATTAAATAAACTCCATATGTTTGAAATTATAGGCCAACTTTAAGATAGGGAAAACGTTAAAAATTGACTGGTAAATTTCGATTTTAAATATGTGATCATAAAACTGAGAATATGGTTCTTAAGTTCAGAACAGAACCTCATGTCAAATGCACAAATGAACATAATGGTAAAAATAGATTTTTCGGTTACTAGAGGTTTTTCGGTTCTGATTAGGATATTCGAAGGTTTTCCAGGAACAGACACCGTTAATTTAGAATTAAGATTTATATAATTAAATAGATATAATAAAATAAAAAAAAGTAAAGTAATAATGAATCTGGCAATAGAAAATATTTCCTTTTTTTGCCAGCTAACACAAAATTGATAGAAATTGCCGGAAAAGGAAATCGCTTTTCCTTTGTATAAAAAATGGATTTTATCTCAAATTTCATAAAACACCTAGAAAATTTCAAAAAGGAAATAAATGAGAAAAAGCAAATGATTGTGAGAAAAAAGAATCTGAGCCTGAAATTTATTATTTATAGTGCGTATATTTTATGCCAGCCGTTTGTTCTAGGTTGGAATAAATAAAGAAATTTAGCGGATGTAAACGATTAAATGTTTAAATTGGAAATAAAATGTGTTTAATGTTTTAAATATTTGCATACAATTTTGGCATTTTTGAATGTAAAATGACACGCTAGTTTTCAGTAATACATGTTAATATTTATCGAGGTGATATAGAATTCTGCGGGGCTACTATTTTAGATTCTAAAACTTAGCAGGTACAGATAAGCTATCAGCATTTCGGCTCCAAAAATCTAAAATGCTGGTGTCTAAAGCATCAGAAGAGTCATAAATTTCTGGCAGAAAAGTTTTAGATTTTTTTGCTTTTTTCTGAAGTCGAGTAAGTATAGATATTAGTACGAATACGAGGCCAAAAATTTGGGGTGCTATGAGGTAGTAGTACGTGCAGAATAAACATTTTTAAACATTTTTGCTCGATTTTTGCTCAACAAACATTTTTTGCTCGTTTTTTATTATTTTTTACGACTTATATTTTTATGATTTATCAAACTTAAAGATAAGCTATCAGCATTAATATTTAACATAATTTATCTTTTATGAATAAACTTAAACGAATGAATGAGGAAAGAAATATATAAATTCACACAAAATATTTTCAGTTATTCGCTCCAATGCTTTACGTTTTTAGAAAATAATTTAATGTTCCGCTTTTGATTTTTCGTATTAAAATTTCCTTTAAAATTTTTTATTCAATTTTATTCACGTAGAAAAAACACGCAAATTTTTAAGGTTTTTTCGGTAAAAACATGTTTACTCATTAAAGACCAGATTTTAAGTAAATAAATTTATTAAAAGTACTTTAAAAATGTCAAAACAAAATTTTATATATAAAAATTAAATACTTCCTCATAACTAAACCAATAAATAACCCGTAATTTATTCACTTTAAAAGGTAAAAAATAATAATCTGAAATTATGTTTTTTATGGTAATTATTCAATGGACAATAAAAACAACATTATTTAAAAGCAATTAGAATAAGTATATGTAAAATTAAAATGTTAGAAGATTCTTACTGCCCTTTACAGCCAACATTAATTATGCCAATTTTAAAATGAGGAAAATAAATTTTGCATTCAAAAATATATGGATTTAGCATCTTCTCGTATTGTAAATAATAATTGGATTCTAATTTTTTTTAAAAATATTTGATGAAATTTCTCACAAGATCCACAAGACTAAGAAGCACTGGTTTTTTAGCCTAAGGGATTTTCTACTTTATTCCTGTTCGAAAGTGCGAGTTTTTGAGAGATAACTATTGCTTCAACCGCTCACTGGAGGAGGGTAATTATTTAATTAAAGGTAATTATTCAAGCTTATACGATAATTAAAAGATATACGATAATTAAAAGATATACGATAATTAAAAGATCAAGTTCCAAGTTTAAAAAAATTTTGTTTTCCAATAATAACCCTTCCTTCGAAACATCTAAATTTATAAAATACAATTTTAATCTCCCTCACATTTTTTTAATTTTATTTCTTTTATTTTAAATTTTTATTCCCCTCTATCGGCTATAATTTTAAGTAAAATGGATTGTTGGTTATTCTGCAAAACTGATGTCATTTTCTCGTGTGCCGAACATTGACTATTTTTTCTCGTTTCATTTTCAAACAAGGCAAACTAAAGTAAGGCCAGAAGGCTGGCAATAATGCCGCTTACTTCGGGACAGACGCTCTATACTATTTTGTCTCCACTCTCTTCTTATTGTTGGTTAATATTCTACTTTTTTCACGTTTTTAAGCTTTATTCATTTTACTTTTCTCTAGAATAATTTTTATCCATATAGCGCCCCTTTTACGCTTTTTTAAAAGCAATTTCCATTTTACCAAAAAAGTAATATATTGAATAGTTCTTTTGACAATACATGGAATTGTGCCAGTTCTGAAACTTCAACACTATCTAATTCAACACGTCTCTAGATCATCTTAGAAACTTTATCAGATTCGATGCCTTAACTCAGGTTCGATGCCTGGGGGCTTTAGTGTAGTCTGCTTTTATATAGGGATTGACTTACCTACTAATTCCCCTCCATATTTAAATGCATAAGAGCTTTTATGCCTGATTTAATTACACCAAAAAAATTTATTTTTTGTATCTATAGTTTTAGAAACGATTTAAGTAGGAATAATATTCATGCCTCTCACTTTTTTCGATTTTCCAATGGCAAGGAAACTACATTTACGTGCTCCCTATTCTTAAAAATATTGCAGTGCGCTTCAGGCTGTTGCTTTTAGCTTGTTTATATGTTTTTATAGCTTTATGTAAGCCTCTCTGAATTAAATTCATTCAGTATTATTATAGTCTATACACTGAAGAGTTTTCCCCAATAATTAAAAGTGGCACACTCGTTATTTTATTTTTTTCTTGTTTTTCCTTGTAGTTATAATTGTTTATACTAGTATGTTTATTAATTGAGTGTTAGCATGAAGCGCTTCCGATTCTGGTCAAATGTGGCTAAAGTAGAAAATTCTGACCCTGCTGGTGAGGTTGGAGATGATGGTGGGAGCAAATTTTTTGGTATCAAATCATACTTGCACAATTTTTACCTTACTCCGGGTGGTCTTGAGCATATCGAAGGTGTTGGTAAAGGAACAGCAGAAAATGCCTGGTCTGTTTAATCATGCATTAATCAATCATTTACCTCATTTTTTGCTAAAGGTATTTATTGCCTCCTCCACCCACCCAACGTATGGGGCTCTATGTTTGTCGACTTCTTACTGTACTTGGATTGCTCCTATTATTAGGTGGAGCCACGGCCATCATCGTTGGCTATTGTTGGCCTCGAGAACAAAATATTGAAGTTTGTATTTTATCAATAGTTATACCAGAATTAAATATAATTTTCAAAATAATTTAGGGTGAATTGATGCGAATAGCGATAGATCAGGATGAAGACGGTAATTTCTATGTACTTCCTGAACGACTTGCGGAGGTTATGTCATCTTTACAAGATCCAATGCACAAGTGGAAAATGACTGGTATAATTTTTAGAGAAAACTGAATCACCATTATTTCAAAGGTTTTTGTGTTTTCGCGGCTGGAGCATCATTAATGGCACTCTCTCTATTGGTTCCAATGCTTGCCCAGTGCTGCGGCGGTACTCGACTTGCTGCCTTTTCCTCCGTTGATAATACACCTAATGAGCCCCCTGTACGCATTTATCCCGGTGGAGGCTGTGGTGTTCAACCTTCTGGCCGTTTCAAGGTTGTGCCAGCCAAGTTTGCTGGCTCTCACAAAATATCACCAACAAAGTAATAGATAAATGTATTAACATACAAAATATGATTTTAAAGCAATGGCCCGGTGCCCGTTATGGAAGAAATTTCTAAAGTTCAGCCAGGCTCTAAGGGCGCATCCAAAGTTGGATCACCTACTTTAACTTGCGCAGCAGAAGAGCAAATGCTACTAGATCAATTGGTAGACTCTTCAGATGCGCAGCCATTAATACGTTGATATTTTTAAAAGTGAAAGCATAAGAATCCTATTAGAATGGCATTTTTATAAAAAAAATTTTTGAGGCGGCGGCGATTTTTAATACAAAACATGTATTCTTTTCTCATTTTAATACTTTTAAAATATATTTACGAGAATGCTGAATAAAATTAATCTCATTTATGTGTAAAATTTGAAACCAGATAATATACCAATAATTTATTTAATAGTTTAAAAAGAGCATTAAAAGGAAAGAAATTAAATAATTATTCTTGTCTAGGTTTCTTCTAGTTTAGTTTAATACCGGCATGATGGCAATACATCAACACATTCCAATTGAAAAGGCACGTAACATCGGCCCTTGCAATTGAGTCAATTCCCTCTTCGCTTCCGGGATCGCAAAAGCGAAGGCACCTATCACCTACACCCAATTTTGCATCTCCAAGGTTTAAATGTTGGCAGCATTTACGATTGTCCTGCATATGTAGAATTAATAAAATTAATTATAAATTATTATATGCCTGATTCTGCGATGCGCAGTAAAGAATTGTGCCGAAATGCTTCAAATCACATTTCTTTGTCTTGACTGCTTGAAGAAGCTGTATATACAATATTAGGCTAATATGAGTTACTTAAAAAATTAAACCAAATTTCTTGCTGTCAACTCATCAGACTCGTATTGACAAAGTGAATGACAGCCTTGAGGCACGTACTGACTGCAACAGTGACTGAAAATAGAATCTGCCCTTTCCCTTGGCATGCAAGGAGTATAATCGGTTTCTTTAGTTCCGCATTTTGATTGTTGTTCTAAATTTTGTTTTTGGTCGTTACTTAATGCTTCACTTTTGTTTGAGTCTATTAGCTCTACTGGTTCCTGAGCATTTCCAAATGTAAATAGAACAAGAATAATGGATAAAAATAAGGGAAGGGAAGAAAGTTTCAGAATTAAATGGTTTGTAGAATTTGCTAACATAACTGAAGAGGAAGGGGAATTATTCAATTTTAAAAATTTGAATGTGCAGTAGGGCATTTCGGGGTGGGGAAATTATTATTTCAACTTAATCGAGAAGGGAATTTTATTCAAAGAAGAGGTATTACTCGAGAAAATACGGTATAAAGTTGATCAAGATTTAGTTTAACTGGCAAAAATACTAGCTAAACATTCTATTTGATCTATAAATGTTTTTTAATTTTATTTTATCACTAATCTTTATCACATTAATATCTATAAAAATCAAAAAAGTAAAAGTAACTAACGAAGAAAAAATAATAGTGACGGGGCGCGCAGCTAAAATAACCTTACTCACTACTTTAGGTTTTTTCACGCAATTGTGCTGCAACAATTATCCGGATATTCTTTTTTATATTTCTGCTCAGCGAATTATAAAGCTGACCTAATTTATTCTAGAATATAAAAACAACATGAAAAGTATTCGCGTTTTTAAATCAGGGTTCAATAAAAAATTTTCTTCTTAAAGTCTTCAATTCTGATTCCTATATAAGACGAAACTTAAACAGAACATTTATCTTCATTTATGCAAAGGCTTGGGATATTATAAAAGTGAAAATAAGACATAAGTATTGTAAAATTATGCGGGGAAAGTTTTTTGCAATTATCATATTAGAATTAATTAAAAAATGATTTTATAAAAATAAATTTTTAAATAAAAGATTCTATACAGCAAAAGCACATATGTAAATATATCTTAGATAATTTGACGTTTAAAGATAATTATACATACATAATAATAAATATAATTATTAAGTTATCTGAAACGTCAAATCCTCTAAATATTGAGAAAAAATTGCGTATGATAATGAAAAAAAGAAACAATTTAAATATGTATGAATTAGGGATAGGCCCTTATGCAGTTTAAAAGCTGAAGGCGGAAGGGTTAAAAAGTGGGATTCTGCGCAAGGTGCAAGACAGCCCACCCCTTATTTGAATAGATTTAATAAATACAATAAATATATTATTCGGATTATCTACTAATTTTGAAGTAAAAAAGATTTTAGGATATTGTACAATACGGTACGGAAGTGGAGTTTCAGGGAAGAGTTTAAAAACGGATATTTAAAAATAAATTCTAAAAATAAAAGAAGTCTTAAAATTACTATGGACAAAATTTAAAAATCAAGATCCTACAATGCTTTAATTTTTAACGTATAACATTCCGAATTCTAATAAAATAATGAAACTTGCAGAAGGTTCTCTCTTGCATCACAAAAAGGAAACTGCAATTTAAAATCATTTTTCATCGGGTATTTTTGGCTGTGGAAATGAAGGTGGAGCTGGAGGATGAGCAGAAGGTGAGGCAATGACAATTGATGGCTGTTGTTGTCCTTTTTTTGAGATTGGTTCCTTTAAAAATAATTTTCTAAATATTTACAACTGAATTCCCTTACCAAATAATAATCATCATTCTCGAGCTCTTGAGATTGTTGTTGTTGGTATTTAAGTAATTGTTGCTGACTAAATTTCCCAGTTGCCTTGCCAAGCGAAGAAGCTGAAAATTAAATTTAAAATAGAAAAAAAGATCGAAATTGCCTTCAGAGTTTCGACTATGTGCACTCAAAGGTCTATTTGAAGGAATCACTCCAGCAATATTTGGCATCCAAGATATAGTAGATGTAGATTGTCCCTGAGTACTTCCGGATGACGTAGACGTAGAACGCATTAATGGATGTTGTTGCCCATATTGTTGGCGAAGATTCTGTCATTGAAGGGTTTAAATTAGAATAAATTTCTCTCACCTTCTCAGCTGTATTGCCATTACTTCCTCCAGGCGAACCTTCAGGTGAATTAGAGGCATTGAGGTCGATCACATCTTTCAGATCTGACACATGTCCAGGTCCTGTTTTTAAAAAATAATAAATTGATAGAGAATTAACAGGGAGTCTTTAAAAAATACCCATATGGACAACATGCACAAAATCAGAAGGACCACTAATAGGTAATTGACTTCGACGATCACCACGACTTAAAAAAGTTAAAGAAAATAACAACTTAAAATCTTATTACCTTCTTGCATCGTCCTTTGCTGATCGAACAACAAATTTTCGCTTTCGCGTAGAGACTGTTGCTTTCCTATTCTCAGAAAATGACAAAAATAATTTTTCTGTTGACCCTAAAAATATTATCCTTCGAATATTTAAACTTAAAAATAAAAATTACCAGGCTGATTTGCACCCAACATTACCAAATGTGGCAAATCTAATATTTGGCATAAAACGAATAAGCCATTTGAATGAAGAGGTCGAGATAAACGCAAATTTATAGTTTGAACCCATTCAGCAGTTTGTACTTTAAAAACACAAATTTGATGTTCAGAAAAATGGAGCAAATGAGAAGATCGATAAGCAAAGCTAGATTGCCCAGTACCACGACATGGAAACATTAATTCCTGAGAGCGAGATCGTCGACCTCAAAATTATTATTATTAATTCGTAGAAATTTAGGATTAAAAACCATTTGTATCAACATAAAGGCCAAGCTTCTGAAAGACGAGCAAATACTCCTTTGGGCGCCCTTGACTTGACAGTTGCACTTCGCCATGTTTAGTAATATCAGTAGATTTATCATTATTATCAGAATCACGTTGAGGCCAAACAGAAATTATCATTTCAGCATCATACAACGTTTGATTCAAAAACTGTAAAGAACCATCTTCCAAATTGACTAGCGCTTAAACGAGAAAATAATTAAAATTTCTTAAATTCGAACAAAACCCATACAAATTTGACTATTGTCCAAAAGATCCCAAACTCGAAAGCTGCCAGGATATCCAACAAATAATCGTCCTTGTGAGATACTCAAACATTGTGGTTGTCCAGGTATAGCTCTTTCTCTCATTGCTGAATGTCTCTTCTCCGACCGATTAATTTGAAAAACAAGTACACTTTTATTTAAAGCAGTAGCAAAATAATGTTGAAGTGTTCCTGTAGTATTTGTACCATGTGATGATAAACGTGATGGATGGCCTGTTCCCCAACAAAGAAGATGACAACCCCGTGTTTCTTGAACTTTTATCCATTTAAGATCACGACCATCTAGCGCGGCTGTAGGGATCTGTAGAATAAATAAAATTAATATAAAGATAAACAAACTTACAAGGCGAACGTGTCGTTCCTTTCCTGCACCGACCAGTACAATTAACAACTAAAAATTTAAAAAAAAATTAATTGAATTAGTACTCAAAAATACGTGTTCTTCTGCATCATATTCAACTTGCTCTACATTTTTTTTCTTGTTCTCAGATTCACCTCCTACCGGTATTAGAACCTTAACATTTAATACACTTTGAACAAAAATTCTTTAAAAAATACTTCGCGGTCTAATTCAACACTTAAAAGACCCTGATCAGCCAATCCAACCACAAAACGTCCTTGATCAATAACTGCAGCACATTTAACATTTCGTAGTTGAGGAGGGAACGCGGATAGATCGTAGAGTTCGCGCACAACAAAAGCATCTTTACGAAGAAAACCTGAACGGCAAAATAGATCGCGAAGCTCATTCAACGCTACGACCCATTTTTCTGCTTCCTAAATTGTCAAAATCTAATTAAATAATTTTAAATGAAAGTAGTACCTCCTTGCTTTCAGCCATTAATAATGAATATTGTTGTGCAATTAGTGCACATTCCTTTTGATGCTGACTTTGCTCAAAAGTAGCAGATGCTGCAGCTGAACCACCAGAACCCGTGGAGCCATGGGATCGTATTGTGGCTGATTTGTTGTTTAAACTTTCAGGCTCAAAGACAGCTGTGCAAGAGTGAAAATCGTGAATTTGGGAGAAAATAATTTTGAAGATTTTTGGAAGGTCTGATTTTGAAGCATGTATCGCATCATTTTCGGTGGCAGAAGATACTTTAAAGTCTGGATCTTTCATGTCTAATATCTTAAACCATGCCTTTACAAAGAAATAGTCATTATAATAACCTGTCTAATTTGAGGTTCAATAGCTATCACTTTCCCGTTCTTATCAGTTTGGCAATCATACAAGTATAATTTAAAGTCACAGACAAAGACATACTAAAAAAATATAAAATGAAAGTCAATAACTAATCCAAACCGTTTTTTGCCAGCCTCGTTTTACTCCTCCACATTTTGGCGTCTTTACTGCTCCTTGATAAGCTGTGCCCGTACCGCGCACCATATCGATTCCATCACTTCGCCGCATCTCCAACGGGATTGGGCAGTCATTAGGCACCTTGGCAAGGCAACTGATGTGACAGGCAATATGACAATCCTGACAGAACATCCCTAGAAAATGTTTAACTCAATGTCAACTTGAGAAATAGAGAGAACCTTGTCGATCGGCTCCAATCAATACGGATGTACAAGAAATACATTTTGTTGGGGTTCGAAGACTGGCATGGATAAAATGATGTCCTTTGTCGTTAAATGCGTTGTTTAATGACTGAATGACTTTAGGACTAGCCGCCGTACGAAGAATTGATGATGTTGGTGAACCAAAGGATGAAAGAGAATCGTCTTGCCGATATGAAGTGTAAAAACGAGCATTTTCATAAAATTGTGGGTGGAAAGGATATTGCTGGTGATGGCCACCACCACTGGAAACAGAAAAATAGAAATGATTATGACATAATCTATCAACTAGAATTAAGTGAAACTTGTTTAAAATTTTATAATTTCTAGAAGTCAGAATAAAAAGATAAAAATGAAGCTAAAGTATATCGAATTAAAAGACATTGACTCACATCGTTGGAATTTTAGATTGAACTAATTGACCATCAGATTCATCAACCAGACAAGAACCTAAAACAATGCAGATATAAAAACTACATACATTATGATTCAACTTACGTGTGTTTGATGGGATTGTTGATGGAATAGAAACAGCTGATGAAACACCTGATAAACTGTTGTTAAAGACTCCAGCATTAAAATGATGTTGTTGAAATGCTCCTTGTTCAACCATTTCACCAATTGTAGGACCTTGTGATAATGCTTCTACCCTTTGAGGCCAATGACGCATTGCCCAGTGCTGCTGCTTCAATGTAGTATTCTCATCCATAACTCGTTCATATTCGTCCCTTTGCTTTTCTAGTTTTCTTCTCATTACATCTAATTGCCTTTCCAATTCATCACACCGAGTTCTTGCTTGCCTTAATTCTTCTTGTGCTCTTTGTTTTGCGCGAATTTCTGCTTCCAAATGTTGTTGCGCTTCAAAACGTCCATATTTAGCTTGTTTATTCATTCGACGTGAGCCCCATGTCCTAAGAGGACTAAAAAACAGATTAAAAAATTAAAACAAAAAAACCTTTCTATAATGGAGGTTGGTGTATTTGCATAGCTCCCATTTGATTGTTGTTGCTCTCTCACTACATTATTTGGAGGTGCTTGAATTGAAAGTCCTCTTTTGAAACTTTCCAATTCTCCAGCTAGGCGTGAAGTTACATCTTGTAACAATTCTTGTCGCTCCTTTCCATCAGCAACAAACTGGATAATTTCCTGAATTTGAATACCCATCCGTTGTTGACAGAGCAGTTCTTGTTCAAGCCTGTTATTGACTCCACGCATTTGTTCATTCTCTATCCTTAAGTCTTTCAATTCAGCTTCCAAAGCTTTTACACGCGTCGAGAACAATTTCTTTAGATTAATTATTTATATTTAAATAATAATAATTCAAAAAAAAACCTCTACACTAAATAAATGTTCTTGATGTTGTCTATTCCAGGATACCTTGTCTTCTTCATGTTCAGCTCGCAATTTTTGTTCTGCCAGTTTTTGTTCATTCAGTGATCGTTGTAAATCTTCAATTTGTTCTTTGAAATGCCCAATTGCGTCATTTGTTTGATTTTCTTCCAACTAATATAAATGAAAAATATATTAAAATATTCAAAAGAAAATTGTACTTCAAGTAATTGTTTTTCTTTGCAGGTTTCCAGCAATTCATCCTCGTAACGCTTATCTGATTTAACACAATTGTCTTCTTCGTTTTGACAAACTTCTTTATTTTCTTCAGTCGAATTTGATTCATTAACGTTTTTTGCTGAACGTTCATTTGCCAATTCTTTTGTTAAAAGTGCTAATTTTGCATCCGCTTCTGCACGAGCTTAAATTAAAAAAAAATTAAAATTAAAGTAGCAAAAATACAAGCTAGCGCTGAACGGAGTTCACTTTTGTAGATGTCACACTTTTCTTGCAATTGTCGGGATAATGCATCTTTTTCTTTGAAATTTTGTTCACAAGATGCTAAAATTGCCTTAGTTTCAACGAGTTCTGAATTGGTTTCTTCAAAATCATGCAAAGCAACATCGCGCTGTTTTATCGCATTCTTCCATTCTCTTGATTGTGTGTTAAACCTTTCACTAATTTCTTCCAACTCTTTTTGTAAATCTTGTTTGTCCAAAATAAGCTGCCGATTTTTCTCTTTGGAATCTCGACACTTTTTCTCAAGTTCTTCAATCCCTACATGTTTTACCGGCCTTTGATTCTTTTCATCTTCTAACATTCTTCTTAGAATCTGCGAAAATACAAACATAACTAGTATAGCATTTATGTAATACCTGATTTTCATCTTTTAGTTGTGCAACAATATGATCTTGTTGAGTAGGCAAAGAGAATTCGGGAGGTTGCGGTTCTCTCGGAGGCGGCTCTCTATCATCATCGTCTTGTTTCTCATCTTCAGTTTGTTTATTCGTTTGTATTGTAGATAAAAATTGTGTACTTGTGACGCCAGAAAATGAGTGCAACAATGATTGAATTGAATCGAGCAAATGTAGACGATCAGAGAATACACTGAAATGTAAATTTAAAATAAAAAAGTTAGACCTTTAATTCGTATGCTTACCTTTCACTCGTATAAGTAAAACCTATAAAGGGCAAATGAAGTCCACTAAAAGGAGCCGTTACTTTAGGTGGTTGAGTTTCACATGGAGTAAAATCACTAGAAATTACACTAGGATCAAAATTTGATGTGTCTGTTGGACTAGAAACTTCTGGTTTGTAAGGAGCGTTCACTAAAAAATAATTAGATAATTATTTAAAATATAAAACAAACTTGATCGAATATTTTCCCAGTCAATATCAAAAAAGAAAGGATGAGAACGAAAATCTTCAAGCCCATTAGCTCCCAGACGTTTATCTCGAGAACAAATCAGGCGAGAAATTAAATCCTTGGCGTCGTCACTAATTTCAACATCTTCTGGGAATTCAAACATCTCTTCGTGGTTCATTATTTTTCCATATGTATCAACCAGGCTTTCAGCATAAAAAGGTGTTTCACCATAAATCATCTTTTAAAAAAGATATTTACTAACGAAATGAAAGAATTAAAACCTCAAACATACAAATCCCCAAAGACCACCAGTCACATTCAGCTCCATAGCGACCTCTTCCATCCTCAACTGCCTGAAAATAAAATTAAAAAATAAAAATTACCCATTAAAATTCTCAAACCCTAAGAGTCTCTGGAGAAATGTAATCAGGAGTACCAACTGCTGTAGTGGCGCAAACAGTACCATCACTCTGTCGTCGTAAACAACTTCCAAAATCACCGAGCTTTATATGTCCATTAATATCCAAAAGTACATTGTCGGGCTTGATATCTCTACAAAGCGTTTACATGCCCGCATTTTCCTATTCTTCTCCTTTCTCTTTTTTAAACTTCATGATCTTAAATGGTGATAGAGGACTTTATGGTACTTATTTAGTTTCCCCCCCCCCCAGTCAGTTTTTTCGAAAATTATGTAAAAATGGTCAGTCTGAACAACAATTGTAGAACCCATCGAGCTTTGTCGAATGACACCAAAATCAACAAAATCCGACTTGATTTGACCGAAATACAGACCCCTGAAAATTGAACAACCATGGGGGTGATTTTTCGAAATAAAACAAGTTTACCCAAATGATAGCTCATTCGAAAGAGCTCGTCGAGCTGAGTCGAATGAGACCAAAATCAACGAAATCGGACTTGATTTGACAAAGTTATGACATTATTTAGACTTACCGGAGTCAACGACTTATGTCATAACTTTGTCAAATCAAGTCGGATTTCGTTGATTTTGGTCTCATTCGACTCAGCTCGACGAGCTCTTTCGAATGAGCTATCATTTGTATAGATTTTCGTCTTTATGATTTTGTGCCCCTGTGGTTTAGGTGTCTGTATTTCGGTCCAAGCAAGTCGGATTTTGTTGATTTTGGTGTCATTCGACAAAGCTCGATGGGTTCTACAATTGTTGTTCAGACTGACCATTTTTACATAATTTTCGAAAAAACTGACTGGGGGGGGGAACTAAATTAGTACCGGACTTTATTTAGCCAGAGTTATGATCATGCAACCAGAATTTTTCCCCGGGGGGATAATTATAAGGAAGGAGAAATAAAAGGAAAATGCGGGCATATAAACTCATAGTAGCAAACTGTGTGTTGATTAGTAGCAGTTTTTAAAGCATGCTTTAAAATTAATAAAAAAAACCTGTGAACATATCCAAGTTTATGAATTGAGTCAATAGCCAAAACCATTTCAGCAACATAAAACTTGGCCATGTGTTCAGGCACGTGTCCATGTTCATCTTCAAATTTTGAAAGAAGTGTAAGCAAATCACCGCCAACATAGTAGTCCATTATTAGATACTAGAAATAAATTCAAAGTTTTGTGTTTAATTTTAAATAATCCTGTTTCCTCTAATTTAATAAAACTTAAAGAAAAAAAATCTTACCAAATTTTTATCATCTTGAAAGGCAAAATGCAAATTTGTAATCCAATGTCGATTGCCAAACACCATCACATCTCGTTCTTCTTTGAAACATGCAGTTTCCGCCCTTTTAAGCATTTCCCATTTGTTCAGAATTTTCATAGCATAAATCTTAATAGTGAATTGAGGAAGGAACCATAAAGAAATAACAAAACCTTATCAGTATTTAACAATTTAACAACAGCAACTTCACCAAACGATCCACGACCAATGACTTTAAGAACTTCGAAATCATCCCTGCACAATCGAAGAGCTTTTATGCGAGAAACAACAGGCCTGGCTAAAATATTATGGGAACTTATATGGTTTGGGTACTCTTTTTTTAGCCACGCCCCTTTTTTCCTTTTCCTCATTATTCTTAACTCATTTTCTTACTCATCCATCAATCAATTCAGCTGAGGTCAATTTTTTTTAAGATTAGGGCTGGGGTTTTCGAGTCGGGCCGACGTTCGAGTCATTTTTCGGGCCACATTTTTATCGGGCCGGCCCGATCGAGTTTTTTTTTTGGGCTTCATTTTACGTGGCTAAATATCTCTGACAATGAGCTGAGTTACAAAGGTCCAAAAATGTCTAAAAAGTGGTGAAATGGTCAATATTTCGAGAATTATATGATTTTAAAAACGCAAGAGTACCGGACCATTCGTTCTTAAACACAAACCCAGGTACTTATTGACATTTAAATAACTGAAATAGATGAAAATAAGAATATTGATTCAAATGTTAATTCTTATTTGGGTGACATTGGAAAGAAAAACTAATCATTTCTTTGTTTATGTCACTCATTAAACATGCCACAGGTAAAATTGAGTGAAATCGAGGAAGAAAGAAAGGCTGACCATTCTGTCCATGTTAAGGTTGATTGGTGAGGGAAAAGGAAAAGAGGGCGTGGCTAAAAAAAGAGTACCCAAACCATATAAGTTCCATATTATGAATGAAAGATCAGAAATTCTGTAAAGGAAAAATGAAATTCTAAAACGGGATATTTGCCCTCTACTTTTATAGTAGTTATAATAAAAACCTAATAAGCTTTCCTAAAAGTAGACAATAAAATTGTTTTTAAAAACAGACTCCCCACCATTGAATGATTATTAAACGATTTTAAATTTTGTAAAGCCACTTTTTATTTTCCCCCCAAATCTAAAGATTTAAGTACTCGGCCATGCGTGTCAGGACATATGGTACAATTGCAAAAGCTTGTGACACAACATAGATTTTGGTACACAAAAAAACAGAACCATAGGTCCTAACAAGAATAATTCGGCTCTTAAAATCTAAGATTTAGGGAAAAAAGCGGGTTATAAAAGCTCAAAATTCCCTATTTTTATTAATGAAAAGAAAATAGATACCAAATTCAACAAATTCGGAGACAACTTTGTCTTTGCGCAAAGTACTATTGCAACATTCATCGTAGAGACATACAACAGTATCTAACAAAGTTTCAAATGAAAACGCCTCAGAATAAGGTGCACCACAAAGATAAAGTTGTTCAAGTTGTCGCAAACGGTTTAATGGATGTTGGGGTTGAATAGCTTCAAGACTTGTAGCATTATCTGAGCTTGTCGAACCAGATGATGACATTAAATTATAGTGGAGGAATATTCAGTAGGAATGTAAAAATGGAATGAACATTTGCCTAAATTAAAAAAACAAAAACAATTTTTAAGCAAAACAAAAACAAATTTTCTTAACAACAAAAATAGGACTCAACCGTCCTTTATTTCCGTCAAAATGCCTATTCGCTAACCCCTTAACTTGCCACTCAGCTGAAAAGGCACAAATTGCCCATGCAGCAAAAAAGTTACAACTTGCCTAATATAGCTAAAGAAGTACAATTTGCCTACGCTGCTAAAAAGGTACAAATTGCCCACGCAGCTAAAATGGTAAAATTGTCTACACAGCTAAGAGTTACAACTTGCCTGAGTCTTCGCAGGAGACAATTAGACAGTGAATCGTTTTATATGTATTTCACTGAAGTATTAATCAAGAAAATCAACATCTCGTCAGTTGAATCTTGGATATTTGCATTGATCATTTGGGATAATATTCTTTAATCCTTTAATGCGTATAGAAAATAGATAAGTATATGACAGATACATATGTACATAAATTCATTAATTCTATTCCTCAACTTACTCGATATTTAATCCATTTCTATTTATTTTGCAACAATTTGCCTCGAGATTTTCTACAAAAATTGTGTACTTTCATTAAATTTTTGTATAATACTATTTCTTATAGTATTTCATTATCAACACAAAAATCTCCACAAAAATCTCTATAGTCCAATCTCTATTAACCAAAAATATCTGAAATCTTAACGCTTATTCTAAAAAACTACTGATATTTTTTTTTCCATTATGGATAAACATGATAAAGAGTGGTTGTTTTCTTCTCAATAAGAGAGCCTCAATAAGTTGCATCGTCGTTCCACGTCTGTGATCACTACAACAGTTTTTTAGAGCCAGTCGGTCGATCAGCAGCAGCTAAAAAGCTGCTTATTCTCCTTTCATTCTTTGCTTTCTCCCTCAACGACATAATAATCCACCGACAGTCAAATCGCCTTGGGGTTTCCATACCTCGTTACAATGCTTTATTCTTCCATTTTATTGACGACAAGAGATTGTATAGAGCTAGAGAGGACCAAAATCATCAATGTCGCCATTTCCTCCCTTTTTAACTAATCCGCGCTTCTTCAATTTTTTTAACCATCTTTTCATCGTGTAAGCTGCGTATTAGACGTTGTTTTATTCAGCCGCTTCCAAAATCTTCCCTTCCGTCGATTCTTTTCTTAATAATGATCATTTTCTCTAAATTGCTCCGTTTATACATACATACATCAAAAATATAATTATTATTAAGCTTTTATTGATCTCTTCCTTAATTTTAACACCTTAATGTAATACATTCGTAATATTTTTAATAATTCTATGGAATTTTAAATTATATCCCAAAAGAATTTTCTATCCTTATTTAGGCCTTAAATCTCAAAATTTTTACCACCATTTAAAAGTTGATTGCGCGCTGACAGACCACCCAGATGTTTATTAAACTTTTTATGTTTTCGGCTAGAATCCGGCTATTACATTTCCTATTTTCTTTATGTCCTATGATCGCAATTACAAACAGTGCAATTTTTAATGCGTAACCAATGTAATATCTACTATGATCATAAAAATATTCTATATACTTCCTTTTATTTTGCCATTACTTTATATTAAAAAATTTTCTTCTCAAGGACAACAAATACGCTGATTTACATATATTTATGTATTTATTATAAAAATCATTAAAATCATTGATAAGCATCACGTTCATGAAAGTTATTCCTTCTGCAACCACAAGCGCTATAATCGGAAAGCAGCAACGCACAATTCCAAGACGGAATTTAAAGCATGAAATAAAAAAAGGAGAGAATAATGCCGATGAAGACTGGGTGGATGACGAGGAGGGAGAGGCTGGGAGGGATGCAGCCTATACTGTTGTTGCATTTACGGCTGTAGGCTTTTCTTTGTTTGCTGTCCTATCTGTTGTTATTTGCATGCCAATCATATATAACTTTGTTGAACATGTTCAACGCCAGACAAGACGTGAACTCGACTTTTGCAAAGTAAAGTAATTTTTATATTTAAAAGGATTATCATGAATTAATCCCTTTTGAGTTAGATTCGAGAATTCTGTACTCTCTAATCTAAAAGTAGTAGAATTTTCCGGCATATATGTACTGTAAAATCTGATAATGTACTTAATAAAATAGCAGTGTACTCATTAAAATATCAAAATTTATACTTCTTTCAGGGATCGGCTAGGGATATAATGATTGAAGTAGAAAATAAACAACGCCGATTAGCAGTAGCAGCACGGAGGAATCAAACAGATTTTGCTTCCTTACTCTCTCATAGTCGAAATCGTGCTAAACGAGAATCCTACGGGGGCAGCTGTGATTCCTGTTGCATTCCTGGCCATGCCGGGCGTCCAGGACCGCCTGGTTAATGAATCGTACAATATGTATTAAAACTTTATTAATAATTCAGGGCCAACGGGGACGCCTGGAACACCTGGAGCACCCGGAAGACCAGGTTTGTAGCGGTTTTAAATGTTAGGGGTTCAGTTAACGTAAAAAGATTATAAAATAAAGGAAGTTTTACAACTTAATGATCAATTATATTTTTTAAATAATTCTCTCATGCAGGAAACCCAGGCAGACCGCCTATTATTTGCGAGGAAGTGGAGATTCCGCCTTGTAATCCATGTCCACCAGGTCCGCCAGGCCGTGTAGGTCCTAATGGCCAGCCTGGAGCACCAGGAAGGCCTGGGCCGCCAGGAAGACCAGGAAACAACGGTATTTATCAAAAAATTTATCTAAGGCAAGATAATATTTCTTTTGATTTTTAGGCCAGCCTGGAGCACCTGGATTAGCCGGTCCACCAGGTACACCTGGCAATGCAGGAGCTGATGGCGAGGTAAAGAAAATTAGAATATTTCCAAAATTATGCTATAATGTTTAGAAAGGAGAGCCAGGCAGACCAGCAGCAAGCTCACCTTCTAGTCCAGGCGAGCCAGGACCTCAAGGTGAACAAGGGCCTCAAGGATTACCTGGAGCGGATGGTTCGCCTGGTAGAGAAGGTAAAATTTTCATTTATATTTGAATATTGATAATACCTTCTTAAGGATCGCCCGGTCAGCCTGGACCACCTGGACTTCCCGGCGGAACTGGTAAGAAAAACGATTGTCTAAAATATTAAATTTTTAATTATATCAGGTCCACAAGGACCACCTGGACAACCAGGTCCGCCTGGAGCACCCGGCGTCGCCGGACAACAAGGGGAACGTGGAATATGTATGTTGATCGGATAATTTAAAAAAATAACCACGATATATTCAGGCCCTAAGTATTGCGCACTGGATGGCGGTGTATTTTTTGAGGACGGGACCAGACGTTGAAATTAAATAACATCTCGGCAAGAATCTGGCATAAATTTTGTTTACATAAAATTTAAACAGAAAGCATAGTATGTATAATATTTTAAGCTAATTTTATATGTATACATAAGCGTTTATATGCATAAAATTTATCTAAACTGTCAATTTAATCATTTCTTGGTCAAGCGCAAGAATCTTGTAGCGAATATTTGCGGCATCACACAATAAAGGGAAAATCTTAAATATTTTAAAGGCAAGTTTTCAATTCAAAGGAATTACCGATTGGATGTTTTTACGTGCAATTCTGGCACTCTGCGGCTCTAAAATGCCGAATGGACGGAACTTAAATACATTGCTTCCTATCTTTTCATATTCAGTCTTATTTGAAGCTGCTTCATTTTCGGTCGTTTCTGTTATATTTGGCTGTCTTCTCCTTGTTGGGTCTGTAGACGGAGTTTTCTTACTACAATTAAGTGAAAACACATCATAATCATTCTGCGCTTCATCACCCGAATAAAGCTCAATCCTGAATGATCTTCAATAGATATTGGAATAAATGCTAACCAGACAGTAGGAGATTGAGATGACTCAATTTTATCATCTGATATAGATAAAGCAGTGTCAAATGATACAGGAATGTCCAATATCTTTCTAGTTTTGGCAATGTTTAAATGGCATTCAAAGAGCAAGGTTTCAACATTGCGCATTAACAGGAAATACTGTTCACAAAGTTGTAATCGTTTGATGGATATTTCATTTTTTCTTTTGATCATATTTTTCATTTTCTATATAATGTGTATGTATGTATTGTAAAAAATTAAGAATATTAGAAAAGGCTCGAAAAACAAATGGATAAATAATTATAAAATTATAAAGCTTGTTTATCGAGATCAACTTTAAATGATTATTGCTAATTTGTTCCTACGTTTCTCGAATGAGAACCGTTGAGGAACTAATAAATTAAAACATATCCAAATTATTTTAAAGCAATCTTTTAAAACGTTCATAAAAAGAATATGGCGCATCTAGAGCCATCAAAATGCCGCCTTTGTGTATATGATCAAGTTTTATTCGTTCACCAATATTCACATTGTTTTTGAGTTTTACTGAGTAATCAATCGGAAGACCATCGACCAAAGATAGAAGTGCACCTCCAGCCGCTTTAGCAATTGCATCACAGGCACAAATATCCCATTTTTTTATTGAAGTTGAGTGAACATATAAATCTAGGATTAATTTTCTGCTGAGACACTTGGAATAAGCTCACCAGCTGTTTGTCGTATTAATCTCAAAGTTTTGTAACCAGTACCGCCTTGGTAAAAAATTAAATTTAATAATTTATATGGAAAAACCTGCCGGTTCGACTGTATAGGGAAGATTATCAACCCTAAATGCTTCTTCTATTTTCAGGGAAATATTGCCAGCGTGTGACCTTTAAAAATCTTTAGAGATTTTAAATGAACATATACCTTGAAATAAGCACTTTATGATTCTGCTTTTTCGAATGATAATTGCCCCTTAACAATTTTCCATCTTTTGAGCTAAAAACTCCATGATCCACCATTCCAAGAACTTTTAATAATTTAATCAATTATTTACAACCCGTAGTATAAAAACTTGTTTCATTGTTAAAAGGACTGTGTATTGCCCCAACAAAAGGTTTTCCGTCAATTGTAATACATGCCATTACAGTCACGTATTTGGTTAACCCTTCTAAGAATTGATAGAGTAAGCATTAAATTTTCAAAAATTTTATATTACAACCAGTGAATTCCTGAGTGCCATCGAGCGGATCGATCCATATTACAATTCGACCTACAGATCTTTAATATTAATACGTTAGAAAAAATTTTTATAATGACCTAAGGGAATCCTCCATGACGGCATGCTGGAAATCAATTCACGTAGACCCATCCAAAGCTCATAATTGTCCGCACGATACCTGTCCATCTCTCGAGTATTTATTTTTGCAAATTTTTCTTCAGATATAACCTCAAAATAAACATTTCTAAAATCATATGTATTTACTTATAAAGGATATACACAATGTGAAATATTTTTTTAAAAATTATGTAGATGCCCATTCTAATCATAACCCCTCCGTGCGTTATTTTTTCGAAATAAACCTTAAGTAGTGGAAAGCGCCGTAAAAGTTCAAGCATTAGAGCATTTGAAATAAGATCAGCCCGAGTCAGCAGTTCAGCACGTCCAACATCCATTCGTTCCTGCTTTTCGTAGATGTGCATTTTGACGTTATTATTTTCCGAATAGATGCGTGAAATGGCACTCCCACCCATTTCTGTAGCAAGCACTATATAGCTAAACTCTTCAGTTTTTAAGAAATTATAATTCCATACCTTATAAGGTCTCTAAGTTCTACATCGATAGGCGGGAATGGATCCTTGGCAAACCAGATCAGAATAAACAAATAAAGGAAAAAGCTTCCAATAAGAAAACCAAAAATATTTTTTAAGTTCGGTTTAACAAACATTAATAAGCCCAATATTGATGGAAAAAATGACTAATAGTAAGTACAATGTTCATTGTTGCGATGCTAATTTAAGCTGGACTCAAATTGTCTGGATTTTTCCGTAGACGAACCCGTTAACTTTGAAATTTTTTATTTTACTTTAGTAAAATTTTGGAAATTTTTTTTAAATTTTAATTAAAAAATTTTTCTTTAAATACATCTTGTGTTCCGGTAAATTTTAAATTGAATAATGAAAAAGGACAAGCGGTAAGGGAGAGAGAGACCGATTTCGACGAGTACAGTACCATAAGTTGGGACTTTCTAAATAGAAATGCTTAATTATTTAAAAAAGTTTTGATCAATTTTTTTTGCATAATATTCTATTTTTTTATTCATTTCCATTGTAATTTGAAGGTTTAATTCTCGTTCTTTTTCATAAAGCTTGGCGGAAGTCCAGAGGCGTCACTCTGTCGCGGCACACTTCATTGAATCTCCTCTTGATCTTGAACGAAAATGCATAATTTAGTGGGTGAGCAAATTGTTTATTTGTGTGAAAAGGAGGATAATAAAAGTACATATAAGACGATTATCTTATGGTAGTAGAGAACTCTTGAGAATAAATCTATACTAAATATCACTATTTAGTAAATTTGCTGATAAAATAATCCTATCATAATCAAAACTGATCTACAAGAAAATTTCCACAGATCGTTAGGTTCATTTAATAATTATGTACATATGTATAAATCACATAATTGATGAAATTGCAAAATAGTCTTTTAAAATTCCCTCCTTATTCTAGATTTTTACTGCATAAAATTGAAGAAATTAAAATTTTCTCAGGCAGTCGTTGTTGACATGTGGTGTATCTTGCGCAAATGCTTTTTTAAGTCAAAGTTTCTGCAGAATCCCTTATCACATAACTTAATTTTTCATTATCATAATTGATAAATACAAAGCATTTAACCTTGCAAGAGAATGGTTTCTCTGATTGGTGTGTGTACATGTGGAAGTGCAAGTTGTAGGAATGATGGAAAGCCTATTTAATATTAAAAATTTCAAAGAAAATTTCGAAGATTTTTATCTACCTTATTACAAACTTCGCATTTGTACCGTTTCTCTTGTTGATGGGTTAGCTTGTGGTTTTTGTAATTCCCGTTCTATAATATGTGTATTAAATATTTTGGCTCTTGTGTTTCAATAATTAAATCAGAACCTGATGAAAGCCTTTACCGCAGTACTCGCATGTGTACGGTTTAAAACCTGAGATATAAAAATACTCTCATATAAGTTTATCACCTGTATGAATTCGTGAATGAGTGTTTAGTGTAGATGATCGGTTAAAGCACTTGCCACATACTTTACACTTTAATAATTGAATTAAAATAAATTTATTTTAAAAATTTAATCCAAACACGATGAGGCTTTTCTTCGGTGTGGATAATTTTGTGCCTGCAAAGTGTGCTTGCCTGACGAAAAGCTTTGCCACAAATCTGCAAATTACGATATGTTTAGAAAATTTAATGAATATGATGTATGTTGGAAGGGAAATTCGGGGAATTCTAGGGCCAAAATCCTAAAATCTCCTCCTTTTTGAGTTTCAGATTTTCTTTCTTATTGTTAGCAAGGATTTGAGAATTATACGTGTCTCGTAAACAAGATTGAGACTAAATATCACTTGCCTTGCATTGGAATGGGCGAGCACCCGTATGAACTGGCATATGTCTTGTCAGATTGTAATGGGCACTGAATGTCTTAGAGCATATTTCACATCGGAATTGTCCGCTAACTGATGGGGGTTGGTTTGCTCTGTTATGAGCTGACTCCTCAGGCAAGGACTCTTCAAATTTGGGTTCCACCTTTTTCTAAATTTTAAACTTATTATAAAATTCAGCTGCATTAATTTAATCAACCTGATCATAATCAGAAGAGGATATATTTATTTGTAATGTTTTGAAGGAATTATCAAGTAAAAGCTCAAAAGTAGGAGTTAATTTAATGTTTAATACAGCAGGGTTGAAGAGAGATTTTGAATTGATAGGAAACAACTGATCCAGGGTAGCTCGTAAATTGTAATTTTTTGTAAAACATTCCTCAATATTATTTTCATTTTTTCGTCCAAGAATGCCTTCCACTGAAAAGTTTTTCAATGAAGAAGCAGCCATCATTAACAATTAGAATTCTGAAGCAATTTGGATGTATATTTTAAAATAGTAGCAAAATCATTACTAAAATAAGATTCATAAAGTTACTCCAGAATTGGGTTTATATGGTAGTTGAGTTATATCGTATTTTCTTGATTAATTCCCCACCCTCGAATAATCTCCACTCTCGATTAATTCCACATCACCCGGATGCCGAAATATCTGGTTGAATAAAATGTTTAAAATATCTGGTTGAATAAAAAAATTTATTCAACACGGTTGAATAAAAATATCTGGTTGAATAAAAAATTTATTCAACACGGTTGAATAAAATGATATCATGTTTATGATCCTTAATGATTTTATGATCCATTATAAAGTTAAAAATTAAATGAAGAAAATATATTTGGATTTAAAATTTGATGGGTTACTGTCATCTTTGTGCACTGCTAAATATTATTAATGTTTATGGGAGTATTCTTACACGGGTGGTGGTTGTTCGACTGGAACCGACAATCGACGAAGGGATTAGGAATCCTGTGAAAAGGCGCCACCCAATGGTGTAATAACGTCCTCTCAGAAAAAACAGGCGGCAGTCAAAATCATTCGAGCGATATGCTCCGCCTTTTTGTATGGTTTACTTCAACAATAAGAGTTATTACTAAATCCTTATTTACTTACCATCCCTTTTATGGTTTGTTTATTTTGTTGGGGTTTTAACATCCTTCATTTCCATCTACATATGTGACTTTTGTTTCTAAAATTATACAGTCTAAATACCCAGAAAAAGGCCATCTGTGATTATTTTGATTATAATTTGAAAATTAAATGCCGGAATGCGCAATCATCAACTCTTTTGTCGTTAACATTATTAAAACTATAACTGTGTATAACTGTCAGGCTTCTAATAAAATCCTTTAAAAGCTTAAGGAAGGAAGAGTTAAACAGGAATGAAGAAGGAGAAAACTAATCCTATGCCAAGAGAGGTTGAAAGGAGCAACGCCAAAGTATTCAAAGACGTAAACAAATCCCATCATCCTTATTGAATGAAGGTGGATGTAGAGGAGGAATTAAGACTCACCTCATCAATTTTTACCGCAATGCCTAGTTGCAAATAGAGGTGAATAAAAATAAACGGCCAGCGGGAAAGCGCGAAAAGTTATTGGTGATGTGCTTTTGTAAGAGTAGATAAATCTTTAAGCAAAGCTTAAAATTTTTAAAGAGTTGGTGAAAAAAATTGAAAAAATGTATTTTAAGTGAATGTAAAGCTATTTTATTCATAAAAATATGATATCATTAAGCTTTTTACAGGTGTATTTTAAAGGTTCTCTATCGAAAATATTTAAAATATTTTTAAATTTTTCCTTGAAAAATTTTTTCTTGCAACTAAAAATAGGTACTGTAAGCTAACAAAATCTCTGAAAATACAAGGGAAGAAAATGCATCATCCGGCATACATTGTTTGAAGGGCTCTTTTATACAAGCTGTTGAAATTGTGTGTGTCATAATGCGCGAGTGTAGGAAGAACGTGAATGAAAAGGAATGCCCAAAAATAAGTCCTTGTCCTCCATGAGTTATTTCGCAGAGATTAACCTTATATGTATACTTGCTGGTTTCGACGATGAAGAAAGCCGGCCAGAAGTGGTTTTAAGAGTAAATCTGTCGGAATAAATGGTAATTGATAGTTATGTATATTAGTGGCAGAAGTCATTTCTTCAACGAGGTCAACAAAGGATGAGTATGGCCAAAATTGAAGGACAAATTTGACAATAAATAAACTACTATTTATTATAATTCAGCGGATAAGCATCTCAAGAGTCAGATAATGTATAATTCTATTAAATTTCATAATAATAGTTCCGTTATTTCTCCAAAAAGTAGAAAAATGTTCACCAAAAATGCTCACTAAAGTAGAAAAATGTTCACTAAAGTTTTAGTCTTTTTCGGTGTTTCGTCTGTTTTTCGGCACACCCCTGGCAAAACTTAATATTATACTATTTAGTAATTTCGACACAATAAAGAATTTGTCAAAATAAGTAAAAACATTTAATCATTATTCTATTATCTCTTTTTACTCTTCAAGATTGCTTAAGTAATACTTTTTTACTTCACTTTTTTCAACGTTGGATGAAGCAACTTTGTTGGCGGTCAATTTATTTTTCATTATTCGCCCCTATTTATTTACTAAATTTGGAGAGAGTTTTTCATTTATTTTAGTTAAAAACCCTATTTACGTAAAATGGGGGAAGCGGAGAGAAAGTGGGTTTTCCCAGGAGAATAAATGTGAGAATTTGGATCCGTCTGCTATTTAGGATGCGGAAACCGTGCCTAATCTAGTTGTTCACGGTGAAAGAAATGGGAGGGGCTATGAATTAATAGAATTCTCGTCGTGTGCGCATTCTTCAAAATCCGTCATTGAGTGTCAAGTTACCGTCTATAAAAGTTTTTTGGTTTGTAAGCGAATAGGTGTGGGCATTTGCCGAAATTAAGTGCCATTCTTCACAATGGTTAAGAGCAGATGGCCGAATTACTATTTAACTAATAAATAAATTCCCTCATATTTTATAAACGATATTAGCAATCCGTAGTAACTTGGATTACGAGGACACATTCCTATTTTCGAATGTCAAATTCCCAGTTTAATTCAAAATTACTCTTCATTCGTGTAAAAATTTTAATGAAAAAATGCAGTTTCTTCACAGTTCAAATTTTTGATAATATGAGGAATTTATTATTTTTATAAGTTGCAATATTTAAATATTTTTTAGTTCCGCCTCTGCCAAATAGAAGCGGAAGAATATGGAAGGAATAATTATTAATCGCAGTGATCGGTCTCCAAACAACATAAACGATTCTTCTACTCCATTAAACTGCCTCAATAATAAGCCAAACAAATCCTCAAATAATCCTTCCGTTTTTCCTATGGCTTTTCCGGTTCGGGCAACAACCATTCTGTTTGCACTACTTTCAGTAATGTTTATTATGAGTTTTCAACATCAAGCCCAAGCAGCATCCCTCTCAATACCTGTCGCACAAATGATAGGCGAAAGCGGACTATTTGAGCGTGATGATAGAGACTATCGGCCATTGCAAGTTTGTACTAGCTGTATGAAATAAAATAATAAGCATATTCATATTCAGTTTGGAAAACGAGATTATCGGCCATTACAATTTGGTAAACGCGACTACCGACCTTTGCAATTCGGAAAGAGAGATTACAGGCCCTTGCAATTTGGAAAACGCAGCCATTACTGGCCAACTGATTCGTTAGACTCGGGAGTAGAAGTGATCGCCAATTAAAAAATAACAAACAACTTTCTAACATTATTTCTTAAAAAGAAGAGAGGAGGAGAAGAGCAACCAGCCAGCCGTTACCCACGCCATTTTGCATTTTCAATTTTTTAAAATTTTCTCCTATTTTAATATATACTGATTAATGGAATAAATGACGAGTTTTACACATTTTTATAAATATTTTAAACTCAGAATTATGCTTGTAAATTAAATATATAATGCATCTAATAAAAATCATAGAATCTAGAATAATTATTTTTGTCGTACTTGATAAAAAAGATATGATTAGAGCAATTATTAATTGATGGAATGTCCGTGAAGGAGCATACAATATGGTTTGACCGAACTGTAAAGACAAATGTATTAAGACTTGGAGATGAGATAATTAGTCAAATTTAGTGGCCCAAAGCTAACCATACATCATATGATAAACCTACATAAATCCGGCATTAGTCACACAATCGCAAACTTCTCCAAGATCCTTTTTCCAACCGACTTTTCTGCCACAACGTTTGATTATTGGACCAATTAGCTGTTCCTCTAACTTAGGATGACATCTTTAAAGTAAATGCACCATTAGCAAAATTAGTATTAGACTTAAATTTATAATACTAACCCAGAATGATCAAAACATGAATCCTGCTTATCTCGCTGAATTAAACAGCCTTTTACACACATGCCAATATTTACAGCCGACTTTATAAATGGAAAAATCAAAAGGATTTCGGTCTTTATTGCACGTACCTGTACCAATTTTTGATTCTCCAGGCTCATTTCTTGCATGAAAACTTGAACTTGAGATTTTAAACGTTTTTCACCCGCACCCAAGAGTTTCTCCAAGTTAGAACGAGGTATTTGGGGACCATTTTTGACGCTAACACATCTTAATATAAAATCATAGTAATGTGAAAATACAAATGAACGAACGTTTGGTGAGTTCTCTTTAAGCAATTGATAAACTTATCAAGTAATGTCTTGTTAGTGAAGCATTTTTTCAAGTGTTCGGGGTTTGCAGAAAGCTGAAGATTGGCTATGATTAGAGACTGGCTCCAGACTTAATCTTTCCTGGAACCAGAGTCAAACTCAAGGCATTTTTCAGAGTTCAATGAATTTTCTTTGACTTAAGGTCAAGATCTCACTTAAAATCAAGGTTAAGGGTTTTTAAAATCTCGGTCTCTAGTTATAATACTTAATGCGAGTTAGATAGATCTTGGGAACATTTATTAAATCCTTTACTGCTTTTATCTGTACATCCTGAGTCCAACAAATATCGAAGCAGTCATGAACCTGGCTTTTGAAAGAATTAATGCAGATACTTTCCTCAGTGCAGGAACATTGTCTAATGAGACTTGTTGAAGCCGTATTCGTTGAACTGCTTATAATATCTTTTCCGTCAGAAGATAATTCAACTTGTGTTGTTAATAAAACAAACGAAAATATAAAGATAAGCAATAAAAACGTGCTTCGAAAACTTCTGACAAATACATGCATTCTATTGCTGTCGGAGGAGCAGGGGTCTTAAAATAGGCTATAAACACTTCGTTATCAGAATAGAAATAATTATTTCGATAATTATTATGGAACGTTTTTAAGGACAAAAAAGAAATATTATGCAAATACCTCACTTATATTAAAATTAATTGTGCTAAATACATATCTTATATTAGAACAAAAATAAAGAAAAATAAGAAAATATTATAAAATTATCAATAGTGTTTTGCAAAAATTTTTACTTCATATTAAGTGATTATTAATTTTAAAAAATATTAAAATTGCGACCTTGCGCGAAGAGTAACATTGTTATTACACTCAATGCAACACAAATATGAAAATATTTCTACGCCGAACGTGATTTTTAACATTAGTGTAAATAAGTTAATAAAAAAGATAAACTAAAGGTAAATATACTCAATGATGCAATGACGAATGTTTTGCTGACGAAAGGAAAATTTGCCAAAAGGTTTGGTGCTAAACGTTATCTGGCTAATACTGTTGGTCCATCAATAATTGGAGCCTTCTTAACCTTTATATGCCATATTAGTAATATGATTAACGATTATTCTGATCTTGTTTCTTTGCTTTATCTTTAATAATTTATGAGTATTTAATTCTAAAGACGATGGAAAAATCCTCTAAAATGCAGAGTAATATTTCAAGAATCAATGGACATGGAAAAATTTCCTGTGTGGACCGTCAGTTTTTCGGTATATATTTATCTGATAATCTTATTAATTTGACTAAAACTGATTCGAAACAATATAGTTTTTGAGAATTTTAATTTTAATCCTTATCAATTATCATTAACTCTAATTGTTGTGAAGCAAAACTTTGGGTATTTCAATTATTGTGAAATTATTTCCAGGAAAGGAACTCGAGGAATATTCAGCGAATTCAGAAACCCGTTCTGCACCTGGAGACCTGTCTGAATTACCCAGAGTATGGCATTGCCACATGGATTTGCTCCAACAAAATGATATCCTCCAGCAGCCGGGACCAAGCAATCTGGACGCGCGTAAAATCTCGAAGAATCGGAGGACGTTTGTAAATGATCGTAATCTTGAACTAAGTTGTGGTGATTCAAAAAAACAAAAGAGAAAAAAAGGTCATTTACGTGGGACTCGAAGCAATGGATTTGCTTCTGGGCCACCTTTTCCAAAATTTACTGATCTCCAGAAGAGGAGATTATCACGCAATAGCGAAACAGATGACTACTATTGTGATGATTATCCATGGGGTGCGCCTTTAAACGAACAGCAGAAAAAGCAACAAATGGCACTTATTGAACATGTAAATTAATTCTAAATGAAATATTTTTGCAGTTTAATTGAAAAAAATATTTAGGAAATCAATGAAATGGCCAATGAAACACTTTGTGGATTAGGACAATGGAGACCACAGTTTTATTTTCACGAAAAATTTCGGCTCATTTTTTAAAATTTAAGGTGGTTACAACGTTTCGCTCGTAGGGAGTGGATGTTGATTTTGATGTGTTGGTTTTGCTTAATCCAGGGTATTATTTTCGTTGTCAAGTTTTATATTTTATTTAAAGGAATGATCGTGAGTGGCTTAGTTCCCTCTTCGATTTCAAGTTCTTTACTAAATTTTTATTTAAAAAAATTTGGTATTTCAGCCATAGAACGCCGCTTCCAATTCTCCACTTCAGTTATTGGACGCATTCTACAAGTAATTTTTTACTACTTTCTTAAAATATGAGAGAGGTAAGAGTTCAACCCTGAACAGGCATTGATCCTGTGACCTTCTTTCATCCTTGCAATAATTTACTCACAAATCTCTTAAAATTTCTTGATTTAGAAATAATTCTGTTATTTTTTAGTTCTACGAATTTGGCTATGTTTTATTCTGTATTCCGGTTTCTTATTTTGGTGGAAGGCATTCAAAATCAACTGTCCTAGGCATAGGATTGCTCATTATGTCGGTCAGTTAAACTAAAATACCCAAGTGGATTGTTTAACTGCACGTCTTTAAATTAAGTTTGGTTCCCTCATTTTTACATTGCCACATTTTATTGCCGATCCATACACCAGCTCCTACCAAAACGATGCTGTGGACCGCTCTAGATGCTATCTAAATGGTACCTCGTTTTAATAGTTACTTTTTATTATCACATTCTAAATAAAACACTTTAACAGACTCAATATATTCCAACAATTCTTTGTTTCCTACCAAGCATGAAAGTTTTCAAGACGCAGATTTTGAGGCTTTGAAAGCTTGCCCTTCACCAGAAAATCAAGTAGGAAATGGTTAACAATTTGTAGAATTGTTTTTTAGCCTGGATCATTTCGCTTCGTTTTTCTCTTTTGTCTGGCTCATTTTATGCATGGAGTAGGAGCAACTCCACTTTTTACTATAGGAATTTCTTATATAGACGAAAACGTAACTTTCATCTCTAAATATTTTTAGCCAAAATTTTTAGGTAGGACCTGCACTTTCATCACTTTATATTGGAATATTCTATGCGTTTGTTGTATTCGGACCTGCTATTGGGTTTTTCATGTCCAGTAAATTCCTTCTTTGGCATACTGATTTCATGGTTACTGGGCAAAGACTACAAAAATTGTATCTTTATTATGATGATTTATAAAATCATTGTTAATTTTAGAATCATTGATCTGGATGAAACGGATCCGAAATGGGTCGGGGCCTGGTATATTGGCTTTATTTTGGCTGCAATCTTCGGATTACTAGCAGTTTTTCCAATATTAACCTTTCCCAAACTTCTGCCAGAATCGCTGAAATGGCACAGGTTTCTTTGTGGTAATTCGATTAATTGCTCTTCCCTTATAGAACTCGACTACAAGAGGAAACAATGGGGACTAAAAAACGAACTCCTGAGTGTTGTGGTATACCACCCTCGTCGAGCAGGACTGCTGCAATTTTAACAGCCGATGGTGAAATACATGACGGTTTCTTTCCACCTCATTAGACTTAAATATTTCATTAGATGACTTTTGTGGAGGCCCTGTGGTTGTTGAACTTCAGTCGTCGATGCCAGCTCTGAAGAATCGTCAAGGGCCTATTTGGTATCAGCTTTGGTTAGATGTTCGACATATTCCTATCGCCATATACAAAATTTTGCTCAATGGTCCATTTATGCTAATAACATTTGGAATGTCGATCTGTGGTCTATTTTTTATTTATACTTAACACAGCCAGTTTAAATCACAAATCAATACATAGGTCTCATAGTTGCGGGATGTTCAACGTTCATGTCAACGTACCTCGAGAGACAATTTGGCGTTGCTCCTAGCAAGGCGACATTATTTATGGGGTATAGAATTTAAAATTTTACCAAGATTTAACACAAACAATTTAGTGCAGTTATGGTGCCCATGGCTGGTTTCGGAACTATGATTTCTGGAATGATCATTCACAGGTTTCGATTAAGTTCACTGCGCACTCTACAATATTGTATTGCATTGGTGCTTTGTGCATTGCTCCTATCGCCTATGTAAATATAATATATTATTTAAAGGCGTTGATTTTAAGGTATTTTATATATTGTGATCATGATCAACTCGTCGGGATTGAGAGGCACTATCCTGTAGATGAGTAAGCTTTATTAAAGTGATAAAACTTTTAATACGTTTTAGCTCATCTTCCAATCATTATGATCCTTTAACAGACACTTATGTTTATAAATTGAATACTAGATGTAACTCAAATTGTCAATGCTCAATGCTTGAGTATCATCCCGTATGTGCAGAGAACATTGATGGTTCCCAATTGGCTTTCTATTCCCCATGTTTTGCTGGATGTACAAAGCCTTATTCATCTTCAGAGAGGGAATACTTTAATTGTAGCTGCGTACCTGACGAAACTAAAGGTGGCGTTCGCCGTGTTAAGCGCGGCTTTTGTGAATCAAAATGCCGCGGACTATTTGCCTTCTTGGTGTTTTTTGCACCTTTTTGCTTTTTTACATTTGCCGTCTTCATTGCATTAATAACAGTGGTATTAAGGTACACATTATTATTTTTGATATTGTATTTTCGCATTAGATATAAGTAGAAAATCAATAATTTTTAGGACAGTGGATTATGATGAGCGATCTTTTGCATTGGGTATTCAATGGATTTTAGTTCGTATCATTGGAACGATCCCTGCTCCAGTGGTTTTTGGCTGGCTTTTTGATGTATGTTTTTGCTTCAGTATTAGTCCGCTAATCTCCATAAAAGTAAGTGAGATTCAAAAAGTGTTATGCTCCAGGTTTCGGCCATTCCCTTCTCACTAGATATTAAACAGCTTGGCATGACGTATGTAAACTTTATTTCTTAGCATTCCTGCATTCGTCAACATTTGGACCCATGTTCGGGGGAGCACGGATCTTGCATGCTCCACCACAATAAAACTTTAGCCGATTTGTTTCTTACTTTTACAGTTGCTGGATTGGTATGTATACGTTTATACATACTTATTTTGTCTATTTTATTAAGCTTGTTGGTCTCATCAGTCTAATAAGTGTGCTAATGTTTTTTGCTAATTCACTTCACGATGAGTCGAACATTGCTCCTGCTACAGTATCATCAAGATTGAAAACTGAGAAGAGAATGTCTGCATTGTTATCAGCTGAGAATGGGGAACAACACATAAATGATGGAGATGTAAGCGAAACGGATATAGAATGAATAAAAATATGCATTAACATTATCCTTGATTGTTCTAAACCGGTCTAAAAAATTTAATTTTTCTAGAAGATAAATTTAACTACTGATATTTTATTAAAAAGTTGAAATTAAAAAGGCAAAGAATTTAGAATTCCATAAATTTTACTCATAATTCCAAAAATTTATGAAAGCGCGGAAACGGAAAAAACAAAGCGTTGATGGGAAAAAAGTTTTTGCATGTCGAGCGGAACGACGGTCGCCGCCTCGCTACCGTCGCCGCGAGCAAAGCGATCACGATCGCAGGGAGGGAAGACCATGCCCGGCCTACCCGCCGAAACAGTACAAAAAGTTTTTACAGCGCAGATCCTGTTGGGCATAATTTTGTACAGACTCAATTGGCTCCTACACAGTGCTGGTCTTTTAACCCCTTTTTGCCCACTCAGGTTTTTTTGCACCGGTCTTTTTTACACCGGTGTTTTCCGCACCGGTCTTCTAACCCATTTATTCCCGTTCCGGTCTTTTAACCCCTTTTTGTTCGTTCCGGTCTTTTTTTTTGCACGGTCTTTTTACTACCGGTCTTTTGTACAGGAGCATGTTAACAAAAGACGGCGCGCCGAAATTTGCGGATTTTAATTTGCGGACCCGAAATTTGCGGACCCGAACTTTGCGGACCCGAAATTTGCGGACCCGAACTATGCGGACCCGAATTTTGCGGATCTGAGATTTGCGGACCAAAAATTTGCGGACCGACAGTAGAGTCTACTGAACCTCGGAAATTTCAAAAATTTTAGCCTGCGGCGTTAATTAGGATGAATTCAGGCATCATGACCTTATAAAATGGCCATATAAATGATTTTTAAGGAATTTTCTCGATTATCTAAATTATGAAATAATTTTAAGATAGAAAATTGATAAAAATTTTGAAAAATCAAGAAAAAATCTCGAATCCTGTACGGATTATGGTAAACTCTGCCCAGGGTGTCCCTTTCCAAAACACCAAAATAGGGCGAAGCTACTCAAAAATATGGCAAAAATAGGGCGAAATTGGTCAAAAATAGGGCAAAAAATAGGGCATTGTTTTAAACACTTAAGAATACTTAAAATTTTGAAAAGAAAGCTCTATTATGCATATTTTTCAATATTTTAAACTAAATTTTCAATTAAAAATTTCTTTATCATTAAATATCAACTTGTGACTAATCTATTTTATTGGGGATATCCTCTTTAATCCCAGAATACCGTTAATTGAATTACCCTTAAGAAAGCAAATATTACAGATAATTCAAACATGATATCCCCTAAAACGTACCATCGATTCACGACTAGTGAACGACATATCGACTTTTTCTTAAGGAAAAAAAGTCGTTTTAAAAAAATCTACAATTATTCGCGAACGACTTTTTTTAATAAACAAAACGCCAGAACTACGTAAATATCGATGTTTTACGCCAAACGATTGCGAAACGACTTTTTTGTGTCTCTTTTTCTCTAATTTCACATTATATTTCCTTTCTCTTTTTCTATTAATTTTCGTTCGTGTAGTCTCTCCTTTGGAATTTGCAATTTTCCATTTTTATAAATGTTCAGTCCCTTTTCTGTAATTTTTAGGGATTTTTCCACATATATTCTTACTAGATGGATGAATTTGAAAATGAATTAAGAGTCGCATTCGAAAGCGGCGATCTCGAAGAACCTGTGACACCGTCATCGAAACGTCGAAAATCCGATATCCTTAAGGGATTAGATCTAGGAAGTCCGAAGAGTAGGCGATCATGGAATGAAAGTAAAATATTTGGAAGGTATACGTAAAAAATTTCAATAAATTGTATTTATTATTTTAAGCCATTTCGATTGCGTCATAGACGATAAAGAAAATCTGACCAATCTTGTAGTTTGTAAACAGTGTTATGCGACATTCAATTACACGGGTACACATAATCTGAGGTTTTTTTACTATTAGATCTAAATTCTATTTCTTTAATTTTATTTTTTAAGAAATCATATCGAATTAAAACACGGAGTGCAGTTACCAGCTAAGGAAAAACAAAAGATGATGGAGGATGCCCTTGTTGAATTCTGCGTTACTGATGCAAGGCCGTTCTCTTTAATTAACGGAAAAGGATTTATTAGTTTCCTAGATTTGGTCGTGAATCACGACCAAATCCCCAAATCCCCGTACCATAATCGAAGAATTCTTCCAATTTTCAGCGCCGCAGGCGAAAATTTTTTGAAATTTGGAGCTCAAGAAGCCAAATTTCATACATTTTTTGCGCCGCAGGCGAAAATTTTGAGAATTTTGGAGGCCAGGAAGTCAGAAATCCTTCATTTTTACCATTTTTTTTACAAAATCCGAAGAATTTTTAAAATTTTACTAGATGATAAAAATAGGGCAAAAATATGGCAAATGAGAAAATAGGGAAAAAATAGGGCGAAATTGTCAAAAATAGGGCAAATGCCCTGTAAATAAGGCAAAAGGGACACCCTGACTCTGCCGGATCCTCGAAAAATAAAATTTTTAATTTTTCCTTTTTACTCAAGTGTCGGGCTTAAAATCTTGGTTCCGCAAAGATCAGGTCCGCAAACTTCGTGTCCGCAACCTTCGGGTCCGCAACTTTCGTTCCGCAAATTTCGGGTCCGCAAAGTTCGGGTCCGCAAAATTCGGGTCCGCAAAGTTCGCGCCACGCAAAAGACAACTAGAGCGTTATTGATTTTTTGTATTTTCTCAGAGCATCGATTTTTTACTTGTTACATGTTTTTCATTTCTTTTGCTTATTTTTTTATTTTTTGATTCCTTTCTTATTGCTTCCAATTCCTTTCTTATTCTTCAATATGAAATTATTGGAAGGAAACCCGACCAGTATGAACATATTAGGGAAAAAACTTGTGAGGATAAATCGGCCCATTAACGACAAATTTACCTGCCAAAGCCTTAATATTTCTCGTTTTTTATTTTAGAAAATTTATTCTAAATTGATCGAAAAATAAACTATTATTGTATGACTGAAGACAACAACTTTTCCTGTTCGGACATAGTACGCTTCCGGGCAACGAGAATCTGTTGCTTGAAAGGTTTCTAATTTTGTTTTTACTCATCTTATTTCGTTTTTTTAGAAGGCTATTGCTCTACTTCGCCTGGATGTACTGTTCTTCGAAAAATTCCAGCTGAAGATGTTTTGCAAGTTACTGCTGGGCAATCCCGGAGAATTGGGGTCCCTGCGAAAAAAAAGTTTAAAAATAAGAAAAAGGATTTTTCTAGGATAAAAAAATATGCTGATTACGAATCCGAGCTCAGATTTTGAAAAAGTCGAATCCCGAACCCGAACCAAATTTCGAACCCTGAACCCGAATTTCGAATATGCAAATGATAACTCGTTCGAAAGAGCTCGTCGAGCTGCATCGAATGACACCAAAAGCAACGTGATTGGACAAGTTTAGACAAAGTTATGACATAAAGTATACCTATGGGAGTACTGTAGGAGTCGACGACTTATGTCATAACTTTGTCAAAACTTGATCAATCACTGTAATTTTGGCGTCATTCGATTCAGCTCGACGAGTTCTTTCGAATGAGCTATCATTTGTAAAAACTTTTTTTTACTCCAAAAAATCACCCATGTGGTTTTTCAATATTTAGGGGTCTGTATCTCGGTTCAATCCGGTCGGATTTCATTGATTTTGGTGTCATTCGATGCAGCTCGATGAGTTCTATGATTCTATTGAAAGACTGGCCATTTTGTATAATGTCTGATAATGTTAGGGGTCAAAAATCTTGTTCGGGATCAAAAGTCCGAATTCGGGTTCGGGATTTGACTTTTTCAAAATCTGAGCTCAGATTCGTAATCAGCATATTTTTCTACCCTAGAAAAATCCTTTTTCTTATTTTTAAGATTTTTTTCCGCAGGGACCCCAATTCTCCGGGATTGCCTACTGCTGGGCATAATTATGTTGCCTTTCTGCTCAAGGTTTTCTATTTCACAGTAAGGTTGTGGTTATTTCTCTGGGTCGGTTACGGATGCCCTAAAGTTTTTGAGTCGGTTCTGGAGCCCTTAAATTTAAGGTCGATTCAAATCCGGATTTCTTCAGTTCGGTTATGGGTCTCAAAGATTTTTTAATGGCCAACAACCTAGTCCACATTATTTAATCTCTATTTATTCATTTTTAGGATCATCGAGTCGCTCGTCTTCGTTATGAGATTGTTGCCAACACTATTGAATCTACCGCCCCAACAGACAAAAGTACTTTTTCATTCTTTTAATCTTTAAAACGAATTTTTGTTTGAGATGAATCCGGCCCTGGTTCATCAACAGCGCCAGCTACCACCACTGCTGGTTCCTCTGATCCAGCGTCAGCTTCTGCAAATGCTGCTGCAAACGCCGCAAATCGGACTGCAAAAATTCGGGTTTCTTTGATTTTTTTTACAAATTTTGAATTTGTAGCGAATTATGATGACACGCCCAGGGACTCGTTCTGGTGGATTTTGCCGCACTGGAGTTGTGATTGATAGAAATCGTTCTCGACCAATGATTCCCGCGTTTTATGTTCCAGAAGATTTAATCGTGCAATGCCAGGTTTTTTCTTTCTTTTTTATGGCTTTATTAAAGTCTTTTTAGGTTGTCCTACAAGGAAAATCTCGTGATGTGATTGTTCGTGAATTACAACGCACTAATTTAAATGTCAACGAGGCAGTCAACAATTTTCTTTCTCGCGATGATGATGAAATGGATGATTTGGATGACACAAGTGAGGCCTATCTTCACGAGGAGTTGCTTTCGTTACTCGATGCTGGGCTTCGTTCCGATGGAAGAGGTACCGCAGCAGCCGCTTTACTTGATAGTGACAGCATTTATTCTGCTGGAGATGGCTACGAATACTTGATTTCACGTGATTTGGCTAGACGCAAGGGTCAAGGTTTAAATTTTAAAAAATTTTTATTTTTAACTTTTATATTCAAAAGACAAAACAAAAGACCAAAACAAAGAAAATGCGGACAGTTCCTCGACAATCCAGGAACATTTCTTTCTCGTTGAACGCTATACTTACTGGGGCCTAACGGGCAATGATGTTGCTGATGGTTCAACAAAATTCCAATTTCCTGATGACGTTACAAATTTTGTAAAAATCGTCTCTATGCAATCTGAACTTATTGCTCTTGCTGATAATGGAAAGATTTATGGTTGGAGTTCGGAGATTGATTCGAAGTCTGACAATTCTTTACACGTTGCAAATGACATTCTTTTCTCAGCCATTGGTATTTTATATTAATTTGCCTAACTTTTGTGAATCCTTTATAGATATAGAATTGCAAATTAAAGTTTCTATGAATTATTTTGAATTTTTTTTAGATATAGAAGGAGAAGGCGAAGTTGACTCCATTTCGAATATCGAATCTTGTGGTCTTCGCGCAGCTGAGCTTTCCAAAAGTGGCCTTTTTGGATCATTTGTTGACATCTCATGTGGCAATAGACTGGGCCGAATGATTTCTGAAACGCCTATTGAGATGCCTGAACCAGTCGACAAGTTTCTCTGCTGCACGCTTTATAGTGCTGTTTTAACAAAAAATGGAAATATATTTTGGAGGTTGTTTTTTTAATTATTTACGTCTCAAGATTTTTAAATTGAAGAGGAATTTATCCATTTAATGAGCGCAGGAAGATTTGGGAAAAAATACGCGCCCGCAAGAAACAAGTCACTTTGCAAAACATGTGGACTTGTAGGGACTCTTTGTTGTTGTACTGAATGCGGTAATATTTACTCTTTTTATTTTTAATTACTAAATGATTGCTTTTAGCCCTCCTTTGTCATAGGAATCATGACTGCAAGTGAGTAATTTTGTTTTTTTTTCTGAAATAATATATGCCATTTAAAACTTTATTTTTAGACTTAAGAAAACATCATCAACCGCTTATTGTGACTGCTGGGAGAAGTGCGAATGTAAAGCATTGGTTACTGGAAATAATGCAAAGAGGGAACAATTGCTTTCTGGTTTTTTTTAAATTTTCTTTGGATTATTATTCTAATATTTAATTTTGATAGGGATGTTACAATGCCCTGCATTGATTGATGGCCTTAATTCTAAAGGGAACACATTTTACTCTTTTTGGCTCGCACTGTTGGTCGGCAGGTTTTTAATAAATTTTTGGTTATTTATCTGTAATTTAATGAATAGTTGATTGAACAAGAAGGCTATACGAAGCATAGTAAGCGCCCTGGACCTACCACCACAACTACAGCATATGGCGTTCCTATACCTGAACATGATCTTGAACCACCAAAATTTGCTAGAAAAAGTTTTTTTAATTCAATATGTTCACATTTTTAATATTTTATTTTTAGCACTCGATTTGGCAATAGGAAATTGGGATGTTGTAAAAGGTTTGCTTGATGTTGGTATCAAAAAGCCGAATGCTCTCATTAATTCCAGAATTGAAGATGATCAGCCAATTTTAGAAAATGTTTTTCATTTGCTCGAACATAATGGTTCAACACATTTGGACAAATTTGTTTTAACTTTACTTGGCTGGTGTGAAGAATCGAGCCTTGACACTTCTTAATTTACTTGTACGCCAAGCCAACAAACAACAAAAGAAATGGGATTAAGAAGTCCATTTTTTAATTCAACGATTTGTCCTTTCTGTTATTCGTCTTTTTGTTATGGTCATTTTGCTTTCACCAGAGCCTAATGGAACTTTACTTGGTTTGAAGAAATTTTTAATTTTTTTTTTCAAATTTTTAACACTTTCAGCAACAATTTTTGATGATATTAATAAAACAATCCCAGCACCCGATGCTCCCAGCTTAATTTATCCACTTTCAAACCAGTCAAATGCTGCACAACCTGGCACGTCTACTTCTGATGTTGCTGCAATACGCGATTCTTTAAACAATTATCGAGCTGCTGCTATCTCTGGTGTACTTTCATTAGGTCGTGCTAGTCTACCTGCCGCTCTTTCTCTCAATTCATCACTCGAGAAAAAGGATCAAAAGAAGCATAAAGTTATTGCTTTTGTAGCAAAATGTCGACGAGTGTTTCAGCAAAATGTCGACAAATGTTTCAGGTTATTTAAAAAATTTTCTGTATTTTTTTAAACAGAAATTTTCAGGCATTAATTAGTTATTCATTGCTGGAATTGATTGGAATCACTGATGCGTTAATTCCTCCAATTCGTCTTGGAATCGTTAAACCTTCAGCCAGCATTGTCTCAAATGAAGATGTTTTGGAAGTTTTACAACAACACTTGACCAACGAGCAAGATTTGTCTTCTTTAATTGTTCTTCGTCCATGACGATTTCACAATGGTTTGGTGGTGATTCTTCTTATACTGTTCTTATTGATAAAACCGGAGGTTTTTTTTAATTTTTTATATGCCTAATTCAGTTCCTTATATTTAAGTTTGTTCATTTAATGTCCGTTATTCTCAATTTCGAAAGCAGATGGATCGACTCAAAGACACCCAAACAAAGGATTTAGTTTTCAGTGTATGTTTTAATTTTTGGTGGATTCTATTAATTAATAAATTTTAGCAAGTTCCACGTGAGAAGTATGTTCTTCTACAACAAACATTCAGACAACTAAATCACCACAATGTTCTTCGAACGAGTGGGGCTAATGGATGTTAGATGATGGCTCTGAAACTTCAACAGCTACACAAGAAAATTTATTTGAAGAAGTGTTCCTGATGAGCATTGGACTGCAAATTGATGATGAATTACAAGGATGTGAGAAGCTAAAAAATGTGGCAAAGATGCTTCCGCCACATTTTAAGGTCTAAATGTTATTTGATTGAAATATGTTTTTATTATTTTTAGTGCTTTTCCGTTTCCGTCGTTTTTTGGTTTTATTTTTTTCAGCAAAAAATGTTATCAAAACATCAGAATTTTTAGATGCAGAAACGGAAAAGCACAATTAAGCCACTTGTAAAAAAAGGATTTTTGCGGATTCGTTTAGAAGAAAGCAAAAAGGCCTTTTCTTTACAAGTGGTATTTTTTATCACATAATTTTTTTGTTGGTTAAAAATGGGTTTGGGGTGGCCCCCCTCCCTCGACCCCGGGTTTACCAAACACACAAATCTTCCAAGCTCCGAGAGCTTCAGACACTCCTAAATTCCAAAACAATTAAACTTGACGACAACTTTTTCTAGTACGTAACTCCCACTTTAATTCCAGATCAGGCTTTCATACCTCCGAGTTATATCCAAAGGCACGGGTTCTTATTCAATAGGTGTAGACAGTAGGGGCACTAGGCATAGGCTTCATTAGACATTTGATTAGACCTTTGAATTGACCCTTCTCTGGCCCAAATGACACTGACGAACTGTCCGTGACCAAATGGCGCTGACCGAACTGACCATGACCCAAATGGAAACCAAAAATTTAGTTCGAAAATTTGAGATTTTCATCGAAAAATTCGAACTAAAAAATTTAGTTCGAAAATTTGAGATTTTCCTCGAAAATTTCGAACTAAAATGTCCCCTCCCCAATTCGTCCCACATTCAAAATGTCACACCCCAATTCGTCCCACATTCAAAATGTCACACCCCAATTCGTCCCACATTCAAAATGTCACTCCCCAATTCGTCCCAGGACAAAATGTCACTCCCCCATTTCGTCCCACATTTTTTTGTTCCAGAATTTGCTCCATTTCTGGAACAAACCCCAAAAAAGTTTTGTTCCAGAATTTGCTCCATTTCTGGAACAAACTCCAAATGCCCCCAATTTGTCCCAGACAAACTGTCACTCCTCAATTCGTCCCACAGACAAAACGTCACACCCCAATTCGTCCCAAAGACAAAATGTCACTCCCCAATTCGTCCCACATTTTTTTTGTTCCAGAATTTGCTCTATTTCTGGAACAAACCCCAAAAAATTTTGTTCCAGAATTTGCTCCATTTCTGGAACAAACTCTGAAAACCCGGCACCAAAATGACCGTCACTGAAAATCCCGCACTGAACTGACCGACCCTCCTTTTTCAAAGAATCCTCTCCATAGGTTCAGGCTTTCATACCTCCGAGTTATATCCAAAGGCACGGGTTCTTATTCAATAGGTGTAGACAGTAGGGGCACTAGGCATAGGCTTCATTAGACATTTGATTAGACCTTTGAATTGACCCTTCTCTGGCCCAAATGACACTGACGAACTGTCCGTGACCAAATGGCGCTGACCGAACTGACCATGACCCAAATGGAAACCAAAAATTTAGTTCGAAAATTTGAGATTTTCATCGAAAAATTCGAACTAAAAAATTTAGTTCGAAAATTTGAGATTTTCCTCGAAAATTTCGAACTAAAATGTCCCCTCCCCAATTCGTCCCACATTCAAAATGTCACACCCCAATTCGTCCCACATTCAAAATGTCACACCCCAATTCGTCCCACATTCAAAATGTCACTCCCCAATTCGTCCCAGGACAAAATGTCACTCCCCCATTTCGTCCCACATTTTTTTGTTCCAGAATTTGCTCCATTTCTGGAACAAACCCCAAAAAAGTTTTGTTCCAGAATTTGCTCCATTTCTGGAACAAACTCCAAATGCCCCCAATTTGTCCCAGACAAACTGTCACTCCTCAATTCGTCCCACAGACAAAACGTCACACCCCAATTCGTCCCAAAGACAAAATGTCACTCCCCAATTCGTCCCACATTTTTTTTGTTCCAGAATTTGCTCTATTTCTGGAACAAACCCCAAAAAATTTTGTTCCAGAATTTGCTCCATTTCTGGAACAAACTCTGAAAACCCGGCACCAAAATGACCGTCACTGAAAATCCCGCACTGAACTGACCGACCCTCCTTTTTCAAAGAATCCTCTCCATAGGTTCAGGCTTTCATACCTCCGAGTTATATCCAAAGGCACGGGTTCTTATTCAATAGGTGTAGACAGTAGGGGCACTAGGCATAGGCTTCATTAGACATTTGATTAGACCTTTGAATTGACCCTTCTCTGGCCCAAATGACACTGACGAACTGTCCGTGACCAAATGGCGCTGACCGAACTGACCATGACCCAAATGGAAACCAAAAATTTAGTTCGAAAATTTGAGATTTTCATCGAAAAATTCGAACTAAAAAATTTAGTTCGAAAATTTGAGATTTTCCTCGAAAATTTCGAACTAAAATGTCCCCTCCCCAATTCGTCCCACATTCAAAATGTCACACCCCAATTCGTCCCACATTCAAAATGTCACACCCCAATTCGTCCCACATTCAAAATGTCACTCCCCAATTCGTCCCAGGACAAAATGTCACTCCCCCATTTCGTCCCACATTTTTTTGTTCCAGAATTTGCTCCATTTCTGGAACAAACCCCAAAAAAGTTTTGTTCCAGAATTTGCTCCATTTCTGGAACAAACTCCAAATGCCCCCAATTTGTCCCAGACAAACTGTCACTCCTCAATTCGTCCCACAGACAAAACGTCACACCCCAATTCGTCCCAAAGACAAAATGTCACTCCCCAATTCGTCCCACATTTTTTTTGTTCCAGAATTTGCTCTATTTCTGGAACAAACCCCAAAAAATTTTGTTCCAGAATTTGCTCCATTTCTGGAACAAACTCTGAAAACCCGGCACCAAAATGACCGTCACTGAAAATCCCGCACTGAACTGACCGACCCTCCTTTTTCAAAGAATCCTCTCCATAGGTTCAGGCTTTCATACCTCCGAGTTATATCCAAAGGCACGGGTTCTTATTCAATAGGTGTAGACAGTAGGGGCACTAGGCATAGGCTTCATTAGACATTTGATTAGACCTTTGAATTGACCCTTCTCTGGCCCAAATGACACTGACGAACTGTCCGTGACCAAATGGCGCTGACCGAACTGACCATGACCCAAATGGAAACCAAAAATTTAGTTCGAAAATTTGAGATTTTCATCGAAAAATTCGAACTAAAAAATTTAGTTCGAAAATTTGAGATTTTCCTCGAAAATTTCGAACTAAAATGTCCCCTCCCCAATTCGTCCCACATTCAAAATGTCACACCCCAATTCGTCCCACATTCAAAATGTCACACCCCAATTCGTCCCACATTCAAAATGTCACTCCCCAATTCGTCCCAGGACAAAATGTCACTCCCCCATTTCGTCCCACATTTTTTTGTTCCAGAATTTGCTCCATTTCTGGAACAAACCCCAAAAAAGTTTTGTTCCAGAATTTGCTCCATTTCTGGAACAAACTCCAAATGCCCCCAATTTGTCCCAGACAAACTGTCACTCCTCAATTCGTCCCACAGACAAAACGTCACACCCCAATTCGTCCCAAAGACAAAATGTCACTCCCCAATTCGTCCCACATTTTTTTTGTTCCAGAATTTGCTCTATTTCTGGAACAAACCCCAAAAAATTTTGTTCCAGAATTTGCTCCATTTCTGGAACAAACTCTGAAAACCCGGCACCAAAATGACCGTCACTGAAAATCCCGCACTGAACTGACCGACCCTCCTTTTTCAAAGAATCCTCTCCATAGGTTCAGGCTTTCATACCTCCGAGTTATATCCAAAGGCACGGGTTCTTATTCAATAGGTGTAGACAGTAGGGGCACTAGGCATAGGCTTCATTAGACATTTGATTAGACCTTTGAATTGACCCTTCTCTGGCCCAAATGACACTGACGAACTGTCCGTGACCAAATGGCGCTGACCGAACTGACCATGACCCAAATGGAAACCAAAAATTTAGTTCGAAAATTTGAGATTTTCATCGAAAAATTCGAACTAAAAAATTTAGTTCGAAAATTTGAGATTTTCCTCGAAAATTTCGAACTAAAATGTCCCCTCCCCAATTCGTCCCACATTCAAAATGTCACACCCCAATTCGTCCCACATTCAAAATGTCACACCCCAATTCGTCCCACATTCAAAATGTCACTCCCCAATTCGTCCCAGGACAAAATGTCACTCCCCCATTTCGTCCCACATTTTTTTGTTCCAGAATTTGCTCCATTTCTGGAACAAACCCCAAAAAAGTTTTGTTCCAGAATTTGCTCCATTTCTGGAACAAACTCCAAATGCCCCCAATTTGTCCCAGACAAACTGTCACTCCTCAATTCGTCCCACAGACAAAACGTCACACCCCAATTCGTCCCAAAGACAAAATGTCACTCCCCAATTCGTCCC